AATGACACCTAGCTTGACATTGAAACTTTTAATTAATTATTGTTATGAATTTGTTTCTTTATTATGTGTCACCTCGTACTATACTGATCTAATTATCTTAAAATGATTTTATATGATTTAATGTGTAAAATATGCCAATTTTACTCGAAATCCATAAACGATATAAAAATTTTATAAGAGGCAAAAAATCTTCTAAAATAGCGCTTATTTTTACAAATATAAATTCTGTCGTCACTGACGTACACACAAAAAAGTTACGGGATAGCCAAAAATACACTTCTGCACGGCACTGGAAACTGGTCCACTGTAAAACCTGACCTCGCACAATGCGACCGGTATGGCGGCGTGAAAAAAACGGACAAAAACTTTCGCAAGGAAAGAAATATATGTAAATAGAATTTTATCGCACCTATTTTATATCGGCAAATTCAAATGCTTTTGCCTTTATTAATTATTAATAAAATTAATTTGTGTTTTTAAATAATAAAATCATTTGACATACCCGATGCTGCAACAGCAATTGTTCAAAATTTTATCCACTCACGTGTAAACACATTTGGGTCCGTCTTACTCACTTTCTACGAACTAACACAAATGANAAAAACTTCTAAAATAGTGCTGTCGTCATTGGCGTACATACAAAAAGTTACAGGATAGCCAGTGGCGCACAGGCACTAGAAAGAGAACATCCTGTATATGTATTCTCACCAAATTCTATATTTACATTGCCCTTATATAAAAAAATATGTGTACCAAATTTGAAGTTTCTAAGAAAAACAGTTTTCAAATTATTTGAAAAAAAAACTAGGTTATCTGTTCTATATTGAGAAGGCGTGCACTTTTGTATATACGTAAGTTAGGCTAAACAGTCTTATTTTCATCCAAGGAACCTGTGGTCAAGCGTTGTCCATCATTTTCAGGGACACCCTGTAAAATAGGAATACCAACAAAAATTGTCATTAGAAACACAATATAAGAATTTGATTTCTGAATAAAAATATGTATGCTACATTATTATTTATTATATTTATTACTTTTATTCGGCGACTTCTAAAACTGTGGGCAATGTCAACAATTAGACGGACTTGAAAATTTCACACTTTCATTTTATAGCCAACCAAATATGTCATTTTGAAACCGCGACGCAAAGAAAAGATTTGCAAAATTTTTGCTAGATTCCTTCGAAAAAATTACAGTTGGGAATTTTTTTTGACAAGAAAGATAATATAACTTTTCATTACAGAAGTCAAGAAACTATTTCCATATACTAATTTTAAAGTTTGAATATCAAATATTGGACTCATTTTCTAATTTGATTTTGTTTACCGAAATATATGTCAATGTGACAACAATAACAAATCAGCATTTCTGAGTCGGTGCATAGAGTAGAGCAAATTCGTTAAGATTTCTCTCGATTGGTTAAGAAATAAATAAAAAGTAATTAATTGTGTCTAGAATTTTACTAAAAAATTAATTGCTAAATTTCTGTATCCCTGTTGTTTGCTTAGCAGCTTTAATAGCAATAAAGTTTTTATGGACCTGTTAACAAAACTAATGAACAACATTATATTGTGGTTTAAGTATATGACGAATTATACAAATAATTATCTTGTTCATTTTAATCTTCTCCCCTACACAAAATAAAGTACGTGTTACCACTACAAATTAGGCTCCATTGTGGTACGATATAAACAATTATTTTCAACTGTAAATTATTTGCAGTTACATATGTCAGATTACGGTCAAAGCAAATATAATCGCATGAATGAATACTAACCTACACCTACCTAATAAAATTATTAAATATACAGGCTGTTACGAATTCGCTTCTCATTATAGGGATCTCGGAAACGGTAAGAGATACGAACTAGCTTAAATAGGGGCAAAATTGTGTAATCAGGGGACCAAGTTGTGCCTGTAAAAAATCAAAGCTAACATGATTAGAATAAATTCAGATTAGAATAAATAAATCATATTACGCTTATCTTCACTTTCAACATATGCCAAATCGGAAATGTTTTTGAAAATTACTGTAATTTTTGGAAATATATTCATTTGGTGTTTTGGTTGTTCGTATACATTTTTAAGAATTAATTTGTCATAATAAACACTTAGAGTGTATATATGATAATTAATTCAATAAACATAAAAATCTAAATAAAAAATTTAGATAAATTTGGAACTAATACATTGAATATGATTGGGGGTCATGAAGCCTTGCAAATGTAATAAAATTTCAAGGGCCGTATTTAAAAAAAATAAGTTGTTGATGGTTCTAGAAAGACGAAACTTTACATATAAAAATAAATTATGTCATTCGATAGAGGGCAAAAAGTTGCCATGAGAAAGTGTCTTTTTTCAATATCATTTCGGTTTTTTTTTTCAAATATTTTGAAAACTAATCATGTTAGCTTTGATATTTAAAGACATAATGTTGGTCCCCTGATATACGCAACTTTGCCCGCATTTAAGCTAGTTCGTATCTCTTACTGTTTCCCAGATCTCTGTAGTGAGAACCAAATTTGTAACAGCCTCTATAGACAGGTAGAAACACACACATGCACAAAAAAGCTTAGACATATTTTGAATAATTTTTCATGTTTCAAAAAATTTTTTAAAATATGCAGTTTGTTCTTTATATACCTACTTAGTACATACAGGGTGGTCTCGAGGTAATGGGCCAAAATTCATGGGTAGATTCTCCATGCAAAAATATTGCAATTTAGCCGAACTTACCTTAGTCCAAAAGTTGATAGTTAAAAAAATACAGGGTGTTAAATGTAAAATATTATTTCAGTTTTTTTTTCATTTATTCCTTAACAAATGCAAATATCTTCAACAAAATTTTGGGGTTTGGAGTTTTTTGGTTAGAGGAATTGAAGTATGTTCAGACTTTGGTTAAAGTTCATAGAGGGCGCTAGCTGCAGTAGATTGAATGTATTAAAACCGACATAACTTTTTTGTACTTTAAGGTATCTCATCTTTGGTATCAAATTCTTATTTTCCAACTTTTTTTACACAAAAAGTATACTTTATAAAAGTAGCTATCTCGCACTGCTTTCGAGATATTTGGCTTTGAAACTTTCAATGATGTTGCATTAAGTGACAATTAAGTACCTACAGGTATTATTAATTTACCGGTAAAGTTTCTTAAGTAGGATTTGGACGAAAATCAAATAATTGACGTTTTCCACTTGTCTTATTGCTGTCATTTATATGCTAATTTCTATGAAGTATTTTTCGTACCTAATTAATATTACATCTTAGCTCACAATTTAAATTGTATACTCGTATACATAAATCTGAGATAGAATGCCGAGATTTTCGTTTTTGGAGTTACATGAAATCAATTGTCTATGGAGAAACTATAAACACCCGAGAAGAACTTTAGCAGCAGATTTTAAATGCTGCAAAGTCATTTCGCGTTAAGGATTTATACTTTAAAATAAGACAATCTTTTAATAAGCGCTCTGATAAATGTATTGAAATTAGAATTTTGAGCAATTATTGTCAAAAGGCATATTTTTTACTAATCTTTACTATTTTTCTGTTCATTGCAATTTTTAATTATAAATAGACCCTTGTTTTTGACATTTCTAAATTATTTTAATTATTTCAATTACTAGCATTGGAGGTTGCAAAGCCAAATATCTCGGAAACGGTGCGAGACAGCTACTTTCAAAGTTTACCTTTTTTGTGTAAAAATAGTTGGAAAATAAGAAAGATGAGATACCTTAAAGTACAAAAAAGTTATGTCGTTTTCAACACATTCAATCTACGGCAATTGGCGCCCTCTATGAAGTATAACCAAAATGCGAACAAATTTCAATTCTTCTACCCAATAAACCCCAAACCCCAAAATTTTGTGTAGATATTTGCATTTATTAAGAAATAAATGAAAAGAAACTAAAATAATATTTTACATTTAACATGCTGTACCTATCTCTTTTCAACTTTTGGACTAAGGTAAGTTCAGCTAAATCGCAATATTTTTGCTTCGGGAATCTACCCATGAATTTTGGCCCATTACCTCGGGACCACCCTGTATATTATGACAAATTATGTATTGAAATACACCTAAAAATTGATTCAAAACTATGATCTCTCATTCCAAAAATATTTTCTGACAATGAAATTGCAAAATATGTGCTGCAAAAAAGGAAGAAAAGAGTTTGAAAATACTATGAAAATAAGCATTTTGAAACCTTTGGTATACTCAGGTAGTCATACTTATGGATTATATTTAATATAACAAAATAGTAAGTAGTAAATTCTTCAATTAAATAGAATAATTTAAAAATTTATCACTACCCCTTTTGAGTTTATCAATACTCAAACATGTTATCACCGCCCCATAGAATATGCACTGCATTTTGTTGTACTATAAAAGAATAGTATTCGCAAATTGTCGAAATATTCGAACATTAAGAAATACAAATTTATTACATAAAGGAAATATAAAATACCCTGTATACAAATAACTATGTAAATGGTCGTTTAAGTTACCACCTCCATTGACGGAGGAGAAAAAGCTTCATAATTTTTATCAAGCTCGGAAGAGTTGGAGGGGATCTAATATGTATCTCCCGGAAATTTGGGACCCACTATTGCCAGCCTCAGGAGTGCTCTTGCAAGAAGCACCATAACAGTTTCTTGCAGCAGTCCAGTACACAACGCGGTAAATAAATATTTGAGTACAGTGACTTTTCGTGTGTCGCACCAACCATAATTATTTTAATTGTTCGTCGGCAAGAGTGCGCACTGGAAAAGGAAGGAAAAGTGCGGACACGCAATTAACGAGGCAGGAACGTGCAAAAAAGTAAAATTTCGAAAATGTGTCGATAGCGCCAGAAACTCCATGTAAAGGATTCGCATTTATCTCGCATCAGATTACATGTTGTGTTGCTCTGTGTTGAAAACGGATATACAGCAAGAGGAAATATTAAAAACAATTTTGTAATTTTCCGACCAATGTCTTGTTGATATAACTGTTTGAAAACATGGATATTCTCATTAGGTAAGAAATGAGACATTTTTTACATAAAGTTAATTACATAAAATAGTTTATTGTAAACACCAACAATAAGTACTGTATGATATATAGTTTTATGAAAGGACTTCGAGAAATAGTCAGCAAACACTAAGCCTCTATTACACTTTTATATTTTTAGTAACTTTTCACTTAACAAATTCGGACTAATTTTGTTAATTCAAATATTTTCTTTTTAATAATGAGTGAACTTCAAGAAGTTACAGTTATTGATTTTTTTAGTGATCTATAATAAATTAAGTATAGTCTAGGGTCTAGGAACAATAAAATTGTCTTCAATTTCAGGATATTTTATGTTATAGGCGGTATTTTTTTTTTCATTTGGTATTTATTTAAATTTGCAAATAGAGCTTTTTTGTGATAATCTTCGACCTGACACATATATTTTGCCCATTTCACATGTACAAAATTTTTTAAAATAGATATCTTGAACCTTCTAGTTTGCTTCCTTTTTTATCGCATTTTTATTTTGAACTAAGAAATTTATCAACAAATGTGTCATCATTTAGTTTTTTGCCTTAGTTACCTTGTGACATTAATATTTTTTATAAAAACTCGGGTACCTATATTAAAATAATACAAAATATTCATTTGTATAAGTTATAAAATCAAAATCAAAAAGTAGGATTGTCTTAAGTTCTATAGAAAACACGTAAAATAAAAGTTTGTTGCATATGAAAATTAATTAATTTTATGTTCAATTGGAAATATAATAAATATCCCCTGACATTTAAAAAAGTAAAATTCAATTGTAAATTTGTGGAGGAAGGTGGTCTAATTTAATATACACGACACACAGTGGGAAATATTGGACAAAATTCTCGCCACTCGCTAATTTTCATCGTCTCATCGTGATTTTTTTTTAATAATCTCGTGATAATCTGAATTTTCATATTTCGGGATGTTCAGTTGTAGAAAAAAATGCTTAAAAAGTATCTGCTATTAATAAAATTGATGATTATGACCCTTGATGATATATCTGACGTTTTTTCTTCAAAAACTTAACCTCAAAATTATTAATCCTAACCTAAAAGCCTTACACGAAATTTACATTGGAAAAAAACAAACAAAAACAAAAACAAAAAAAAACAAAAAACAAAGCGGTAAAGGGGCTTCATTTTTAAAGATAACTAAAGCAGTCATTTTACTGTATAGGGTTTGAGGTTCTAGGATTTGAGAATCTAGTATTTGGTAGCATAGGGTTTAAGGGTCTAGAGTTTGCGAGTATAGGGTTTAAGAGTATGGTTTGGGAGTATAGGTATAAGAGTCTAGGGGAGTAAAGGGTTTGATGTTCTAGGCCTCTAGGCTTTAGGAATATTGAAGCCACAGGCCTACTAAAAAACTCTTTAACTTTATTTGCTGAAGCCGCTGAGGCTATAGCCTAAACGGACTATGGTGTAGTGTTCAAAAGTGTAGGGTATATAGTGCAGGTACGAGGGTATTGGGTTTGAGAGTATAGGGTTTCAAAGATCTAGGGTTCGGGTGTATTTGGCTTAGGGGTGTTTAGGTTCAGGAATGTGTGCATTTAGAATGACTGCATATCAAATCTATTGAATTTTTTTATTTTTTTTAGATAATATTTGATTCTTCTAACTCCTGAATTTGAGGTTAGGTTAGTCTATCAGGCTTCATTGCAAATTTAAATAATGGTTAGTAATAATAAGCCACAATAATGTTTTACAAACGTTTTATTGCTATGTAGATGTTTTTATGGAATTTCTTCTTCTTGAGTTACAAGTAATCCCTTCAATTTTTTCCGGATTTGTTATGATTATATAATACAAAATGATAAGAAAGGTATAAGCCAATAAAGTTCTGTTATCGGAACTACTTTAACAATTTACCGCGGCAGGGGCGTGCCTTGAAATTTTCCGTCAATATCTTTCTACCTCGGGTGTGGTATGTGGTTAATTCCAAGCGACGCAGAGGTATTCTTGGAATTCTATCTCATCAAATATCGTACTGACCGTTCTTGATTTTGTTTCTTTTGTAGAACATTAAATCATACAGTGCGTCTTATATATTTATGGCAAAGTGTAATAAATTAACTATTTAATACTCATGCTTAATTTAAAAAATTAAAGAGAAATGTATGGGTAGACACATTATAGGATAATTTGCAAAAACTGTGGCAGATATTATAAGAAGCACATTTTAAATGGTACTGGCAGTATTTTACCTATTATTCTTATTCCTTCTTATTCTTTAACCTATTTTCAAATCCTGGTGAAAGAAATTTCAAAATATATTTATATTTCAAGTCCTACGTTAAAAATTTGAGGTCAAAAGTCACTAGGTTGCCCCATAACAAAATCTATCGAATAATGAGCATTAAAAGAGAACATAACGTTTCTTAAGTAATGCATTGTTTCCATAATTGCAAATTTTAAACCCACAGCTGAATATAATAACCTGTAACATATAAGAAATTTATTATTAATTTAGTTGATTTAGATATCAGTAAGTCAACTGTAGTTCAAATTGTCTTACTGTATTCTTACAGTTACAAAGAAATTAAACTTTAATTTCGATTGTCATAAATCCAAATAAAACGTTTTATAGATGTTATAAAATAATGATAATTAATTTTATATGTGACTACCGTTCTACATCAGATATCATTAAAATATTATTATTGATGGATTACGTATGAAACAATGAAATATTGCATTTTTCTGTTGAAAATGTGGATTCTACACTGTATCGTACTTACCTAAGGTTATGAGCGCCCAGAGCAAGATTTCAATCAATGTTTAAGGAATAGTTAATATTATTTTATATGTTTTCTTTAATTGTAACTCTTAAACCTATTGCCACACTCTGTTAATTGTATTAACAATATCAATCAGAGCTAAAAATTAAAAAAGTTATAAAAGTAGTGAGATTTAAAGAAAATAAATAATTATATGTCGTATCTAAGTAAGCTTTACTATACCGTGACAAAAATAAAACAGATTTTAAAGGCTGATGGATACTGGTCACAATAAGAAAAATTACTAACTCATTTACTTATTCATTTGGCTGTAAGGTTTATTTCAGATTTTATATATGTATAAGAATATAATTTCTTTTTCTTTTCATGTGGTAAAATTCTAAGAGAACAGAACTTTTCTAAATGAAATTTTGCCAGATCTGTGCTACGCCTTGGATTGGATCTTTCGACACAAACAACTTTCTTTATCCAAAATATTTTAAAAAGTTTAAAAGATTAAAGTTCTATTTAAACACTTTTTACTTCCGCAAGACTTTCTCAATCATGTGTTCCATTTTTTTTATTAATCCAGCATCACCCAATATTAGATAAAAGTATTTACTTTTTAAATATGGCATTTTGTTGACAATTAAAACGAAATAAAAATTATTTTTTTTAATTATGCATCTAATGCGAGTTTATATCTCTACACATTAATTTTCATCTTCCTGTTCAAGCAACAATGATATTAAAGATATAAGTAATTATTGAAATTGGAATCACAATATCAACAACCAGACAAATCTCTTTGAATATCCATTTCTGATAAGTAAGCATTTAAAGATATACATATGTACAAAACACTTTCCTTTATTTAAAACAGTGTAGAGTTAAAAAGTGTAACGATATACTATAATGATCCACTAAGGAATTGAACATAATAATAGTATTTAAAATTGGAAATTTATACATAACATTAACTCACTCTCACTTTGTATGTTATTTTGTACTGCACACACAGCACATGTAAATTTACTACTACGCGTCATTAAACCGATATTGCAAATTTTACTATTAATATGTAATGTAATAATCGCATTGCTATAGGTAAAAGATTCTGATGCAAAAAATGTTTAGAAAATAAGAAAACTTGAAATAGTTGAAGTGGCTTCATTTTTAATATTACAAATTAGGAAACTAGGAACTTTAAAATTTAACCCTCATATTAATAATTATATCTTTAAGCAACAAATAAATTATTCAAACATCTTTACTTCTACACATAGGATTACCCAGAAGCTTTAAAATTACGAATTTCATATTTAAACTTTGATTACAATTCAAAAATATAAATCTTCTCCATTCCGGGCAATAATCTATGGATTTACTGCATGGATAAAAATACGGGCGTGTTTTCATGTGCCATAAGTCTCTTAGAAACCGAATTTTACCCGAAAATAAAATAATGATATTAACAATAATAGAAAATTAAAGGAAAGTATAATAAATTAAACAGTAAATAAATTTAGACTTACTACAAAATGACAAAATACAAGTACCTATCTTGAAATTAGATTTCGAGACAAATAAATAGCATAATACTCGTATATACAAAGGGACTAAACTTAACTTTGCACAATGACTGAACACAATATAGTAGAAATGTTAGTTCCAGTTATCATGTAATAATTAATAATTGGGGTAGTAAATATATTCGTTTGTTTTTGACAGGCACCAAAATACCTCTTTTACATAAAGGACATTTTGGTTTAAAGCATATACGCTACTTTTTTGCACTCTTGGCCTGAAGCAATCAGAATGAATTGTTAAATAAAATTTTTACGTACTGATTTGTCAAAACAAAGAAATGTCAAATCTAGACGTCATATCATAATACTTTGTAGGGCAGAGTACGTTGACAGTCATTTTATTCTCCTTTATAAACGTTCAATTGTTTTTGTTAGAGGTGTAAAAACACTTTACTCCGTGAATTAAGGTACAAAAAAGTACTTTAATTCACGGAGAATAAGTTTAAATGCCTCAAAAATTAAAACCGATATTCTACTCCTTGAAACTATAGAAGTACTAAAACAGCATATCTACTTCAAAAATATTTATCTTTGAAAAATAAAAATAAAAAATGCCCACACTATTCTGCCTCCTGTGAGGATTGAACTCACGACCCCTGGTTTACAAGACCAGTGCTCTGCCACTGAGCTAAAGAGGCTTCCGTTCGAAGCGTTACTTAATATGATTCTTAATTATCAGCCATTAAAACTGATCCGTATGCAAATAATTTAAAATAAATTGATATATCATTATGTAAATACTTTTTATACAAGGTAAATCAATTAATTGCCGCCAAAATGTTCCAGATGTATAATCAGTGTGGCAAAAATTCAACAAAATACTCAAAATATTCGGATTCTTGATTAATAAGTAGGTACTGAAAAATTCATAAAAATGCATTTGATTAAAATTTACATACATTCAGATCGGATATTAAGCTAGTGCAAACAAATTCAAAATATTTTTTTGTAAATCTTATCAAATGAAGTCAAATAATATTCTTCGATACCAGAAATTTAAATGTCTTTGTAATGCTCAACTAATACTGAATTATGATTTAATTTTCTTTTTTTAATTTAAGTTTGAAGCGAAAAAATATAAATAAGTGTAAGTTTTTTAATGGCCTCTTGAAATGATATTTCTTAATTAAAGATGTTTTCTGAAAAATACACGTTTAAATTACAGAGGAGAATAAAAATAATAACTTTGACACGTTCAATACTTTTACCTATCAATATTTCATTAGAAATAATTATTAATTAGCTATAAATATTGATAGTGTTACTCCTACTACCCACAGATAATTGACCATTACTTATTATTTACTATTATGTATCTACTTTCGTTAATTGTTTTATTTTCTGCATGTTATGTGTAATATTCTTCCCGTCTGGCTTATTCTTTTTCGAAACAAGAGCCTGTTGAATAACATCAGATCTACCTATATTCTTTCAGCGCCTGCAATGTCGTTAATTACCTATTAACAACAATAATAATTGTTAATGGTAACACAGTAACCGAATGAGGATTTTACCGGAATTTACTCCCGCGACCATAGATAACGGCTTTTTCAAAACTGTAAATTATATTAATGAAGTACCAACACGTGTAAATTTTATGGTAAATTAGCGATTCTTCTCGATGAAATTCAGAAATGACCATGCACTATTATTAGCAGTTGTTACAGTGTCAGAAAAAATATAAGAAAAAGACAGACATGGATAATTATATTTGCAGTATTTATTAGAGAATTATTCTATTTTCATAATATCTGGAATTTCAGGTACAACCGGAAATTTTCCCAGCTTTACATTTCCTTGTAAACAATTTTTTAACTTATGACGTTTTTGTGTCAAACATTTTATTTTTCTCCCAAATTCATCTATTTATTTATTTTTATTTGATTACCAAACAGACAACAAATTACAAGGTAAATAATTCAATATAAATAAGTACAAAGGAGAAATTAGTAGTAATACAGTAAAAAGTAAACAAAAGACAAAATGTAACGAATTCAGTAAAGAAAACATACACACAATACACAACAAATTAAAAAAGCGTCGAATGTTATAAAAGCAGCCAAAAAGTAAAAATTATTACCACATCGCCATCGGTCTGATATGTCATTGTATTTTCACTTTCACAGACAATATAGCTTATCGGTTCAAACCGCGCGTTAAATGCTGGAAATTGGCAACCCGAAAAAGATGCAGGCTCTTCTGAGCTGACATTCAACAATAAAATTTAGCGTGGTAACTCTTCTACTCGGAAATAGGTGGCAGCTCTAGCGGTTCCCAGATGTGCCAGTGTTACCCAGTAATAACTGGGCATACATATAAATTTAATGCAGATTGAAGAGTTGTATGAAACTTATCTTATGTTTGGTAATGACATTATTTGTGTTAAATGCTAAATAAAATAAATCAAGTTAGAATTAAAACTATAAATTTACCTAATTAATTACCTATATATTATGTTTTATATTTATATAAATATATGTTATATGAATCCGCCTTGGAATGGGAAAATACAAAAACTTAAAATTAACGTTTTTAAATTTGTACGTCGACGTCCAATTTGGTACGATACTGACGCCTATGTTAAAAATTGCATTATACAGGTTGTGTAAAAATGTAGCAAATCAAATATTTTTTATTGAATATTTTGTATTTTATCACGTAAAAGATTGCAGTCAACGTACCGGTAAATAAATATGGCTAACCAATAAATATACCGTGTATCCTTACATGGGTACTGCTCTCTTATTGTTCATCATGGATGCTTTGTAGGTACATACCACGACTTCATTGTAGAATTTGAACAGAGTATATTAATATTAATTTATATGTCTTGTTACGTAATAAATTTAATAAAAATGTATACAGACATTCTCCAGTGTTTAAAAGACTGGATATTATGATAAGATTCTTTGATCGTAACTTCTTACTGGATATTCTCCATAAAATTTGAAGTGAAATATTTTTAAAAATTTCACTGCACAAATTCCAAAGACGTCGAATGCGTTTTATATAATTGGAAAGAATATTAATCGAACCGGTGAGTAATATAGACTCTGAACGGTGTTTAAGTGTTTTTAAAGCATATTTAAGTGCATTTGAAATGTGAACTGCGTCAGCTGCATTATTTATTTACAGTTTACGTCTCAAATGTAGTTAAAGATATTTTAATCAAACCAAAGTCCTAGATCCTTAATAACTTTTTGTTTTGTTTTGTTAATAATTGTCAGTCATACACAAATAAAATTCTTTCGCAATCGATGTCTTTGATGTGATAAATGGCCAGGATTAGAGCCTTAGCATCAGCTTTAAAACCATTCCTAATATGCATATATGATCTGAAAAATTGCATTAATAAATAACTTATTATAATAGATTATTGTGATGTACCTATACGATTAAACGCTTTTGCGAAATTAGTTAATTAGAAATATATTGAATCATTGTTAATAAATTTGTTGTTGTGGATCTTTCTGACACAAAACTATGTTGATAATGCGATTTCATATTGTGTATTGGAAACTTTTGCTAAAGAAATAATTGTAATTGATTTATAAAACTCTAAAAAATTTCACTTAAATTTCACTAAATTTTAATCAGTAATGTATCAATTTCTGTCCACACCCGATTGAGTGAAATTTTCACTCTATTAGTATGAGTACAACTGAGTGAAACTATGGCATCAGAAATGAGTGAGTTTTATTCAAATCCGAGTTACTGCTATCAATTAAGCGACTTTTGACTCTATTCTGAGTATATAAAGACCTGTTTAGAGTTGACCCTTTCTCTAATATGATTTAAATTTAACTATTATTGAGTCATTTTTTACTCAGACTTAGTTTTTAATTAACTAAATATTGAGTGCAAAAATAAATCACTCATAAATGATTAATTAGGATATACAGTGTTGAAATTAATCCACTTTGCGGGGCCTCCTCCTGTCCTGGCTGAGACTTTCCAGTTGAGACCCGTCGGTGCTATCTTCACGGCGCCACTCAAATTACTCGAAATTAATATACATTTAAACTCACTCAGTATCGCATTTTGTTCAATATTATAAACATATTGCAGGCATGAGCAGCTTTGGTTTAATTAAAGCACATAAAATTGAAAATGTTGAAAATAAACATGTTAAGTATGCTATTACTACAGATAGCTATTACTTATACCTATAATTACATGTCTTTCATTCGTTACAATTATATTATACAGTGTGTTCCTGGGGTAAGCCGTGTTCCTTCAGATGGATACTAGTGGACATGAAAATAAACAATATTCATTTTATCTCTTGTAAACCAGCATTCATCAGTGAAGAATAATTTAATATCCGGACTTAACTTGACCTAGTCACTGCATTGTAAAAAGACGATTAGTTGATTAAGTGGGGTCGATGCAGGGTCGGCCTAAGTTTCGCGTAATAATTATGGATTAATTTTGAGGAATACATAAAAATTTAGACCACAGGTCGCTTATTGTTTACTTTCACGTCCTCTACCACCTTTTTAAATAAATACCACTTATAGCAAAAGTGAGAGTGTATTATTATATTGGATATTTAGTCCATGGATATTTTTTGGATACATACATCTTTGAGTAGGATTCTTAGAACCATTTTTTAATTTAGTTGAATTAACTTAATACGTAAGAATTAATTTAATTATTTTCCCAGAGAAAAATGGATAAACATTAACTTTTACACTACCCGTCCCGCCCATTTAAACTTTTCTGTGTATTCAATAGTTTCCAAGGTTCCTTAATAACACTGGAATCGTAATAATGAATTTACTTTCTCCTACATTCAGTTCTATTCATGTAGTATGTAGTCAAAATATATTCTACTATTTTTTGTATCACATGAGTAAGTACATAATTTTGAGATATTTTTTTGTGACTAATGGTGTATAAAACTACTGTTTTTTCTTATCATACCATACCTTGTCTCATCAAATATCTGCTTAGTTTCCCAAGTCTTTCTAACATCTTCAACATTGGAACAGACAGCTATTTACGAAACAGTAAAATCATTAATTTCTGAATACAAGCTCTACTTCTGAACACTGACATAAGTGTAAGTGTTATTAACGGATCCATACAATTTGCAAAATGGTTACAAACTACCAATTGACTCTTTCTCCATGGTGCTTCAGTGTCGGATTATAACGGATACAAATAAACAGCACTGTAAATGATGATTATATTATAGTTAACTAAGTATGAAGTCACAACTTAATGTTTCTAGTTCTATATAATTGTTTAGCGATGCAGAAAAGACATTTACTTTCAAACACTAACAAAAATATTCTATTTCAGGTGGCGGTACACGATAATCACAGGGATCCTCATTTTAACAGTGCCAGAAGTAAGTGTATTTTGTATACTGTGGATATAGTGTTACTCGTTTTAAGTGAATCAACCTCCGTATAAAGTTTATGTATGATCGAATTTCAGCAAGATCAATTAAAGATAATGCAAACATGACCTAGCACGATTTGAGTACGTTTTTTGAATTTAAAAAAGAAGAATTAATTAAAAAAAAGCCTCAACTTGGAAACATGATATTTGCCCAATTTAGGTAAAATCTTTTTTAAATGGAAATTGGGATTCAGTCAACTGATTTAAAAAATTATTGTGCTTATATCAATATAGTTTTATGGTGGTAATTTACATAAACCTTGATATGAAAGATATTATTTAGTACTTAACAAAATGTAATTTCTTTGTAGAATTGTCAAAGTCTCGATGTAGAAGAGACAACTTCGTCAATAGAATATAGCGTTAGTAGTAGTACTAGTATAATCACCAATCATGGTTCAACGGAGACTAGCGACAAAGGTTATCCTGAAGCGGCAGCTTTATTAGAAAATTCAAATCATACCAGGGAAGCTCTAACTCGCGATACCAGCGAAGTAGATTCGGTGAGTATTATAATTTCTAATTATAGTCCATTTATAGAAACTAAAGTATGTAGATATGTTCAGTTAATCAATCAACAATTGTCATAAACGCATAAAAAAATGGATACTGGATATTTGAAAATGTGTATTTGTCCAAATTGCTGAAGACAAGCAACACGAACTTATACCAAATTAGAAAGAGTACAACAATAGTCTATTTTTATCTTCAGCAGATACAATAATTCTGACGATGAAAAAAAAACACAATATTTACGGCTTCGTTTCAGGTAATTTAGTTTAATATGTATTTATGATACACTACCTTCATAAATGATTACAAGCCACGTTACCAGTAGGTAATTTTGTTTGGAACAGTGATTCTATTTCATTCTTGTAGGCAATTAAATTTCGTTAAAATTAAAAATTATTAAAACGATAAGATCATGATTACATTAAAACACAATGTTCTGTTTCTATTCAACTAATCAGTGATTGCATTATCTCGAGCGTAGGCGTAACGGTTTGTTACTGTTAACTGTAAACGAATTATTCATATTGGGCCAAGATTTAGGAATTTTTCGTTACCAGCACCAGTCATGCAATGTTCGGTTGCCTAAGTACGAGGGTCACGTGGCTTATAATCATTTATGAAAACTCTGTATAAGCCATCCATAAAAATAATTTTTGGCAATAACAATATTTTTATTAAAGAATATTTTTGTTTAACAAAGTTTTATAATAACTAAAATTGTTTATTTTATATGCTCCATGTCGGTTTCAATGTTTCGAGTGATCTAGGATAATCTAAATAGCCGAAAATTTAGCCAGTCTAGGTTTTTTGTGTACCCTCTAGAGGAAATGAATGATAAAAAAAGTAGACATTATTTGTAGAAGCACAATTTTGTACATAACAACGATAGTAAGTGAAAGAAACGAACATTTTTATTGATAATTTGAAGATCTAAATTAAATTACAAAAGTCGAACTAGAAACTATCTACGACTGGAGAAGAACAAAGGCCTGTTGCCTCTAATGGACGTATCTGATAGTTTATAGTGTGTAGATATTTTTATATTATTATTACATTTTAATTTCTCCCCCTTGATTTTATGATAATGGCGCTAATGTTTGTCATGCACAATGTTATTAATAGTAAGTGCTACCAAATGATAGTACGTTAATATTCTTCAAATACTTGACCAGATTTCTGGAGTACTTACTAAAGTAAGAAGGATATAATTTTTATAAATAAATTTTCCAAGAACTATCATAATTACATGTTTTTAATTTTACTAAACATGGGTATTGAGCGATAGCTGTATTTGCGAATCTATTGTACAGTAATAAAAGGGTTTAGATGTAATGTTTAACATTGGAAATAGGCCCTGTTCATTAATTACCAATATTTTTGCAAATATTCACAAACGCGTATTGTTTACGGTTTTATTGTAGTTACATTCAAAGATGTATCCGATATGTCAACAATGAATCACTCTTTCCTGCTTTTGTAAGTGTTGGTCAATATTAAAGAGATGGATCTGTGTGTGCACAAAATACTTTGCTTTCAGGCTTCACTTTTTATCAAAATATGTATCTGATAAAAATTAATGGATAAACATAAAAAGTTGTCCAAACTGTAGAAGAAAATAAAAATTTTCTATCAATAACGAAAAGGTAGATATGTATCATCATTGGCAATACATATTCCATACATAATTAAACACAATTAAAATCTCTCGATAGTTTCATGGTTTTGTTATCCATTATTGTTTTATAAACTATGTCTTCGAAGCTATTCATTTTTGCGAAGTATATTTCCACTATTTCTAATTTCTGCCCTATATATTAATTTCTCGATATTTAATTTTTTGGATTATCGTAATATTTAAGCACATGTTTATTACATCTAAAAGAAAGCAAATAATTTTAAGTTCTGCACTGTTTCCATCAGCATTTGGACTCTTTAACATACATTGAGGTTTTTATGTTAAATTCAAGCAAACAATTATTATCTAATCTGTAATCTAGGACATCACGTTTTCAGTTGTATGGGGTGGTGTCCTTGTAGAGAAAATTGTTTAGCACATTATGGAATCGGTTACTTTACTTGATACTACAAACAAAAATGAGTACCTACCTACAAAATAAATAATATAATATTTATGTGAGTATTCTGGTGCTTAGGTATCTATCTAACTAGATATTGAGGGTTGCTTTCGCTGTATAGCAAGAATAAAACGCTCTCTCAACGGTACAAATAAAGTATTTTTATTGAAAACTAAGCTTGTGAAAAAAAACCTGTTGTCGGTTCGAGCGTTTGCTGGGGAGCCCCTCTTGGCGTGGAGTCGCTCGCAGAAGTACCTGGTCCTTGGCGCCAATCTGCCGGGGTCGTCTTCCGGGAACCCTGGTGCGTCCGGGATGGCGTCAGGATGGCGCTATTGACGTTGTACTTAAAAATTAGTCACTTGCCACTTGTGTACCCACAATATTTTTTTTATAAGACCATACATATATTTGTCAAGAGGAAATATTCAAAAAACCATACAACATCTACTATTTACCTCTTTCAGGTTGTATTTATTGGTGATACTTCAGGATATGTGCCTGTTCCAGCACTTAGGCAAAGAAACCCAGCCATTGAATCAGACGATGTAGATTGGCAACAACCCGTGGACACTTGGGATAGGGAATACAGGAGATTTCGTTTTAACAATACTAGAGTTCAGCGTAAGTGTCGATATTATTTCGGTTCTATTATCCAAAAGCATGAAAAAAGGATAGAGGGTAGATTAATGGATTAAAAAAAAATGAAAAAAACTCCTCCCCGGCGGGGAATCGAACCCCGGTCTCCCGCGTGACAGGCGGGGATACTTACCACTATACTACCGAGGAATTGTGTTTCACCTCTCGTAAACTGAGTTATCAATGGTGTAATAAAGTACGTTTAACATGTATAAATATAATTTTATATTTTTATAATTTCTTCAATTATTCAATTATAATACATTATAAACTAAAGAAACATTTTCAACTTAACTTGCACCTCACGAGAGAGTACCTAGATCTAATTCTAAATCATTCATTTGGAAACGGACAGTTAAAAGTTTTTTTAATCTCCGTTACTTACACAGTTACATTGGTATTATTGTTTTCCAACTACCAAAACCAAAGTTATACAGATAATCACAAAAAGTACCTATCTACTTTAAATACTGTGTCACGTAAATACCTAACTGGGTTCATTTTATACATTCTCTCATGTTTGTTTGTGGTGAACGATCATAGTAAAAAATATTGTTAAATAATTAATACTTATTAAATTTTACTTAAGTCAAATAATAGGTAGTATAAGGGGTATAATTTAATGAAAAATATTTGTTCCTGATTGGCAAAAATATGTCATTAAAAAAATAGAAACAACGTTAGCTATAATTGTAATTATTTTAATTTAGATAATAATAAAATTCTTTACATTAAACGATTTAATTTAAAATAATTTAGAGAATGATGTTTTTCTTGGTATCACATCTCTTCTAGTCCCCCGAATTATTTGTAGGAAGGGCACTGATTGATAATTTTTTTAATCTTGAATTTTTATCGCCAATTTATTGATGACAATAATGACAATAAATTCATAAAGAAATTATAATTGAACTGGCTCAAATTTTTCCAAAAACTTGTTCACTGCTCTGTATCTTAAAACTTAAACTTTTTCAAAGGTAAAATGTATGAGATCATATTTAGCATAAGGATGGTACTAAATGTATTCAATTTTCAGATATCGAAGCTGAATGTCAAGATGATTTCATGAAAATTAGAATAGGTTTCAACGGAACATTTACTGGACTTGTGTACTCAGCAGGTAGGTTACTATAGAGCCACTATAAAGAACCTGGGTACTGTTAATTGAGTTAGGACCTAATTAACTAATCGGAGACGATAATATTTATTAAGTATACATTATGAGACCCAATTTATCCAAAAAAAGGTTTGGAGATATATGTTAATAAAATTGACATCGTGGAAGGGAAGAAGGTTGCAGGCGTCCGCATCATACTTTGTAACAACCGAGGAACAAATTTTAAATATTGTGGGAGAAATTTTTGAGGTCAGTCGTGTCCCTGGATTGTCCCAATCAAAAGTGTGACATACTGCATGAGGCTCAAATCCATCCGTGCTAGTCCATTAGTACCAGCGGATTATCCGTTACGGTTTAGATTTTGGGAATGGTTGACATAGAAAAATGCCTAAAGTCACCGATTTAGACCTGATGTTTTAGTTATAGAACAAGTTACACTGCACATATGTATGGAATCTTGAAAATCCGTTGCGATTCAGCGGGATTACTTCCAACGCCGTTTTTCTTAGAATGTTAGGGCAGGAATTGTCCACGATCACTTAATTGGATCGTTCATATTGCCAATCAAATGAATGGTTTTCAATATCCTGAATTTCTTGAAGATATACCTTCAGTTCATTCTTGCACGATAGTGCGCTCCCTCATTTCCAACAAAATGTCTGAGGTTGCTTTAATGAAGTTTAAGAAGTACAGCGAATTTAACGAGAACCAGCGATCTCCTGACTTAAATCTTCTACACATTTTTAATAGGACATTTATAAAATGAATGGATCGTACTAAAGTGGAAACTTTGATGATTTAGTTGAACGTATAACGTATTAGATGATACCAACAGTTGTATCAAATATTTTTTTCTTAATTACATTTAACAAAAGTAAGAATTAATGACAATAAAAGAACAGTAACTGAATTCGTTAAAACAAAATGATTGTGATAAAACTCTACTTATTTATTACCTCGTTAAATCTATTGACTGCGTTAATTCGCTTGGTCGGATATTAACATTAACAGGCGACCAAATTCCACTGACTTGTAGATAGATAAATATTTTAAAATAATTTTCGAAGTATATAATTTCTTTTTTTACACTATATCATTTGAAAGAATTTATTGTACAAACATAAGTTTTGATAAGTTGAATATTATGTAACAGTTCGGACCGGTAAGCTACAGGAAAGCTGCGTGGACGATCTAAGCATGAAAGAATCAATAATAAAAATAATATTCTAAAAAATTGACGTACTTGGATTTAATAGTCCAACTGCAACACTAAATAATCAGTCTAATCATTGTTACTAGTTAATCAGTTCTTAATCAGTACCAGTTCTCAAGATATCAGCCACTAATGTCCTGTAATAAAATGAAGAAAAGGTACCTATAAGTATAGTCTTTCCGAAGTCAGTTAATGGGTTTTCCTAAAAAAGTTTTCTGCTAAAGGTAAAAAATTATAAGTTGTATATGTGTAGAAAATTTCTATTATATGTTCATTTGGCCAACAACATATTTTAATTATTTATGTCCTCAACCAATTGTATTATTAAAAATTTCGTTTTGCTCCGTTTCAAAAGGTCTCCAAAATGCCATGATGTAATAATATTAGTAAACAAAATATCCTTCTTATCCTTTCGCAATTGTAATATGAATGATTAATAGAAGGTGCCTATAATAAATTAAAATTACCTGAATAACACCAAATTCCGCATTATTGCACTGCACTGCTCTGCTAGGCAATTTGTCAACCATTTGTCAACAACTGAGATTTATTGTCCAGTCGCCCAGTGCGGCTGTGTTATACGCCGTTTGCCCGCGCCCCCCATTTTTCAACTGGGCGTATACATTTCTACCACTTCCACGTTTAGTTTGACCAGACCTGTACATATGTGGGTATGGCTAAATAAATATGGGAACAAGTTTTTCAAAAATTTCAATGCTATGTTGCTGCGTCAGCGACCGAACCTGGTACATACTGCTAACCTCTTGGTTCTTCAATCGAGATCGGAAAGACTATACATATATCTATCCACTTATTTTTTATTCAATGTACATTCAAGGTATAGGTAACCCTTTTTTTATTTTATAGGTTATGCATACGATCCGGATTGCATGTATATAAATGGCACAGGAAGAGACTACTACGAATTTTACATTCAGTTAAACAGATGCGGTACGTTAGGGAAAAATACTCATAACGAGGACAACAGAAAAACACCAACGGTGAGTAATATTATACAGGGTATTACTTTAAGTGGCGGTCGGTTTTTTTGAAGGTAATAGTATGTGGTCCCCTGAATACGAATCTAAAATTCATAAATAATCGAAGTTATAATTAGTTTTTTAAACTGCACTTTAATTCTCGATAACGCCGCCACTGAACGGTGTAAAACTTTTTAATATTACTTGTTTTCATTTCCCTAAATGTGTCCCTCTCTACTTTATGTAGTGGCAGTAGTATAGTTCACCTAAACTAGATCAATGACAATGTTAGAGGCCACTGACAGTATGATTCGCCAATTAAATACCTACATACACTGCTTAAAAAAATAGTAACACATATTTGTTTATAAAAACTTGAATTGATTTTAAAAAAATATTTCATATCAACTAGATTAGGTACTACTTTTATTTATTTTATTTACAATTAGTAACGTATTTACGTTATTATTTAATATAGACTGCGTATTTTTTTTATAATAAAATGTTTTTTAGTTGATATCAAAAATAACCCGTACAAGTAAGCAATATGTTTTACTAAATTATCGTCTCTCTCTAAACTCTAAACAGTTGTTTTAAAAAGGTAACAACTGGCAACGCTGTTAATGTACTAATAGAACTTACCACGCTAATTCTGTATGGTTTGGTTTACGCCCCCCAGTGGCAGCGTAAACAAGAATTTATTTAATAAAAAAAAAATTCATATTCCGAGGAACACGTCCAATATACGTAGTATGTAATAACTCCTAAAAAAAAACTGACTGCCAATTAAAGTTACATCCGTATATAAATAAAACACAGATAATTATTTTTTATAGAAAAATTTTATGTGGAACACCGTCACCGTACAGTATAATCCCCTTATTGAAGAAGAATATGATGAACATTTTAAAGTTACTTGCGAATACGGATACGATTTTTGGAAAACAGTAACTTTTCCTTTTTTGGACGTTGAGTAAGACAATTTATTTAAAAATATACATATTATGTGTAATTTCTTTAAATAGATAAATATTTTTTAAATTTTCTATTCAAACTATCATCTTTTATGCTAAATTAGTCAGTAACTTGATTTTTAACACTATGCCTTTAAAAACAATTAAGTAAAACAGGTTTCTAGGTATATTATTGTTTCATTTTAAAGTATGCTAAGAAAACGAAGCATTTTGCCTATTTATTAAAAGTACAATAATTCTGTGTTTATTTGCAGAGTGGCAACAGGAAATCCTGTTGTCTTCACTTTAAGCCCTCCAGAATGCTACATGGAAATTAGGTATGGATATGGTACAACGGGAAACAGAGTTACAGGGCCAGTAAGGGTTGGTGATCCACTTACATTGATAATATATATGAGAAGTAAATATGGTAAGTTAGTATAAGCGCCTACTTTGTGTGTTAAATTATTTATTGAAAAACTGATTAAATTATCTTGTCTGTTATTACTACCCTTGGGTTATTTATTATAGCTGGCAATTACATAAAAACAGATTTCCATGAAATATTAATTAATTTATTTTTGCAACTATAAATGTTTGTATGTAATATGTATTTTATTTCAGATGGATTTGATATTGTAGTGAATGACTGTTATGCACACAACGGAGCAACAAAGAAAATTCAACTGATTGACGAATACGGGTGAGATATTACAATAAAAATGTACTAAATTAAGCAAGGAAATAAGAAAATTATACAAATTATTCACTCTACACCCAAGTTGTGCGTTATTTTATGATTAATAAATATGCCCTGTCCTATTTTGCAGTTGTCCAGTAGATGATAAACTAATTTCAAGATTTCGAGGATCTTGGTCTGAGGCTGGCGTATTTGAAACACAAGTGTTTGCATATATGAAAACATTCAGATTCACTGGCTCTCCGGCATTATATATTGAATGTGACGTTAGAATGTGTCATGGAAGATGTCCTGTAAGTAGTATGTGAAAATATTTTAAATAAATACCCAATGCATTATTTTGTATAGAGTCAACCATGCCATTGGAGAAATATAAAAACAGTACAGAAACGGTCAATTGAAGAAGAGGCCTCCTCAACTATAGGATCACAAAATACTTCATCGCTCTCAGAAAACATCAATCTGTTTCAATCACTTCGAGTATTACAAGAAGGTGAATCTGATGATGATCGAAATGTCACATTTGCAAGTAAGTTACCCGACGCATTAATAATAAAATATCATAAAACAATTTAAAAATAAATTGTCAAAGTTGAAGTTACATTTATGTATAAAATTTCAATAAACACAGTATGTTCCACTTTTAGCAACATCATACATGTATTTTAGATCTCATGATTTTCATAGATTTTCAATTTATTTTTAAACATATTTAATTTTTGTTTCTACTTCCTGGCCTGCTGCCTCAAAGTCTCTGCCAAAAATTATAAAATGGTATTAAGTACTTTTTTAAAGGAAAATCTAATAAGTTATTTGAATTGTAGGTGTCATAGGCTAATACCGAAAGTTCACTTTTATAGATCCATATACCGGTTCGGAAAGTCCGCATGGTACATCGGCCGTTACGTGAAAGCGATAAAGTAAGTCATAGAAATCCGTACGATAGACAAGGATGGTTACATTGAAGACGTTTCATAATCTGAATAGTCAGTCCCTTCTAACCCGAAACGGGCGGTGACTATTTAGATTATGAAACGTGTTCACTATAGCCATCCTTGTCTATCGCACGGATTTCTTTACTTTACTTTGTCGCTTTCATGTAAAGGCAAATGGACCATGTGGATTTTCCAGCCCTGTATAGGGATTTGCTTCAGTAAGTAAAATTTTTAAAAGGTAGATATTTGGAACGCCATGTAAAAAGTTAGTGATTCATAATGTTGGACCGTATTGGATTACTCGTAAGAAGAGATGATACTTTTATATACAGGGATGGCCAGAAGTACGGAATAAAATTCATATTTTTTTAAAAACGCCGAAACACGTTAATTGATTTTGATTTTTTCCCATCTTTCGGTTATATAATAATTAATTTTTCCTCAACCCCCTAACCCCCAGCTACCCCTACTTTTTTGTCAAATGGAAACATAAGGCATGAGGGGGCTCAAAACCAAATCCAGCCATACCAAATAAACAAGTTTTATTTTTTCAATAGCAAGTTTTTTTCATTTAGAAATTGAAACAACTAGATAATTTACAAAAATAAACTCAATGTCGCAAATGCTGGAAATGTCCTCCATTCACTATTTGGCATTCTCCAAGACGATAGTAAAAGCTGTCCACAGCATTCTGAATGACTTCAGCTGGTAAATTATGCATCTCCGCCCTAATCTTGTTCTTTAAATTCTCAATATTATCCGGTCTGTCCTGGTAGACTCTTTCTTTCAAATATCCCCAAAGAAAATAATCCAGGGGTGTTAAGTCGGGGGATCTTGGCGGCCATTCAACTGTACCCCGTCTACCAATCCAGCGATTTGGAAACATTTCATCTAAGTATCTTCGAACATCAATACCAAAATGTGGGGGAGCGCCATCTTGTTGGAACCAAATTCTTTCATTCGGTATATCTGGATCAATTTCATGAGGGAAAATCACAGCTAGAGCAGGTATCAGGTCAAATGTTAGGAAATCCAGGTAGCGTGCGGCAGTAAGATTTTCTTCAAAAAAGAATGGGCCCAAGATTCTGTTGTTGATGATACCTGCCCATACATTAACTTTTTGTGGATGCTGCGTATGCGATTCGCATGTCCAGTGTGGATTTTCCTGGGACCAAAAGCGATAGTTGTGCCTGTTAACCACTCCATTTAAATAAAACGTAGCTTCATCCGAAAAAAGTACGTCTCGTTGAAAACCATTATTGTCGTCACACCGTCTCATCATTTCCTCACAAAATTGTAATCGCCTATCATAATCGTCTTCCAAAAGCTCTTGGACAAGACATACCTTATAGGGGTGGTATTTCTCTTGTTTCAGAAACATTCGAATTGCAGTTCGAGAAGCATCGTGATTGCGGGCCAATGAAACAGTTGAAGTATGAGGATTTTCAACAAGTTCTAATGCAATGTCTAATTTCTTTTCTTCATTCAAAGCACGTGCCCGTCCAGTTTTGGGCAAAGTCTGTACTGTACCGTGTTCCTCAAATTTGTGAAATATTTTACTAACTGTCCCTTGCGAGATTTGGTTTTCGGGATATTTCGCATTAAATAAATCGCGCACTTCAGCCTGACTTCTTATTTTGTCTCCACATCCAAGCAATATCAAGATTTCGATGCGTTGCCTTTCCGACAATACCATTGCAATTCAGTAAATAACTTGATTTTGACACAATAGTAACGTTTCGAACTCCAATTTACAACTAAAGCGAAAAATTAACCAGAAAGCCTGGCAAGTAAGTGGTGCCAAAAAAACGCAACATAAAAAATATATCTTTTTTGCGTTAGCAGTGATAGGTACAGTTTCAAATTCTTTATTTTATTCTGTGCAAATTCATGGAGGATAACACTGAAGATAATTAAATTTTATTTCACTTGTTAAGTAGGTGTTTTATACAACCCTAAAAACCTTGCTATTGAAAAAATAAAACTTGTTTATTTGGTATGGCTGGATTCGGTTTTCTATAAGCTTTTCAACGAGCCCCCTCATGCCTTATGTTTCCATTTGAAAAAAAAAGTAGGGGTAGCTGGGGGTTAGGGGGTTGAAGAAAAATTAATTATTATATAACCGAAAGATGGGAAAAAATCAAAATCAGTTAACGTGTTTCGGCGTTTTAAAAAAAATTAACTCATTCAAAAGATATGAATTTTATTCCGTACTTCTGGCCATCCCTGTAGAGTATTAAATTTGGTCCCATATCTAAGTTAGTAGAAAATTGTCCCTTGCCATTTTAAAATACGACATATTTTGTACGATATATTGTAAGTACAAGGATAATTCTACTGAAAGTGTGCAATACACTGTATAATAAAAAAGCAGATTTACAGAAAGTTTGATTTAAAAAATTATCTTTCACATTTTGTAAATTTTATAAATAGGTATAAATTATATCTTAACAATTACCTATCGTTTATTTATAGGCCAGCAAATAGCGGATCCCAACAGCATATGCATGAAAACGGGGTGGTTTTCAGCGCTTCTTGCACTAGGAGGTGGGGCCATGTGTTTATTGGGTGGTGCCCTTTTAGCAACCTGTACCAAAATGAGGAAAGTTGCCATCGACAAAGTGCTTACCGGCACACATTTCAATGGATATATGAATCATAGAGGCAGTATTAATTGATAAGGCTGATCTGAGTGTCATGTTTGACAAGTGAAAGGCACATGAATTAGCGACTATAATTAAAATAATTTATTTTTTGCCAAGTTTTGTTTTACCTAGAGAAAATGAGACATGAACAATATCTTGTATGTTACAATTTATGTATTACTCAAAACGTTATTTACTAAGAAATGCAATTCTTAAGTATTTGTAGCTTTGTATGCCCTTGTTGTGATGAATTAATTGGAGAATAGACAATAAATTTTGAATAGATACCTATTTAAAAATTGTGGTTTTCAAATTTGGAATAGAAAAATCATCGTGAGTTCATCAATAATAAAAAAACAAGATTTATGAACCATTGAATATCGGACGTTACAGACAATTTTAATATGAGGAAAACAGTATTTTTCTTATTGCAATATTTGCAGTATTTTTTTATGTAATTCAAAATTTATTTTGGAGTTCTTGATACCGCTTCTGTAGAAATGATCACACTACTTAATATACCTATTTATTTCTCTACAAAAGTGTACAATATTCATCATGTAATTTTATAAACATCTTGTGTGTGATATTCTTATGAATTGACTTACTTAAGTATTGTGTAGTGTTCTACATTGTCTAGTTTTAGAACTATTTTAGCGTATCGTTTATTTCTTTAAAAGCTTACATACATGGAGAATTAGATCATTTATGCTTCGGAAAAGTTCCAAAAAAAAAACTATGAAACAATGGAAATAAAATTATCTCAGTGGCAGATTATAAAAATTAAGGTGGTTATACAATTTTGATAATGAAGTATGGAACCCTCTCTTAGGTTATAATTTCTATTCTCACATAGAAAACTTTTATAACGAATGAAATTGAATGAAAAATTAATGAAAAAGTTAATATAGAGGTTTTCAATCTTGAGAATTTAAAGGTTGCACATTCATGCAACATGTGTAAAATGTGTTTTTTTTTCATAACCAACTGACAGCACTTTTTTATCAAAATATAGCCACCCTTAAAATTTTCATCAACTGCCACTGAATTATTTGTAATATTATATCTTCTTCTCCTGTATGTCTGGAAATTATGAAATATTTTGTATAATAATTATGTATTAAGCTTAGTAATTATAACAATTTGTACAAAATATTTCCTTTGCATTAATAAATTATATTTTGTGCATTTTTTAAGGTTCGTTTGTAGATTTTGCATAATTATATATGAGAGAACAAAATAGTTAAATTGTTTTTCTGCCGTTTTTATAGAAATTTATTTGTCACCACTCATCATCGGTAAAACTACAACGCCACAATATCCAGGGCGATTCACAACTTATCCGAAAAAATTTGATAATAGATGCGTCATAAAAAATGGAGTTAATATTGTTAAACAAAATTTTGTAAAATCCTTATAGTTTCAGAGAAAAACTTGATTGAAGTTGTAGTATTTAAAACCCTTAAATCGCTGGGCTACTGTATTCTCTAGCATCATTCGCGTTGTAGTGTATTTTTAAATCATTTTAGAACTGTCCTTTTTGATTTTTTTTTTACAAAATTGTATTTGCATGAGAGTCCTCTGTAAATTTAATATGATATGTTCTGAATCACCCTGTATTTAACTTTGGTTCACAAACTAAACAAAACTGGACATTTTGTAATCACAATACAAGAACATGGGCGTAGCCAGGAATGTTCCTATAGGGGGGCCGAGAACTAGTTTATTAAACAAAGGGTATAATATGTGAAATCATGGTTTCAAAAATACCAAGAATATATGGTTAAACCGAGGAATTTGTGCAAAAGCCTTTCTACCCAACGGCTAAAAGCAAACAGTGGTCTAAAATGATTCAATCTGACTGTTTTACGCTTAACTTATTAAAACAAGTAATATAATTATTTTTGTTTAAAATTTTATATTAATTAAACTATACAGAACGAATGACCAGTAATAATAATGTAATTGTGAAACTTGCAACATGCAGCAAGAACTCTGGGTGGGGCGTGCCTCCCCGCGCCACCTAGCTGTGCCCTTGGACGCATATAAACGCACGTTAAATTTGCAAAAGTACTGCACGTTATCAAATTTCTCATTTGAACTACTGTAAAATTAAAGAATTGAAAAAATAAGGATTTTTTTTGCGACATACGTTTTAAGTCAGTTAAACTATGGCTGTTTATCCACGCCATCCACCATCCATCCACTATCATGTACAATAATGTACATAGTAATCATAGTAACAGTAACAATAATATTAGATATATACAGGGTGATTCACAACTTATCCAAAAAAATTTGGGAATAGATGCGGCATGAGAAATGGAGTCAATATTGTAAAAAAAAAATTGTAAAATCCTTATAGTTTCTGAGAAAAAAATTATTGAAGTTATAGCACATTAAACCACTACATAGCTGGACAACTGTAGTCTCTAGCATTATTGGCCACGTGGCCTCATCGAACCCGAATACTAAATTCGGATTTTGCAATCGTCGTTGCGATATTTACCTGTTATCTGTGGTTTTTATAATACGTTTTTAGTAGTTGGTGTCAAAAATGGGTAGTTAGTGTCAAAAATGGTTTGCGTGTACTCGGAGTTGATGGATATCGTTTTAATTTAATGGTGAAGCGTTTGTGTTATGGTGAAACAAGACATCATTTGTGTTAGTTCGTAAAAAGTGAGTAAGACGGACCCAAATGTGTTTACACGTGAGTGGATAAAATTTTGAACAATTGCTGTTGCAGCATCGGGTATGTCAAATGTATTTATTATTTAAAAACACAAATTAATTTTATTAATAATTAATAAAGGCAAAAGCATTTGAATTTGCCGATATAAAATAGGTGCGATAAAATTCTATTTACATATTTCTTTCCTTGCGAAAGTTTTTGTCCGTTTTTATCACGCCGCCATACCGGTCGCATTGTGCGCGGTCAGGTTTTACAGTGGACCAGTTTCTAGTGCCGTGCAGAAGTGTATTTTTAAATCAAATTTCGAACTGACATTTTTGATTTTTTCTTTACAAAATTGTATTTGTAAGAGTCCCCTGTACATCCAGAATTTTTTTTGGATAAGTTCTGAATCACCCTGTATAAGTAAATACTTACTTAATGCATTGACTAACGTAAGGTGCAACTTACCTTTCAAACGATTTCTTATATTCTTTCTTTTCGTTATGAAATTGATGTGAAGGTAAACTATTAATATAAATTTGAATATTAACAACAGAAAATATAGAACTCTAGTTAGTAAAATTCTCATAAACAATAATGAACACGGTAGACTTCCAGTGTATATATCCGCGAATGCAGCTAAGAGCTCGCCCTCTGGCGGTGACAAGTGATACTAGTGAAACAAGGTAATGATTTCTTGTTTGTGACATTTCGTTTTGTATTTTATTTAAAACTATGTGTTTGCTTTTGTTATATTAAAAAAATAGTGTGAGGAAATCTTCAGCAGTTATGGACATTATCTAGGGTTATGGATAAAAAGAAGAAATTGTCGAACTATTATTGTTCAGTTCATGGTTGTTCTTCATGGCCCAAGAAAAACCCAGAATTAAGTTTTTATTAAATTGAAGAAATTTTCAAAATATTATTGTCGATAGACAATACTCCCTGAATTTTAAGAGCGTTGTTGGTAAGGGCACTAGTTTGCAGACACAATGAATAAATTTCTAAATTTAAATCACTTTGCCCAATTTTCCCACATAGTACCACATGATCAGCGTTAAAAACTGCCTCTCCTTCTGATATACAACGAGTTTTCGTTGGCACTTAAATAGGAAATGTCGGTATTCCACAACGGATAACTTCATAGTTATAACCTCAAAATATGTACATTAAATTGTAATGCTAGAAACAAACAAGGCAGACATAAATACTTGCATTAAAATTTATTTATTAAATTTTTGAAACCTATAAAATATCATAAAAGTCAAATAACCGCAGTTTAATAACAAAATTACTAATAATAGTGGGAAATAAAACGAATGTTGTTCAAATGAATCTGTAAAGACTGTAAACACGAACGGCAATGTCAAAATTACCTTGTCTCGGAGCTTACTGCTTTCACCGCTTGATGCGCTTGCATCTTAAAAATTATCACGGGTTCATTGGATATTATGCGCTCTATGTTTTTCCTTATCTATGGTCTTTCTATTAATCATCATAGATATTTTATGTCATAGATGTCAATGTCAAATAGTCAGATGTCAATGATGTCATAGAATGTTTGTATGTGTATAATTATATTTTGCTGTGTATAATTTTTTTGATAAAGTTGTAATTTAACTATTTGAATCGTATAAATTTATTTTGTATTAAAATGTCTGTAAGCCAAGGTGAATACGTGTATACATCCATAATGATTCATTATGTACAATGTTTTTGTTTATTGCAGACAATCGTCCTGAATTGTACGAAGAAGTAAAGCTTTATCATAATGCTCGAGAGCGTGAAAAGTAAGATTTAAAATAATCTAACCATCCTAATGAATAAAAAAGTAAAATATATTAATATCGATAATCTTTTAGGTATGATAACCTGGCAGATTTATATGCTGTTATAAATACATTACAACAATTAGAGAAAGCATATATCAGAGATTGTGTTACCCCCAAGGAATACACTGGGGCTTGCAGCAAGTTATTAGTTCAATATAAGGCAGCTTTTCGACAAGTTAACAGTGATGAGTACCCAACAGTAGATGCATTTGTTCGCAAGTATAGGGTGAGAAAATATTTCTTGACATTGTTGATAATAACCACATATTCCTTTTTAGCTTGACTGTCCAGCTGCTTTAGAACGAATAAAAGAAGATCGTCCGATTACAATTAAAGATGATAAAGGTAATACCAGCAAATGTATTGCTGACATCGTTTCTTTATTTATTACCATTATGGATAAATTACGATTGGATATTAGAGCCATGGATGATTTGCATCCAGAATTGAGAGACTTGGTTGATACTATGAATAGGCTTAGTATTTTACCTTCTGATTTTGAAGGAAAACAAAAAGTGGCAGAATGGTTAGCTACTTTAAATTCCATGCAAGCATCGGATGAACTGTCTGAATCACAAGTAAGACAGTTGCTGTTTGATCTTGAGAGTGCTTATGCTTCATTTAATAAAGTTTTGCACAATGCAGCATAGATAATAACTATTCAACATAAAATGATAGAATATTTTATAATCATATAATCAAAATAAAAAAATTTTAAATTTAGTAATGTATTTTCCTGTATATAATTTTATATTATTATAACACAGATTTTGTTTTTTCATTTTCTTACATTAGATGAGTATGAAAATGGGTATGTAATTTAGATATGTGCTATTAGCAACTAATATCAGTTCAGAGTAACACTTAAGATGCTATTAGCTGCTGGTAGCTACTATTTTTGCCAAATCGAAAGGCCCTTATGGTACAATGTATATGTTTATTAACAATTATAGGTCAACTTTATTATTTTTAACTTTCCATTTTGTTTTATAATTTGATATTTTATATCAAATCTAAAAATTTCAATAACCGCAAAAAATCAATTTTAAAAATCTTGTTGCGTCTGGAAACTGGTGCAAAAATGTAAATAAACAGACCCTGTTTTCACTATTCGGTCATGACTCATGAATAAAAATATATAGGCGTATTCGCACGACCCGTGCCATGGCATGCGGATCAGTGATCAGATCAGTGTGAACTATAGTATCATTAGTATCTGTAGTAGTTAGGGATGTTCTGTGATCTGTAGCCTCTAGGACTACTCTTTACTATTATATGTTTTGTGCCTTTACTCTTTACTGGTTTGTATTATTTTGTGCCTTCTTGCCTACTATCTAACCAGAGTAGTTCATATTTCGAAAAAGCTATCGTGTAGCTCAAATAAATCAAGCCGCAGGTAAGGCATCTCTTCAGAAAAAAAAATATATACTTGTGATATAGTAATCTACATTACAAAATGCTATTACACTCATTTCAAACAATATTTTACTACGAAAACTTGTTTCCAATATGGACAAAGCAGTTTTATACGCTGAAAGGTAATTATAATTAATAATTTAAGTGGGCAAGTTGGCAGATCTTACGTGACGCTAAACAGTTAAATAACCTTACGTCATTTGACGATTTTATTAATAAAAATATAAAAAATAACTAGAAGAAGACCGTCGTCCATTGGGGACCAGCTGATTTGAGTTGACAATAAAATGTTCCGGTCTCAACAGCCCGTTTTGGCTGGTGAAGTGAAAAAATATAGTGCGGTTTTCGCTAGAAACAATTAAAAATTAACAAAAGATCGCAGGTGACGATGGAAAATGAACAATGGGCTGCAAAATATCAACAATCTGTGCCGACGGGTTTAGAAAGGACAGAGAATAATTTAAACAATGGCAACACAGAACACCTCTCAAAAGATAGTAAATCCTTGAAAAATACCGGCAAAGATGAGCCGGAAAATGATGTTAAATGTCCGGAGCCGAATCTGGATTGTAATCCACCTAATGTTACGATTAGGTTAGTAATAAATTATTTATTTATAACTTTGACTAATAAAAATGATTTTTACAATATCAACAGATTAATTTTCAACATCTGTTAATATAAATAAACATACAGTTTTTTATTTTCCACGAGCCGTAATTAATTTATTATATTTCATTTTTAGTGAGAAAGCTAAACAGACAATACAAGCTATTTTAGAACAAATTAAATCGCTTTCACAAATTGAAAAGTTTCTTTTATTTTTAAAATTACCATCTGAAGTGTCTCATGCTGTTGATCCATTCCGACAACCTTTGAATCCCTTAGGTAGCAGATCAGAAATTTACAGGACTATATCATGGATCAAAACACATTTGGAAGAAGATCCAGATATTTCATTACCAAAACAGGAAGTTTACAATGGATATTAGTAAGTACATTTTAATTCATAATTAAATTATTCAATCTACAATCTACATTTAGAAACTAAAGTGCAGAATGGCAGTAACAAAATAAGTAATTTATGCGTAACTCATTTTGCATTAACATCTTTGACTACTGCATACAATATTTCCTCTACCGGTAATTAATATGCAGATGATATAAATTTGCCCCTCTTATAAAACTCTTAAAATTGGATTGATCTAACATCAAATTGTTCTTTTTTACAAATGGTATAAAATAATAAATAAACATAGTTATTAGAACATTGACCAACCTTAAACCTACCTAAAAAGTATTGGTCTACTTCTTTACATAAAATTGTATGCACCTTACTAATATAGAGTATTTATTTACTTGACAGGATATATCAGAATTGAATTAAAAAAATAACATGTTTTTTCACAGAAAATTGCAATATCTTAATAATGGGCCACTATGCCGGTTTTTGACAATTTAGTAAATATTTTAACTTTAAGTCGCTACTTCATCAACAGTTCTTTACATTAGGTCAACTTGTTACGAATCTGAATAACAGTTATTCTAAAATTGTTAAATATAAATATAATTTTGTTACAATCTGAAGTTTGTAAACAAAAAATTAATTGAAAATTCATGTTTCAACTACCTGCTACTTGATTTCGACTACAAATATTCCCATTTTCGACAACCTTTTATATAAGATAATCTTAATCAGAAACAGTCGATACAGACACACATATAGCTTTTTGGAGAATATCTTTTGAGATATTGGTTTTATTTTTCCTAATTCTGTTGCCATTAATTTGGTTAGATTTTTTGGAAGGTATTCTACAACCTATAGAACATCTAAAATAATTAAGAAAAAAGATGTCTACAAAATAAATGAAAAACCCATTAAAATCTACTGGTCGAATAAGGATCCATTTTTCGGCTATCTAGTTAAAAATTATAGAAATAAATCAAAGCATGCCTATAAAGTGATCGAAAACTGGATTTTATATTACAATTACGCTTCCAAAGAGTAAGTTAGAATAGAACAGAAGATGTATGATCATAATTAAATAAAAAGTGAGAGAGAAATTTGAAGCTGGTTGTCTGATTTTCGACCAACTGGTTGAAATCCAATTGGAAACATTTCTCTAATATCTATTACTTGACTACTCGAATTTAAAAAAAAAAATTACAATATATGATTTAAAAGTACATTTATCGATCAAATTGATGATAGATATTAATGATAAAAATCAAATCTATTTAAGAGTAATTCAATATTTGCTTTCTCTTTTTTGAAGCAAGGTTCAGTTTAAATTTTTAATGGCTTTTGCCACGTAACAGACCATTTGACTGCTACTACAGGCATCTGTGCAACTTGGCGCCTTTAAATTGTACAAAAATATTAATAAGACCACAACAGTGGAACTGTGAAGGAAGTAATATGTATTCGTGCTTTATTTTTGCGCGAATTTGACAAAATTACAACAAAACTGATACCTACTGCTCGAATAACCAGCACAGTGACTATACTAAACTGGACAAATTGATACTTTTCTCGATATATCTATAGGAAATTCATCACTAATAAGCAATTTTAATCATTATGAAACTGAGAAAAAATTGTGATTACTAGTAAGTAAACTACATTTGTAGATAAACAAAAGATTACATTACATTTTTACAGACATTTTAAAAATTAAAGTTGTTTTACAACCTACTGATAAATTATTGGAGACTGTATTAATTTGCAATCAAATATATTAGCATGTTAGAGTCAAGTCTCAGTGGCAGCACATGGTCGGTTTGTATGGGAAGGTTGAATAAAAATTAACAATACTTACTCTTCCCAATTAATACATTATACTTTTTACAAGCAACATTAGAATGCAAATATAAACCAAGATGAAATAGAATAGAGAAAAGATGAATGTTATATATAAATAATTTCTTACAATTTCTCTTTATTACTGAATGAGATTCACAAGTCTACAATCATGGATAAATAAAATGAACAGAAAATTAATGTAATATAAATTAAATATGTAATTAAATAGAAGTTGTTATTAATAAATAATTAAGGAGTAAGTCTTGCCTAATAGAGTTTAAGATTTTGTTTCCTAAAAAATTTAAATTTCATCTATTACGTAGTAACATTGTGTTACTATTTATTACAAAATAATAGTAGATAATAATATTTAACCACAAAGGAGCCTTAGTTATGCTTGTTTAATAACTAAATTTTTAATGAGCTACGTTTATTTATGTACCCGCAACAAAATGAGTTACAGAAGCCTGCACAGTTTAAATCTAAGTAAATGCTGATCTTCATCCGAACGTTTATGAAGGGCAATGGAGCCTAGTCTGCACTGTTCCATTAGAAAGCCGAATGAATTTAGTGTGATAAAGCCACAGTAGAATTGAACTATGTGACCCTTAGGTATTTAGGATATACATAACCTCTACTGTGCTTTTAGTAGCCTATAAATAGGCTACTAAAATTTGTTATAGAAAAATTGTTTATATTTAAGTTATTAAGTATAACAAATAATCAAAATGTTTTGCTCCTCTGCTTCTTCTGAAAAACCACCACTGTTCAGTGTGTATATTTAATTTTTAGCAATTACTGTGAGAAAAATAGTGTTAAACCTCTATCACAAGCAGACTTTGGAAAGGTGATGAAACAAGTATATCCAAGAGTGAGAGCCAGAAGACTAGGAACTAGAGGGAATTCAAGATACTGTTATTCAGGATTGAGAAGATGCATTAAACTGAAACCTCCTATTTTGCCAGATTTAGCCGATAAGCCATTGGTAAGCACCTAGCTATTAAATTTTGTCTACTTTCGTAGTTATGATTTTTACCATGTCTGTTATATTCTTATTATATTTTTGAAAAAATTAAAAAATTGTACAAACAAACCATATTATTTTTGTTTATAAAATGTAAGTCTCAATGAGATAATGTTTTTAATAAACACTAAACTATTTCATATCAACTAAAGATAAAATCACAAAATGATAATATTGATAATTAATAGCTATTCAATGTCTGGGACCAGTACAGATTAATACTTCTATCTTTTAAATATTGTTTATCATTAATTTTAGGGAATGGTAACCTTGAAATTTTTTTAATGTTTATTTCATATTCTCTGTATTAACTACTTATGAGTAGTTACTGAGATGAAGACATGATATAGGTATAATGAATTTTAAAAAATACTTTTAAATTAGAATAGGTATTAAAGAATTAGGTATATCAGTATAATAAAAATTGTTTTTGTTTGTCAGGTTCAAACAATAATAATAACTATGTTATACAAAATTCGTTATAAATTTAATATTTATCTTTCAAAAACAGTGTAGAAGTCCAAATTGTAAAAGATTTCCATATACAGTGTCTTTTAAAAGTGTTAATGTAATTAGTAAAAACAAATCAATTTTAATTATATTTTATTAATCACGTTCTAGGGACATTTTGTTATTATATTTCCAGTAAAAAAAATGCATGCCTATACAGGGTGCCACAAAATTCATGCAACAAAATTTGGTCACAGATTCTTAAAACAAATTTAGGGGACCTGTATTTTTTATTTTTGCCAAGTGGCCCTCTCTTTCGGAGTTACAGCCCCCTGAAGTCCACCCCTAAGAATAATCTTTTTTTTTTTTTATATCTCAGAACCCTGTTGTACGAGAATCACTAAATTTGGTACACAGGGGTTTTATGACATGTGGAATCTGATGGTGCTACGTTTTTTGGCGGGGAACCCCCTTAAGACAATTTTTCGTGGACCCCCTTGTCTTTGGAGCCAAAAAAATTTGGTAGCATATTTAAATATCTTAAAAATTGTCAGTCTACTAGAAAGCCATTAAATTTAGAAACTTTTTGTCCCTTTATACTTTTTTCGTAAATCGCAACGTTTTCAAGAAAAACGTCAAAATGTGATCAAATGCATATCGTGATTCGCCATTTTCCTCAAAAACTTTGGGTTTTACGATACAAATATCAAGAGACAAAAAAGTTTCTAAATTCAATGGCTTTCTAACTAATAATTAAAAAAAAAAAATCAAATTTGAGACCAAATTTTTCTGGTTCCAAAGACAAGGGAGCCCACGAAAAGGTGTCCTAAGGGGGTTTCTCGCCAAAAAGCGTAGCACTGTGAGATTCCACACGTCATAAAACCCCGGTTTACCAAATTTAGTGATTCTCGTACAACATGGTTTTGAGATATAAAAAAGACTTCTTAGGGGTATATTTCAGGGGGCTGTAACTCCGAAAGAGGGGGCCAGTTGGCAAAAAGAAAAAATACGGGTCCCCTAAATTTGTCTTAAGAATCTATGACCAAATGTTGTTGCATGAATTTCGGGACACCTGTATAGTTTTCCAAAAATTTTCTAAATTAAAAGAAATCACAGCCTTAGGATCTTTTTCATACTTATGTCGATAACCTGTTCGCCTATAAATGGATATCGTGACAAATACTTGTTACATACCTGGTTCATATTCCAATTTATTATTTTTCTTTAAATTCTGATTTATTTCTTAACATTCATTTTTAACATTTAGGTAGAATATTTATTATAGGAGTAGAAAGAAATAATTTTATATAAAAGTTATTTTGCTTTTTCCCATACTATCTTTTCAACTCAGTAACTTAAACAACTAAATACCAAAACCTGTAAAAATATTTCGGTAGAGTGCATACTTAGAATCAGGCTTCAAAAGTGTACCTCTAATAGTAAAAGAGATTTGGCCAAAATAGTGTACCATAAGCATAATGTGTTGGACTACAGTCTAGCAAATTTTTTCTAATTCTTTACCTCTGTAATGACACTTTTGTTTATTATTACTTGTTTGTTTTAGCTTTTTTGTTTGTTTTCAACGAATTTCCCTGCCTTCCCTTCTCAGTTATCTGGAAAATTATCAGATTTATTAATGGACTATTTTTAAAAGTTATCTCCCTCATCGTTATCTAAATCAGTTAGTTGCCAATCCTTATAATTTGTTTATCATCAATTAGATTGCAAAAATTGCTTGTTCTACTTAAGAAAATTCTTCCATTCTTTTTATTCAAGTCATTGATACGTCAACTTCTAACTATTTTTTCAGTAGCAAGATTTTGAGAGATTAATTATCTTACTTCCTTTAGATATTTTATCAAATTGTGTTGGATTAAATTTTGAGAAACAAATATGCCAGTAGTATTTATCTAAGTATTGAACTTATAATTAAACACAAGAATATTAAGTATAATGTTTTTACAATCCTTTGTTAATCTTTGTTGTGATCATACGATCATTATATTCATATTGATTTAAAAAACATCTAAAATAAATATAAAATAAATATGGTTTTTCCAGATATTAAATATAAATAAATAATAAATCCAAAATTGATTTTTATAGATTAATTTTAAAATTTTATACATTTATAATTTGCTCAGTCATGTTAATAGCAAATAAATAATATTTGTCACTGACATTTTGATGAAGTCATAGAAACAAATAATTACATTGTTTATAGATTTATAAATAATCAATGTACTAGCGAGATGAACAAAATATTTTTATTTTTCCTAACATTGAAGTATTAATTCATGGCAAAAGTTTGATGTACACACAAAATCCCATTTTAATATATTCAATTGTTCATAAAATATTTAGAAATATAATTTTTTTGAGAACTTCTACACCTTGAATCTCACGAAGGTACGAAAGTTTACATAAGAAAGTATGTATTCTTAAATTTGATGGAGGAAAATGTTCTTTATTTTATATTATAATCTTACAGAAAAATATTTCTTGCAAAAAATGTTTTCACAAATTTTGTATAAATATTGAAGGTTAAACAATTTATCAATTTCCTTGATTATAAAGGTGTTATAAGTCCGTTTTTAGAAGACGACATTTGTTATGCAAAATTTGTGTACATATTTGTTGCAAAAAGTATTTTCCAGATATTGTATCTTGTAATACAGTCGTAACTTTTACTAGATTTGTTGCAACAAATGTATACACAAATTTTGTATAAAAAAATATTGCCATATAAGCAGTCCTAAAAAACATAAATTATCAATATAAAAAAAAAGTGGCAAAATCTTTTAATACACCTGAAAATGTGATTCAAATTGTGTCACTTTTTTCTATACAGGGTGTCCCGAAATTCATGCAACAAAATTTGGTCATAGATTCTTAAGACAAATTTAGGGGACCCGTATTTTTTCTTTTTGCCAACTGACCGCCTCTTTCGGAGTTACAGCCCCTTGAAATCTGCCCCTAAGAAGTCTTTTTTATATCTCAAAACCATGTACGAGAATCACTAAATTTTTTGGTAGACAGGGGTTTTATGACATGTGGAATCTCACAGTGCTACGCTGTTTGGCGAGAAACCCCCTTAAGACACTTTTTCGTAGGCCCCCCTTGTCTTTGGAACCAGAAAAATTTGGTTGCAAATTTGATTTTTTTTTAAATTATTGGATAGCTAGAAAGCCATCGAATTTAGACACTTTTTTTCCCTTGATATTTGTTTCGTAAAACGCAATGTTTTTGAGGAGAATGGCAAATCACCATATGCATTCGATTACATTTTGATATTTTTCGAATGCATATCGTGATTTGCCATTTTCCTCAAAAACCTTGCGCTTTACGAAAAAAGTATAAGAGACAAAAAGTTTTTAAATTTAATGGCTTTCTAGTGGACTGCTAATTTTTAGGAAATTTAAATATGCCACCAAATTTTTTTGGCTCCATAGACAAGGGAGCCCACAAAAAATTGTCTTAAGGGGATTCCCCGCCAAAAAACGTAGCACCATCAGATTCCACAGATATAAAAAGAAGATTATTTTTAGGGGCGGACATCAGGGGGCTGTAACTCCGAAAGAGGGGGCCACTTGGCAAAAATAAAAAATATGGGTCCCCTAAATTTGTCTTAAGAATCTGTGACCAAATTTTGTTGCATGAATTTCGGGACACCCTATATTACCTATTAGTTAACTCTAAATATATTTCTAAAACTTAAAGTATATTTTCAAAGATTTCAGTTCCATAAAATTATTGGTTTTAGTCTACTGAAGCTCCATTTACCCAGTCAAGTTTAACCTCAGCTGCCTGGCTAATTGTTAGGGACTGGTCAGAACAGCAGCTAGGCACACAGTTTTCCTCTATCCAAGCATTAGCCTATTATCTAATTTTGAATCAATCAATCGGCACTGGAACAGAAGCAGCTACAAAAATCACTAATGCGGCTGAATCATCGTTGAAATGTAAGTCCAATTTTATTTATATTATCTAATAGGCCAGTGTTAGCTTAACACCGTCATTACTGCTTTTTTTTTTAATAATTTGCGTAAAATGTTTAATACATATCTCGTCAGTTTTTAATCTTTACTGGTGTTATACAAAAAAAAAAGAATTACAAAAATTTATCATTACCGACTTTGTCGAATAGTGTAGCTTGCGAACAAATAATGTAGCTTGTGAATGTTTGTGCCTTAGAACTTCGTGCAACTATAAAAATAAATACACAATCGATACCATAATTTGGATTTATACTAGGTTTAATAAAAAAGTAACGGGAATTGTTAATTTTCTTAGAAAATATTTATTTAATCCTCAATTTTTATCCCATCCCCTTCAAAGTAGTCCCCTTGTGATATTATACACTCGTGCCAACATATAGTGTGTACAGATTTGATCCGGTACACCAGTGTAGAATTTTACAGGGTGGGGCGATTTTAATGTCAATTTTTTTCAGAGTAGGGAGGTCATAGCCACACGTATGGGACATATTGTTAAGAAGATAATGTTATCTCGTGGCACCCTATGATTTTTTTAATAATGATGTTTTTGGAAAATCGTACTAGGGATTTTTTTATTAGTAATTTGACAACACTGCGTTATTCAGCACCATTTAAAATCCAAATACCCAAAATTTCATTAATTTATGTCGTTGCATGGTTTTTTATAGTCTCAAAGTCCCAGAAACTGAAAATTCTTATTTTAGTTTGAAAATATAGAAGGCATTTAGAAATGAGTAAAAACAATAAAATACTATTTAAAAATATCATGTTAAGAAAGAAAAAACAATATAAACTACCATTAACAAGTTAACAGTGCTTGCACAAATTAATACCAGTCAAGGAAAACAAAATTGGAAAGAAACACCAAAATATTCTAAATAAGTATTCAAATTTAAAATTATGCTATAAAAAATTCAAATATTTCCTGTTTTCAACTAAACTAGTAGTTCTATACATTTTTCAATTCTTTTTTTATTTTGTTTAGATACGTTCAATACGTTTCTTCGTTAATCTGATTACAAGCTTCCGTAATTCGAGCACACAGTTCTTGAAGATTACGTGATCGATTCGTATGCACAATGTTTTTCAAATGTCCCCATAGAAAAAAATCTGCTGGTGTAAGATCAGGTATTCTTGGTGGCCAGTTAATTAAATTTAGAGCGTCTACCTATTCATCTGTTAGGAAAGTGTGTTTGAAGCCATTCTGTCACAGGTCTGGTGCAGTGGATAGAGGCACCATCTAGCTGTAGCATGGAATTTTGCCGTTCAAGCAAAGGAACATCATCAAATGAATCATAAAATTCAGTTCGCAGAAGTGTGTGAAAAATATTTCCATTTAAATTTCCATGGAAAAAGAATGGGTCGTATAATCTTTGATCAGAAATATCACAAAAAACATTAATTTTCTGAGTATTGACGCTTGCAGTTAATTACATAATGGGGGTTTTCAGACGACCAATAACGAGTATTTTGTGAACTTACTATCCCGTTAGTAGAAAATGTTGCTTTGTCCATGTAAATGATGTTTTTTAAAAAAATTGGATCGTGCAAATAGTTTCCTTGTGATCAGAGACAGAACTCCAACCTCCTCTCTGCATCACCTGCTTCTAACGTATGCAGGTATTTGACTTTAAATGACCTAATATTTCTTCTCTTTAAATGGTTTCAAACTGTCATCTTACTCACATTGGGTAAATCTCGAACTGTATTAGATAAACCATTTATAGGATTATTTCAGAAATATTCAATTATAATGTCTCCCTTTCCATTTGCTCGATGTCCTGAACCTCTTTTTACCGTAGATGAAATATTACCTAAAGAAATTTTGAACTGGTTAAAAAATACTACAAATTAGAACTTACATTTACCACTGACATCAAACATACGATTTATTCATGATACAGTAGAAATTGATAAGTTTGGATATTCAACATTAAAAATTCTAGCTACTTCTCTGTAATTTCTATCATTTCTGCCTGTTATTCCAATTATTTGCACTTTTTCGTTAATACTTAAGTCCATTTTTATTTTACTAGCAACATATTTCTTATACATAGTTGTTTTACATTGACAATTTATTGATCAATTAATTCATGAAGTCGCTTCATCAAGAAATTGGAGAAGNTATCCATCTGTTAGGAAAGTGTGTTTGAAGCCATTCTGTCACAGGTCTGGTGCAGTGGATAGAGGCACCATCTAGCTGTAGCATGGAATTTTGCCGTTCAAGCAAAGGAACATCATCAAATGAATCATAAAATTCAGTTCGCAGAAGTGTGTGAAACATATTTCCATTTAAATATCCATGAAAAAAGAATGGGCCGTATAATCTTTGACCAGAAATATCACAAAAAACATTAATTTTCTGAGTATTGACGCTTGCAGTTAATTACATAATGGGGGTTTTCAGGCGACCAATAATGAGTATTTTGTGAACTTACTATCCCGTTAGTAGAAAATGTTGCTTTGTCCATGTAAATGATGTTTTTTAAAAAATTTGGATCGTGCAAATAGTTTCCTTGTGCTCAGAGACAGAACTCCAACCTCCTCTCTGCATCACCTGCTTCTAACGTGTGCAGGTATTTGACTTTAAATGACCTAATATTTCTTCTCTTTAAATGGTTTCAAACTTACTCACATTGGGTAAATCTCGAACTGTATTAGATAAACCATTTGTAGGATTATTTCAGAAATATTCAATTATAATGTCCCCCTTTCCATTTGCTCGATGTCCTGAACCTCTTTTTACCGTAGATGAAATATTACCTAAAGAAAATTTGAACTGGTTAAAAAATACTACAAATTAGAACTTACATTTACTACTAACATCAAACATATGATTTATTCGTGATACATTAGAAATTGATAAGTTTGTATGTTCAACATTAAAAATTTTAACTACTTCTCTGTAACTTCTATCATTTCTGCCTGTTAGTCGAATTATTTGCACTTTTTCGTTAATACTTAAGTCCATTTTTATTTTACTAGCAACATATTTCTTATAGTTGTTTTACGTTGACAATTCATTGATCAATAATTAATTCATGAAGTCGCTTCATCAAGAAATTGGACAAGTGTAATGCACCAAATTTGCTGTCTAATAACTTCATGAATTTATTCATCAAGTTCTTGACGAATTAGAGCATGTTCTAATTTTTGTCAATTTCTTCGTGAAGTTCAGAAGTACCAACCCAACAGGTTTCCAACCTCAGATCAGTAATGAGGTCATGTTATTGGAATATGTAAATATTGTGTGGCGTCGTACTAGTTTTGCATTGTTTTTACTGATTTGTTACTTACAAACACTAATATTTATATAATATGTGTCAGAACGGTACTGCTGTTGTATCACTATAATTATGAGTGGAAAGGTGACATTTTTGAAATTTATTTGCTTCTTTGATTCATTAGTAGAACTGATTCATACATCAAAAAACTTGACAAAGTCTGTAGTAGTGTAAAACCACACTGTTTACCAATAAATTCGTGAATTAATTCATGAAGAACTTTGTCAATTTATTCATGAATAAATTGTCAATGTAAAACAGCTATTACAAAACAAAGCCGTAATTAAAGCGTTCTAATAGATGTCATGATTCACAATATTATTTGTTTTCACAGCAACTCTGATGAAACAAGAAAAAATAAATTTCTTTCCGAGTTATAAAAATTATGTCTAGAGGAATTACCTAATTTTAAAATGTAATGGTACTCATATTGTTTTCTCTTTCTTAACATGATATTTCAACCCTTTTAAATTGTATTTTACTATTTTTACTTATTTCTAAACGCTCCCTATATTTCAAACTAAAATAAGGATTTTCAGTTTTTGGGACTTTGAGGTTCTATAAAAAAAACATGTAACGACTTAAATTCATGAAATTTTGGCTATTTGGATTTTAAATGGTGCTGAATAACGCAGTGTTGTCAAATTTCTAATAAAAAAATCCCTAATACGATTTTTTAAATCATCATTATTAAAGAAATCATAGCATGCCACGAGATAACATCTCCTTAGAAATATGTCCCATACATGTGTCTATGCACTCCCTACTCTGAAAAAAATTGACATTAAAATCGCCCCAGCCAATTCTACATTGGTGTTCCGGATCAAATCTGTACACACTGTAGTTTCCAGTTTGAGAAATAGTGGTGGAACTTGGTATTCATAAACCAACAAACTTTATTGAACAGCTTTTTGTTTTTTAAAAATATTTTAATTTTGTAGCTGATGATACAAATGGTAAAAGTGGCAACAAACATAGAGAAATGCAACTTCAACTTCAAAGGAAAATTCAGCAAAAGNATCACTACAATTATGAGTGGAAAGGTGACATTTTTGAAATTTATTTGCTTCTTTGATTCATTAGTAGAACTGATTCATACATCAAAAAAACTTGACAAAGTCTGTAGTAGTGTAAAACCACACTGTTTACCAATAAATTCGTGAATTAATTCATGAAGAACTTCGTCAATTTATTCATGAATAAATTGTCAATGTAAAACAGCTATTACAAAACAAAGCCGTAATTAAAGCGTTCTAATAGATGTCATGATTTGCATTTCACAATATTATTTGTTTTCACAGCAACTCTGATGAAACAAGAAAAAATAAATTTCTTTCCGAGTTATAAAAATTATGCCTTTAGAGAAATTACCTAATTTTAAAATGTAATGGTACTCATATTGTGTTTTCTTTCTTAACATGATATTTCAACCCATTTAAATTGTATTTTACTATTTTTACTTATTTCTAATAGCTCCCTATATTTCAAACTAAAATAAGAATTTTCAGTTTTTGGGACTTTGTGGCTCTATAAAAAAAACTTGTAACGACATAAATTCATGAAATTTTGGCTATTTGGATTTTAAATGGTGCTGAATAACACAGTGTTGTCAAATTTCTAATAAAAAAAAATCCCTAATACGATTTTTTAAAAACATCATTATTAAAGAAATCATAGCATGCCACGAGATAACATCTCCTTAGAAATATATCCCATACATGTGTCTATGCACTCCCTACTCTGAAAAAAATTGACATTAAAATCGCCCCACCCTGCAAAATTCTACACTGGTGTTCCGGATCAAATCTGTACACACTGTAGTTTCCAGTTTGAGAAATACTGGTGGAACTTCGTTTCATAAACCGACAAACTTTATTGAACAGATGTTTGTTTTTTGAAAATATTTTAATTTTGTAGCTGATGATACAAATGGTAAAAGTGGCAACAAACATAGAGAAATGCAACTTCAACTTCAAAGGAAAATTCAGCAAAAGAATGAAGGAAAAGAAAGAAAAAGAAAACTTCAGGTGAGATATTTACCGTAATTGTTTAATGCCTAATATTTTAGCTGATGTTTAAAATCAAAATCTTTTCTTTCAGTCACCAAAATCTGAGCAAAAACCCAGTGGAAAAAAGTCACGTTCCCAGAGTGTCCCAGCACCACCCGCAGTTCCCACATCACCGACAGTACAGCTGGCTACAAGCAGTGGCACCACCAGCGGCGAGTGCAGTACGGCTAGCAGTAGCAGCACGAGTCCTACTCAGGGCAAACCTATCTGTGATAAATCACTAGATTTCACTCAACTACCAGCGTTACCTGACTTCAATAGTTTCCAAAAGCCGTCGACGGATGGATTACTGGGCAATGGTGGGCAGGTGAGTTGAAAATGTCAGTCCATTTAAGGAACCATCTTTTTTATTTTACTTGGTTTTACTTTTCACTTGTTAAGTAGGTTTCTTATCAGTGGCGTACCTAGAATTTTTGTCGCCCTTTCTGAGTCAATGAAATGGTGGTTTTTTACAAATTAGTAAACATAAATAAATAATTGTAATTGAGACTAACTGTAAGTGGGGAACTTTTTTACCATTGGATGCCATATTTGAATTAGGCAGTAATAAAGGAGGACACATAAGTTGATATATGAAATGCAACTTTTAAAGGCCAAAAGAAACTTATGAAGGTCATAGAAATCGAATAGTAAACTTATGAAGTGAATAAGTTGTTTTTTACAACTAAAACTAAATAAAAAATGCCACCCCAAAATATGTGCCCCCCCCCCAGGTACGCCACGGTTTGTTGTACTTTTCTCTGCATAGTGTGTCCTAAATGGTCCTTTCCAGTGAACAGTGTACACAGAAATACGTTCAAGTCATTTTTGCTTGTATATTAAAGTTCCTTCACTAAATTTAAAAAATGAACAAAGTTGTAACACTGAAAATAAGTTTTGAAATTTACTGCTGAAAGTGACGTGTAATACTGTACCTGTAGAGCAACAGTTCGATATTGAATAAATTAATTACACAGGTCAACAAGGGTCAAGAAGCAGACACACTAATATACATTTCCGAAGGATTTTGATACGCTGAATCCGAATCTGGCCGCAGAATTGCTCTGTCACGTCAGATTTTTCACATATCCTAACCTAAAAGTGCAAAAAACACTGTTTTTCGTCATATTTGAGGTTATGTAGTAATGCCATCTATTCTTTTTTAAAAAAATACATATAATTTAAAAGTACAAGGCTCCCTCTTTCGAATGCCGTTGAGTTTGCTCAAATATTTTTTTTTTTCGTTGAGATATCACATGTTGAAATTTCTAAGTTTATCAGTTTCTTAATATGCGAAAATCTACTAAGGATCCCTTAGACGTCAAACAGTTGATTGCAGTTCAGAAACTTCATACTCAGAAACCTTCAATACATACGAACTCAAACTCACAAACTCCAAATCCACAAACCCACAAACCCCAAACCCACAATCCCTAAACCCACAAACCCCAATCCCACAAAACCCGAACCTACAAACTCCAAGCTTACAAACCCCAAGCCCACCAACTCCAAACCCACAAACCGTATGGGTATGAAGTTTCTGAATTGCAATCGACTGCTTGATGTCTAAGGGATCCTTAGTAGATTTTCGCATATTAAGAAACTGAGAAACTTAAAAATTTCAACATGTGATATCTCAACGAAAAAAATAGATATTTGAGCAAACTCAACGGCATTCGAAGGAGGGAGCCTTGTACTTTTAGATTCAATGTACATGTTAGTTTTTTGAAAAAGAATAGATGGCATTACTACATAACCTCAAATATGACGAAAAACAGTGTTTTTTGCACTTTTAGGTTAGTAAATCTCAAAAACCTGACATGATAGAGCAATTCTGCTGCCAGATTCGGATTCAGCGCATTTAAATCCTTCAGAAATATATATTCAAGCTTCTGCTTCCAAAAAAAAGTTAAATTTTGTTGGTCTTTGTTATTGAGTAAATAGTTCAGTTGTTTTTATATTAAGAATAAAAATTGCCAACATACATTCTGTCAAAAAAGTATCCAGAATTTGTCATTTAAAAATTCCTCGTAAAGTAGATTTAAATTTCTTTTGATGGAAAGTTGGTAGCACTGTACTCTACTCGGACGCGAAGTTTGAGCGTGATCTGTCAAATAGTTTACAGCTTTGTTGGTCCATCTAAAGTATGTTCCGCGATTTTTACTATGGATATTGTTATTGAGCAAAAAATTTGCCTAAAATTTTGTGCTACCAATGGAATTTCTTGTGCTGGATTGTTGAAAATGTTGAGAAAGACATACGGTAATTCAGTTTGATTGAAAACTCAAGCATACGAATGGTACAAAGTATTTAAACATGGTCGAGAAGTGATTGATGATTTGTCATGTTCTGGTGGTCCTTCAACTTCTTCAACTGAAGAAAACGTCGATAAAATGAAAAATGGTGCTTGCAAACCGTCACTTTAGTTGATGTTTAGGGTAAGAAACGTGTCGTAACACAGCTTGTTTCAAAAGAGTTGAATTTTCTTCAAAGAAAGCATCACAACATGTTGCTGAAGACATGCTTGAACCAACTAATTCGGACTCTACATTCATGCAACCCATCAGAATGGGTGAGACATGGGTTTTTGAGTTTGACATGCAAACGAGCCAATAAGCTTTGAAATGTGGCACTTTTCTAATGAACTGAAACCAAAAAAACCATATCAAAGTCGATCAAAAATCAAATTCATGTTGACTGTTTTCTTTGTTTTCTATCGAATTCCTTCCGGATGGAGAAATAGTCAACAAAGAATATTATCTGGGCGTTATGAGATGTTTGAGAGTATCTGCTTAAAAAGAGCATATTTATGAGAGGACAATTCTTGGATTTTGCATCACAATATTGCACCATCACACAAAGTGGTAATTGTGAATGAATTTTTGACCAAAAACTCAATGATCGTCATCGAACAGTCACCTTTCCCACAAAAAGGAAGGAAGGAATTCAAATCCGTGCTGAAATATGTGTTTGAAAAGTTCTTTGACGACCAGGTTGTTCCTTGGAAAAAGTGTATTGCTTCAAATGGAGCCTATTTTGAAGGAGACGAAGTAAATTTTGATTAATTGATATAGTGTGTTTTATTGACAAATTCTGGATACTTTTATGACAGAATGTATGAATCAAGAAAGATGAGATTAGTAACAATGCATACCGTAGCTCCGAACTGGGTGGCTCGCAGCTGGTACGCATGGCTGTTTAATGTTACATAGTCCAAGAGCTGACGACGAATTTAGGGAATATATTTTAGGCAAGTTGAAATAATAAAAAAAATAGTATTACATCAATGGGTGAATCTGGAATCGTGAGTCAGGTAGAGCGTTTGCGGTTATTTCGCTACTGCGCAGCATGTGACATTTGCAAAAAAATAAGCCAAAAGAATATATTTTCGGCAACTTGGAATTTACTTTAGGCATTCTAAAATTTTTATAGCATTAATATTGAAAATACGGGTAAATTGCCAGGGGAATTGAACAGTGTTTAATAACCCCCTGAAGCAAATAAAGATTTTAAATGAATGCGACAAAAAAAGTCTTGTGCTTAGCCACAGGTACGAGAAAGATAATTTATCGAGACATGCCGGCAGCTGACGGGGCCCTTGGTCATCCGGCTGTGATTGATTGCTGAAAGACCATGTGACTCGAGTTTATCACATTTCTCGGGCTCTGTAGACACAACAGAGTATTTTCGAGTAGTTTATTTTTTTTGAAAAATTAACATAAATAATAAATTAATAAATAATAATGTTTGCAACAACTCTAATGAAATAGTAAAATTCAATAAATTTATAAATTTTATTTTAAAAAAAATCCCTCGAAAAATTAGATATTCTAAACAAAGCATTTTGTATCTTAACAGGAACAATAATTTAAAGATTGATATATTAAATTATTTAATAATTTTTTTTAAATCCATCTTTTATTAAAATAATATTAATTCCTACAAGTAAATTCTTAACGTCAATTGACATCAGGTTGATAGAAAATATCGATACAAATATATTAGACCATCTTCACTGTCTGATAGATCGTCTTCAATGTGTTCTGCTGCTGTTTTCCTCGATATTTTCTTTATTTGCTAAAAAATAATTTTTCATTAGTGTAATAAATAATTCATTTATATGAAATGTAATTATATGCTATTTACTTGTATTTTTTTTGTCTTTTCTTTATCTGCTTTCAAAGCATCCAAAACAGCTGCCGGCATGTCTCAATAAACTGTCTCTCTTGTACCTGTGGCTACGCAAAATACTTGTGTCGCATTCATTTAAAATCTTTATTTGCGTCAGGGAGTTATTAAAAATCGTTCAATTCGTCTGGCAATTTATACCTATTTTCAATATTAATTAATAAACATGCTATAAAAATTTTAGAATGCCTAAAGTATATCTGACAAAATAGTCTGGGATTTTTATTTCTGGGTATAAAGGCTAAAATAAAAGATTAAAAAATTTCCAAGTTGCCTAAAATATATTTTTTTGGTTTATTTTTTTTGCAAATGTCACATGCTGCGCAGTAGCGAAATAACCACAAATGCTCCACCTAACTCACGAGTCCAGATTCACCCACTGATAAAATACTGTTTTTTTATTATTTCAGCTCGCCTAAAATACATTCCCTAAATTCGTCGTCAGCTCTTGGACTAACACTTACCTAGACAGCGGCAGTCTACGAAAATTATGAAAAAAAATATTGAAAAAGTAATTCAGTTTTCACAATGGAATTTGGAAAACAGGCTTATGATGTCAGTTCATCAGAATTTAAATAATAATATGTATATAATATTCATTTTATTTTGGTGTTATTTATTCTATTTTATACTTGTGACAATACATTTTGGAAAAACTAAAAAAAAAAAATGCTTTTCTCATTTTGATGAAATTGTGATTTATGAAACCTTAAAGTATAAATATTGCGTCCACATTGAAATTCTTTGCAAAAATTGCGTCATAATAGTGTTTCAAAAATTTTAAAAAATAAAAAATTACACTAGATTTCTAACATTGCAGCATTTCTTTTTTTTTAATCTAAACCTAAACAATTAGAAATACTCTGCAAACTTCATTAAGTTAATAACAAAATGGTCTAAAACTTTTGCCATTTAACCATTTTTTATCTCTTATAGTTTCCGGGATTCCAATCCATCCATCACCAATTTAGGACACACTGTACATTTGGAAAGTTTTTTTATGTTACTGATATTTGAAATTTTGCTGCCACTAATGGGACTGCAAGTCAAATAAACCGACATATAATCTATAACTAATATCCTTGATTATGGTAACTTTTATTTTGTTAAAATTGGCGATGTATTGTAGCCCGTTACTATTCCATTAAAGGAAACGAGTGTGGGGGCCTCGACCAACAAGGTAGCCATACCAAGACTGCAAGCAGCCCCTATACAATTGACAACACCACCCAAGAAGCAACAGAAGCCAGCAAAGTACAAATCAATCCAGCCCAGACTGCAACAATGTGATATTGCGCCGTACAACCCACAGTCACTAAGCCAAGCGACTGAGGACAACAGATCTCAAGATTTACACAATACTGATAGAATTAAGGAAAGAAAAAGTAGTGATGATGATTGTGATGTTAATGATTTTCCGCTTACAAGAGAAAGACTTAATAGTGTGAGTAACATTGAGAAGGATGCTATGGATGAATACCTAGGTAAGTCACAGACTAATTATATAGTGGGTCCCAGAAGTAACGCAAAAAATTTGTATTTTATTTTATGTTGCGTTTTCACAAAAACACTAAAACATGTCAATTAGTATACAGGGTGTTCTCAAAGTTCAGTCATTTATTTTAACAGCTGGTAGAACTCATAAAAAAAGTCGAATTACAAAAAACTGTTTATATAAAAGTGGTCAAATAAAGCAATTACATATTAACAATTATTTTAAAAAAATTGAAATTTAAAAACTATAATACAAACCTGATTTATTGCCATTTTCGACTACTCTGTTGTAAAAACATAAATTGTTTGTTTAATACTGGTACTGGATATGTCTTTTTTTTCCGTAGTTGCACGGTTTTGAGTACGCTTTTCGATTTGACAGTGCTAAATAATTCGTACAATAGTGCGTGTTATTAATTTTAATTTGTGGGTGTTTTGTGCAATAAAAATGGCACATGTTTATGAACACAATGAACTAGTGGACATAATATTAACTTACAGGGTACATCAACAAAATGCAGCCGCAGCATGTCACTTGTATGCGGAAAGGTTTCCTTTACGAAATCATCCGGCTCCGTGGATGTTTGTAAATTTAGTTATAAGACCCCGCGACACAGGGTATTTAAAGGAGCAACGAGGAGGTTACTCTGGAAGATAAATTGTTTATTTACTAACATGGATCTAGTGTTCGTTGTTGGGTCGTTTTCGACAATTTCTAAAATTTCTTCCTTGATCTCCATCATTTCGCGTGGAGGAAGTCTTCCAGCGTGACCTCCTTGTTGTTCCTTTAAATATCCTGTGTCGCGGAGTCTTATAACTAAATTTGCGAACATCCACGGAGCCGAATGATTTTGTAAATGAAACCTTTCCGCGCACAAGCGACATGCTGCGGCTGCATTTTGTTGATACTCCCTGTAAGTTAATATTATGTCCACTAGTTTATTGTTTTCATAAACATGTGCCATTTTTATTGCACAAAACACCCACAAATCAAAAATTATATCATGCATTACTGTACGAATTATTTAGCACTGTCAAATCGTAAAGCGTACTCAAAATTGTGCAACTACAAAAAAAAGACATGCCCAGTATCAGTAGTAAACAAACAATTTATGTTTCTACAACGGAGTGGTCGATAATTACAATAAATCAGGTTTGTATTAGTAAATTTTTAAATTTCAATTTTTTAAAATAATTGTTAATAATTGCTTCTGCTATCTACAAATTCCCATTTTTTGCTTTGGCACTGTTCTCGTATCAGTTTGTGATACCTACTTTTGTTGTTATTTTAAACCATGTCCATTCCAATTGTTTTTTCGCACCTTTCAAAGTAAAGTAGGCCAAACCCTATATCGACGCATTTCCCTTTAAACGGGCTATCCTTTTATGCTTAAAAAATTAGGTAGTGCTATTCAAAAAAAAAGTCGATGACGTCATAGGTTTATGAAACATAGCGCAAAAAAGGTTTAAGGTTTAAGCAATGTGACAAAATGACAATTCCTATATACTAATTGACATGTTTTAGTGTTTTTGTGAAAACGTAACACAAAATAAATTACGAATTTTTTGCGTTACTCCTGAGCCGCACTGTATTAAATTTTATTAACAGTAGTATGGAACTGATTGCACCAGATATGACTTGACATGCTTGTCTCTGTAAACCAGAGTTTGGCTTTGATTGTCATTTGAAAACTTTTAGACCACCAAACTATTGAGACATGTGATCATAGGCTTGATGATTGTCATATACAGGCTGTTACAAATTCGCTTCTCACTACAGGGATCTCGGAAATATTATGCTCTAAAAAATCGAGGCTAACATGATTGGTTTTTGAAATATTAAAAAAAACCAAAATTTTGGAAATCCGTGTTTGTTTCATTTCAGCCTTGTTTGAGGTGGTATTGAAAAAAGAAGAACACTTTCTCATGGCTCTTTTTTGCCCTCTATCGAATGACATAATCAATTTTTATATGTAACGTTTCATCTCTCCAGGACCATCATCAACTTCATTTTTTTAAATTCAACCCAACAGTTTAAATAACTAGATGGATTTCACAGGGTCTATGGACACTTATAGTGTACGATAATTCAATAAACAAAGAAATCTAAATAAAAAATTTAGATAAATTTGGAACGAATACACTGAAGATGAATTTTTCGAGACAAGACGTCTGAATCTGGGTCGGGCTGAGGCAATACAGTATTGGGGGTCATGAAGGCTTGCAAAAAATGTAATAAAATTTCCATGGTCGTGTTTAAAAAAATGAAGTTGATGGATGGTCCTGGAGAGACCAAACGTTACATACAAAAATTGATTATGTCATTCGATAGAGGGCAAAAAGTGGCCAGAAAAAGTGTTTTTCTTTTTTCAATATCACCTCAAACGAGGCTGAAATGTGGAAAAAACGGATTTTCAAAATTTGTTTTTTTTTTTCAAATATTTCAAAAACCAATCGTGTTTGCCTTGATTTTTTAGAGGCATAATATTGGTCCCCTGATTACGCAACTTTGCCCCCATTTAAGCTAGTTTGTATCTCTTACCGTTTTCGAGATCCTTGTAGTGAGAAGCGAATTTGTAACAGCCTGTATAGCCAATATGGTACAAAGGGCATAAAACTGATTAAATTTTAAAAATTTTCAGGTTCATTGGTGAGAGTTTTCGGAATATTGCGAAAATTCTATATATTTTTTTTAATTTGACAACTCGTAGATTGAATAGCAGCTACACTGCTTTAAAGCATGTTCAACTCAGTCTTCCTACTTTTGACCTCAGAATCTCCCATTAAACTGTTTTTTTTACTGAAACACTACATTATATGATTCTTTACAAAAAATTGAATATTCCTTGCAGCTGTTATTATCTAGGATATTATATTTTTAATTTAATGCTGTAGTTTAGCTTGTATATCTACTTGTTATTATAAATTTTCAGGTACAAACAATAGTCAACATGAGGAGGAGTTGTCCAAATATTTCAGTAACAATAATGTAAGTGATACAACTGAATCTGAAAATACTTCTAAAATTTCGACGCTTAGACAACTACTTGAGCAAAATGGTATAGTAGAAAACAAGTCCAGTAATCATAATGTACTTGACAATACGGTCGTACAAGATAGGGTGCCGTTTCCAAATACAAACTTAAATCAGATTTCGACACAAAGCGGTATTACATATATAACTCCTATATCCCATCAGGGTAACATACCGAGTACCTCCACTAGTATAAAACGGAGAGTTAGTTTTGAAACTCCAGCACCTGAAGATTCAGTCCCACCTAGCCCAAATACGAGAAGAAAAAATTTTAGTTTCACGCCCATTTCTCCGGGCCCTCAGTCACCCAATGGTATGCAATCAAAGTGCTCCAGCACCAATGCCAGCCCGTTTGTTAGTCCTCGAAGTACTCCTATCTCACGAACTAAAAATACTGTGCATCCGGCTACTGGTATTGTGAAAAGCGAAACTCGAAAAACCTTCAAAATAAAAAAGGAAACAGATTTGAGCCTAGAAATTCCTAATGAAATTCAATTCTCTGGATCAAGTTATGTTCCTATGTCAGCTCCGGCCAGTCCTATGTTAAATAACAAATCTGTTCTGCAGAAATTACTTAATTCGAGCAGTAAAGTTTCGTACAGTCCGGGTTATGCCAATTCTCACAATGTCCCGCCATTGCAGCCTGATACATCCCGTGAAGTTAGCCAGTTGTTTGCTTCCAATATTCAGTCTAATCTGGATTCTTGTAGGTCTCAGTCTGTTCCTTTACATCAAATGGTCGTTAAAACATTTCCGATAGATCCCGGTTTTATATCGGAGCAGGATGTAGGTCCGGGAGAATTTTCTGAAATCGATCCAATACCTGAATCTGCAAGTGATAACGTAAAACGAATTTTGCATTCTCTTGATGAACAAGCTTGTGATAATAACAACATCGATATTTTTAATATAGACTTAACTAACAATCCATGTTTACCTGAGTTTGGCATTCAGATGATTAACAACAATTTAGAAATTAACGGCTTTCCTCAAAACAATATACCTTTTAACAATATACCGTCAGAGGTTCCTGTGGCTAGGAGCATGCGTTCCCAAAGTATGGACGTAAATATGACCTTCGAGAGCAAATGCAATCCATCTAGATCTGTTCCGAGCACTCCTCTGTCGTTTATGCAAAATGTCAAACCTCAAATGAAGTCGTCTTACGGCCACAATTCCCGATCCTACCCTTCTACACCCTTAAACTCAGAGGAAACTTTTACGTATAACCTAAATGGAGATTGTTTGTTAAACGGCCAACCCATTCGGTCAGACGGTATGACGGAAGAGATAGAATTCATACAGAACTATGATATAAATAGTGACAATAATATTGAACAATTACCACATGCGAAGAGTTTTAATATAGAAGGTCCGGATTTTTCAATTGTCGAAAATGATCCCTCGCTTATGGATGACAACTGTGTTTTACTAGAGCAGAGTTACAGCAGTAATATTAACTAGTTGTATTTTTTATTATTTTTCAGGGATAGTTTTTGTGTACTACGTTTCTACCATCAGACTTGAAAGTTGTGTGTAAAACAAATTGCTTTTAAAAAACTGAAACAGGGATATATATAGACTAATAGGTTTTTACTAATTTTATACATAAAGTATGAAACGTGAGTTTCTAACTGTCAGCTTTAGATTTATTGAGGAGAAAATTTTGTTCAATAAATCGCAAATGAGGTAAAAATTTAATTAAAATTAATGCATTTTAATAACGCAGATATTCAGTGTTACATAAAAGACATTAATAATAAATGTGAAACTGTTTATTCTGGAAGATTAAGGGGTAACACCACTGTACAGGTAGTTTTCAGGAATTTTAAAGGAAAAGTTGTTACAAGATATAGTTTATCAGGAACAAAAAGGCTTTACTGTACATGTTTTCAGGTAGTAATGAGAATGTATGGCTGGTAAGATTTCTTATCTTCAAACAAAAAAACACAAATTTCCGGGTATTATATACTAAAAGCTAGGGAATATGATAGGGAAATTAGAAAATATTAATAATTGTCGATTTAGTGGACATTCAGAAAAAATATCGGAAAAAGACGAAACGTTTTACATTAAATTGATAATAACAGTGAAAATTGTTAATCATTCGAAAAACCCTGAATTATGTTATTGTGAAGCTCTGTACAAAATTTCAAGTCGTTTCGTCGAAAACTTTTTATTATACTATATAAAAAATGAGAGAGAAAACAATACAAGTCTTTAAGTATGCACATGTATTCCTTTGTGTTCAAACGATCTCGCGAGCTTAATTTTCAGTGAATTGTTTTTGAATAGAGACTAGGCTTTTTTTCACGACCGAATATTGGTGAATAGCTGACTTGTAGTTACTATTTCCATCTCTTGTTGTTATATGGTAGTTTACATCCTTTCACTCACTCATACTACTAGAGATGGGCACTTTTCGGAAAAGTTTGTTACAGAAATGTCCATTGGACATGTCGATGAAATGTCCGGACATGTCGGGAAAAGTACTTTTGACCTTGAATCTAATCTACCTGTAAGTGACGTCATGTTTTCACAGGTAACTGCTTGAAGGTACGCAAAGCAAAATATTACTTTTATTCTAATGAATACGTGTCGATCTATTTTACATATTACCTACCTTTAGACTTTTTTATAAACTGGTTTCTAATTTTCCCCGGACAGCCAATACACTTATTTAAATGTTTTTCTATCCTACTGCATTTCATTAAAATTGTTTTTGAGGAGAAGTTATATTTATAATGATTTTCACTCAATTCAGAGAAATATAACCAAACTGTTGATTTTAGCGTCATACTTCATTTATATACTATTTGTGTATTAAATATTAAATTAAGAATCAACTAACCTCAAAAAATTTTTGCAGGAATTATGAATGCAACAAATTATTCCGCGCATGCGCATCAACTGTTCAATCTTGAAAAGTGTCCTCAGAACATGTCCAATTTTCACGACATGTCCGCGGCACATCTCTAGGCTACAACATTCGACTTCACTCACGAAAAAAAGCCTTTTATTTTATTTGTATCCTTGCAAATTGTTGAAATCGTAGTGTGACACACCACATTCTTTTGCTTGCTTGTATTAGTTTCTCCGTTTTTTAATCTCTATATTATGTATGATTTTTTTCTTTATTAAATACATTTCACTTCAACATCGTGACGAAAAGTGGTAATTAATACATATAATGTAGTATATGTAGATTTGTCATAATTTGTCCCAAACGGTGTCGTAGTAAACGATATTTTTGATATGGTATTTCAATAGGATTTAATCGGGACTTCCAAATTTCGTCGTTATATCCAATATGTCGTATAAAGCGATGTCATTATGACCAATTTTCACGGTATATTATATATAATAAATAATTATATATTATAATTAAAAAGTGATTTCTCGAAAAATGCTTTTAAAAGATTTTTTTTGACATTCAGCGTAATAAATTCGATATATACCTTCAATCAGCGATGCCTGAACCATATAATTGGCCTTCTATATTAATATTTTCTTCATCCTCTTCTTTCCGACTTGATCTTAGGCTCAATCTGTCCTCTATAATAGCTATCACATGCGTTCTCAGGAGTTACAATAAGCACTCTTGCAGTGCAGTACGAGTGGTTGCGCTCCACCTCAACTTGTGTTCCGGATTTTTCCACAAGCTAAAACTTTTGCTAAATTCTTCATGTAATAAAGCATTGTTTAAAAAAAATTTCCAAAAATCTTTTTCAAAATTCTAGAGTGACTTTACCCCTTAAAGGTACTTGCAATTAACTGTTTTATTTTACATTTTAAAAACCTAATTTGTTATTATTTATATATTTATATATATTTTTTAATTCTACTTATTATTTGCCTAATATTATTAGACATTTAGTTAATGTTTTAAACATTTTTAGTAATTTTCAAGGAAATTTCAATAATTTATATTTATTATTTGCTAATTTATAAATTATACGACTTTCAAATACATGAGAAATGTATTTCTAAAATAATAATCAAGAAAGGATAGGCCTAATAAAATTCAGAATTTTCTTATTTATGCTTAAATTTTTTCAACAGTTGTTGACAATTTTAATATTAATTTTGAAATTATTAAAAACAAAAAAATAATTACTTAAATATTTAATAATGTACTGATTGACACACAGAAAGGTATATATAGCAAATTTGATCTCTTAAAAAATTTTTTATCAAATAATATTTTAATAATAAAAAAGAGCTACATTTTAAACATCAATATTTATGTACTTGTATAAATATTTGAAATTGTGATAAAATATAAAGAAATCAAAAAATAAAATTCAGTAAAAACAGAATTTTTAAACAGTAAACTATTGCATGTCAATACAGCTTCTTATGATATTTACCGATTACTACCGCAGAAAAATTAGTTGATACCAATATTTGAAAATCATTTAATATTGACTATAATTCTCACAACTCATTTGTTAATGTTCCATATTGGAACTTGCCATTTTACTGACAATTTCTGTCGAATATTGCCTGATGTTTATCTTTCGTTAAGTTTGCAAAGGCAATATTTAATTTTTATTCAGGAAATGTGAATAGAATTAATAATATAGAATTATCAGCTTGTTACCGTAATCACAGAGCAGGATAAAGCATACTTTAACACTTAAAGCTACCTTTCTGAAGTAATGAAGAAAATATGGAATAAAGCAACTGTATCATATAATTATAATATTTTGAGTTTATAAAATTTTTGCATTGAGGAGGTTTATCGGTGTTTGTCTAAAGTCAAATGAGAGTTTCTGCAGATTCGCTAGTGACTAAAGTAGTAAGCATTTAGATTTGGCAACGTTGCACCTGGCTGGCGCGCTCGGCTCGGCATTCGCTTGCTCACGTTCGATTGTTCTGTTTGTTTGGATGCCTAAGCTTGAAATATACTTACATCAATTTCAAATAATATGCTACGTCGAGAACCGCGGCGTTGCCGCTATCACGCATAGTGGAGGTTAAGTTAGTCAACGACAGCAGTTTGAAGGAGAATTATTATATATTATGTATCTTACAAGTACCTAATCGATTTCTACGAGCTGTCATACGGTTCCTTAGATATAGGTTTCCTATTTATACAAGTTGCTGTGGAAACTGTTTGTCAATTGTTGCACATTCTAAGTGGAAAACCAAAAAATCTGCATTCTCATAAGACTACTAAATCCTGAAAAATTATTTTATTAATATCTCGACTTTTAGGTATCGAAACTAGTTATAAATTTTTTTTGACGATTTTCTTCATATTGATAAGCTTATATTAATTTTTTTATGAATATTTGTTTGTCAAATCCATATCAGATAAACCTCCTTAAATGTTTCATTGCTTTAACAAATTCTCCTTATATGTGAGAGAGAAATTTAAGTTAAAACATTTTGGTCTAGACATAGTGATCAGGCTTCAATTTTTAACTAATTTGGCTCTGCCACCTAAGCTCACCTAGTTTGTAGCAAACTTATTTGAGCTTAAATTAATTATTCATTGACCTAATTCTGGTCAGAAATTCTGAGTGTTATTTGATGAATCTCCAATTCTGTCTCTATTCAAAATTTATACTTACTGTGCCATTTTAATTAGAAAAATTGATATTGATCTACTTTTAACAGCAGTATTAGAGAATTTTATTTATATTAGGAAACAAAATTTTCATTTTTAAACTTATACAGAAATTAACATTCTTTAACAAAATTCATGTTAAAAGTATTAAAAGACTAATTGCATAGAGATTATTTTAGCTTATTTACAGCAAAATCTATTTTTTCAAATAACTTAATTCCTGTAATAAATATTTTAAAGTTGCACATCATCATGAACTTGATTTAAAATTTTAACCGAGATTTCTTTTACTTATAAGAAATACAAATTGTTTTTAAAGCAGACGTAATTTAAACGAAAATGTATTGCTTAATTGCAGTAAATTATAATTATACATAATTACAAAATTTTGTAATTTTTTAATGTGTAAAAGAATTTATTAAGATTTTTACATATCTTCAAATAAAAATACATATCTCATTTTTATTCGTCCGAAATAGTGGGAACATTTTGTCAATTATCTTTTAAACATTGTAGTATTTGTTAAATACTTTAAATTGACACAAAAAGTATCATGTTTTAAAGTAATTGTACTTAAAAATTTGTTAGGGCAATAGCCTGCTTTCAATTTGATGGTAGAAATGTGATATTGCTTTTAGTCAAGTAAAGTGATTTCCTTTAAAAACTATATTTGGTCTTTTTATGTTTTAAACAATAGGTAGGTTTTATGAAATTTTAAAATTTTCAAATTTTACAAGATCGTCTGTGATAAATTATATTTGGAATATTAGAGGCACTTATTTCTTTTAAATTATTTTTTTATTACAAACTTGATAAAATTATAATGTTATTTGGATGAGTGTGTAAGTGTGGTCTAAAATTGTTTAGTTCCTTTTTATTTTCAATGATTGTATATGTTTCTAATATTTAAAATATTGTAAGTAATTATTTTTAGACTACAGAAATTATATAAATTGTTATACTAATACATTTTTGTGATTTATGTTACATAATTTTAATTTTATGATGTATGCTTGAAAACCTGCAAATTGTTTTTTTTTTGAGATCACCTCATTGCATTTTATATTTAATAGGAGAGTTTTTTTTTATATTTTATTAAACTTGGAAAAGCATGGATTATATATACATAAAACAAATATCCGTAAAAACGCTTTTTCCATGTAGTGCACTTTTTTAAAAAGCTACAACAAAATTCCATGTATTACCCAAGTTTAAAAAAAGTATGTATTTCATCAGTGATGCTATATTTGCTACATAACTTTGTAAATATGAATTGAAACGATACAAGAATTTTCTTTTAAATTAATTTCAACACAAAACGCACATATCCACTGAAAGTATAGATTTTATTTTTTTATGTTCTATCACTATAGACACATCATGTACGAGGGGGGGATCCAAAAGTAACAGACGAAATTCGCTGCCTGCACCATTCGTGTAGTTCGGGCTTCTCCCACTAGATGGGTGTTACATAACCTCTCCTGAGTCAGTCTGCCACGTGGCATCATTTGAGACGGTCGTAACGAGCCCCGAGACAGTTTTCATGTGACGACTATTGTGACCTCTTCGATTTTTTTAAATAGTTGATATTCGAAAATACCATAACACAATTCATCCCCGGCGATGATTTTGTCGAAAATGTTCACAACAAGTCACTACAAGCAGCGATACGAGCCGCCGATTATCAATAGTAACACTCCTCGTACACGAGCCCCCAATTTTTTTCCATGTTTTCATCAGTTCTGGACGTGGAAGGCCGACCCGGGCATTCAATGTTTTCGTTTGTCATGTCGCCGCGTTTGAATTGCGAATACCACTCATACACTTGAGTTCTTTTGAAGGCATGTTTTTTATAAGCTGTCGACAACTTTTCAACCAAGCTCAACTTTTACTGAGCAGAAAACAAAATTTCAATGCCACATGCTGTTTTCGAATATCAATCATTTTAAGAAATCAAAGAACTCGTAATAGTCGTCTCGCGAAAACTGTCTCAGGGGCTCGTTACAACCATCTCAAGCGACGCCACTTCATTGATTGACTCAGAAGGGGTTACGTAACACTCGTGTAATGCCTAAACTACAAGAGCGGCAGACGGTTGTATTTGGATATCCCTTTTTAAGAGATGAATATAATATTTTGAAGCCAATGTACATTGTATCTTTTGTGATTTTATGAGTATTATAATGAAATAACTAGGCTCTTAGAAGAAAATTCCATCTTATCGGTAAATATTTTGAGAAACTCTTCTATTAAATCGTAAATAAGAAACTACTTTTTAGCCAGCTCTGTAAATTTTACTAATATGGTACAGTTTTGCACCGACGTATATAAAAAGGTGGTTTTCACCCCTCGCCTAATAACCTGTGCCTAGCTTTTTACACCATAGCTTGTAGAATTTTACATACATCCAAAAATAATAATAAATTCACTACGTTTTAGTAGCAAAGTTTTTTTCTGTTCTATTAGCCCTCAAATCAGTTTTGGGAGTGGTCAAGATTTTGTGTACAGAGAAATCAAAAGTGGTATTTAGTAGTTTATGAAGTTTTAGTATTATCTGTAATTGTTTATTTCTACTAAAAGTTCAGTTTTTCTCTAGCTTTATTTGCTTCAGCCGTGAAACAGTGTGTTACTTATAATTAGGAGAGTAAATATTAACCCATAATATTTTATACTGTTACTAGTACTACAAAAAATTTCAAGTACAAAGGTATGTCTGCTGTATGTAAAAGTAAGAAAACGAATGAAGTGATTGACAATCAGGAAAGTTTAAAAATATTTAGCACTTAAGAATATTTAAATTCCCAAAAGTTCAATCTACAAAATTACACAATGTCCCTTAGTTTGATTACCAAATTTTTGTCAAAATTGAGAACGCAAAAACTTCAAATGAATATAGCCTTCAATTTCAAGTCCTTATGACAATATAGCACTTTGAAGATGACATGTTCATTTTTTTTTTATCTACTGTACACCTTTTCGGCTAATGGTAAGTCCAATTTTTCATAGACACCGTGATAAAAAAATATCAAATTTTGTTATATATTGGAAAATGTAAGTTTTGACCTTGTCTAATAATAATTGAAAAAATTATTGATCTTGAAAATTTTGCTAAAGGACAGTTTTGGAGTAAAAATAAGTACATATATAATTATGCAATTATTACCAAAGAAAGTGATGTTCATCTTTACATACAAATCAACAGTTCTAAACCCACAAAATTATTACAATTATCAATGTATTCAAACTAAAAATATTTAATGTACATCTTAGTCATCCCTAGTGTTTAGAAATATTTATTTGTATTTTACATATATGACCATTAGAATTTTCTTAATATTAATAACAATTGTCATGATTATATATTTTTAAATTTTACTACAAAACTGTATCCTTCAGCAAAACTTTTGAAGGGCAATAATTTTTTTACCATCACTCTTTCAATCTACAGGGCCTAAACTTGTATTTTATGAGAGACAAAACAAGAATTCGACATTTTTTTGTACTCTATAAAAATGAACCATCAATAACGAAAAATTGTTAGCCAAATCTGGTACTCATACTTCAACTGGTTTAGAAGATCTTAAAAAAGCACGCTGCCAGCAGATTATCTTCAAGCTACTATATCTCTGCAAAGATTTGGAATTAACCTATAATTTATTTGAATTTTTACATTAATTTTGACATTAAGAATTTGGCAATTGAATTGAGGAACGATGAAGTCTATTTCTGTAGACTTCATGGTAAAAATCCTCATATTAGATGAAGCATAATGATACCTACCATGCTAGATGTTCACTCAGTTCTGTAAGTATAAACATTTTCACAAGCATTGTAACGTAAGTTGCAAAAGATTGTTACTTCTTGCATCTTACTTGTAATCTAATGTTCAGTGAATTCTGCAGTATGTAATTTTGTTATTAATACATTCATTTTTAGCCATTTCTTACTATTAGTGCATTTTTAGAAATATCCAAATAACATTACACTACGTTGGTTCACTTTACATCTTGTAAAGTGGTCGTAACAAAATCGCTTTTTTAATTGATTTAGACAAATTATTCTCCTTTAAACAGAGAATATTATTTTCGTCTCATTGTTAAATGTGTATTAATATTTTTTGCTCTTTTCAATTTGTAAGATTATTATATCCATAATGTGAAATTTACTGTGATTACGTCGATGTCGATTTTAAAAAAGAAAGGACTGCTAACCATATTTACCTCTCCCAATTATAGTTCGACACATGTGCTTCTTTTTTGGTCTTTAAAATGCTAATTTTGTTCTAAATGGCAGCTACGCGCTTTACTTGCCCCTTTACTCTCCCCTTAATAGCATCACAAGTATCTGCCCTTAAATAACATGACTGCCTACTCTTTAATATTATGTTTTGTTACAATATTGATCTCTTCACTGTAGAACGTTATCTTTTGCCAAATGAAAATATACATGTGTTGCTGTTTTGTTTAAATTATTGAGAAACAATTCTCTAAGTGTACATATAAATTACTGACAAAAGTCTGAGTATATTATTGGTAAAGTAAAAAGTTTGGATATAATTGCAAGATATTTTTGCAACAGATTGTTAAAAACATGTAAGAGCTGTTATTTTATGAAGTACAAATTTATTTTAAAGGTGAATTGAAAACGTTGTAGATTAGTTTGGATGTTTTGGTGTATACTATTTGTATCCATATGAGAAATAAATATATTCGTATCTCTTGTTTAGATAATTTTTCTCTTCCCTCCCTCCATTATCATAATCAAATTCAGAATTCTTATTAGCTTCACAGTCACCATTGTAGCCGATGTCCAAAATTTTTGTTAATACGAGGGGGGGGCCAAAAATAACTGGACAAAATTTGCTACGGGCCGCTCTTGAAGTTGAAAGTTGCCAAGTGGCATCGCTTGAGATGGTTGTAGCGAGCCCCTGAGACAGACAATTTTTTAAATTGTTGATATTTGACAACAGCGTGCATCATTGAAATTTTGTTTTTGCTCGGTAAAAGTACATCGTGTTTAATGTTATCTAAAAAATCGAAAGGGTTGAAATAGTCGCAGCGCGAAAACCGTCTCAAGTGACACCATTTGGCAAACTGACTCGGGAGGGGTTATGTAACATCCATTTAGTGAGAGAAGCACAAACTAGTCAATTTCGATTGTTATTTTTGAGTTCCCTTCGTATATGGCAATTCGCTAATTATAGGCAGTTAAAAGAAACATACTATTAATGTTTAATGAAACTATTAAATCAAATCAAACATAGTATATATTACATACTAAGAACGGTAATAGACCAGGCAAGTTAGACAATGAATCAGAAATTTTTTTCTGATGAACCGATCGAGTTGCGGTTTTCGGCATTGTCTTCGGAAAAATATCAGGAAAAAGTCTATCACACTTTGGGGTAAAAATTGACTAAAAGTTGTAGAAATTTGGTTTTTGGGGTCGGAGATTCCGATTCTGACCCTGAAAAATATGCCCGATGGCTCTGGGGCCCCCCAGAGGGGCAAGAGGGGGCTTCTGTAAAACAACGAATAGCTGAGTCCTTCTAGCCTTCTAAATTTCCACTTGGGGTTTTTGAAGTTGGGGATTCCGATTCTGACACTGAAAAGTATGCCCGACGCCTGTGGGGTGGGCTTTCTGGAAAACATTGAAAGGCACATCAGATTTTTGCAATAAAACTGTTCCACCCACTTACCAACCATGATCTTGTAGGCTTATCTTTGTAACACACGTAAATTTACAGAGATTAGACAAGAAGGGTAAGAAAGACTAACAGGAAATTAATGAGTCGAAAAGAAACACCTTTTTTCTGAGAACCAATTTTCTTTTTATTTGCAAGGCAATTAGTGAGACAACTACTATCATATGTTTATCTAACACTTTCACTATCAATCACAATTTTCATCATCAGTACTACCATCACTATCTATTACATTTTCGACTATTTCAGGATTGGAACAGTTGGTTCCAAAACAATTTGTACATGCAATTGTGCTTGTAATTTCATGCTTCCTGCACCCACAAGATCTGCATTGTCGATAATCGGATTTTGTCGCCTAATTGTTATGCATTATCCGCAGTCGCACGGGCCCAAGAGATTCTTTTGAAAATCCATGATCCATGAAATATTCTTCGGTTTTAAGGAATATTTATTTTATTTTTAACGAAATGTGTCTCTTGGGAACGGATTATCCAGGATTTCTCCAATTCTACGACAATTTTTCTCACTGATAGACAAGCTAAGATTAATGGATATTTTCCAGTGTCAGATTCGGAATCACCGACCCCGAAAACCCCTTGTAGAAATTTAGAAGGCAATTACTCAGCTATTCGATGTATTACGGGAGGCCCCCCGCTTGCCCCCCTGGGGGGCCCCAGGGCCGTTGGGCATATTTTTCAGGGTCAGATTCGGAATCTCCGACCCCGAAAACCAAATTTCTACAACTTTTAGTCAATTTTTACCATTTTTAGAAAATTCGGAAAAATTGATGCACTCCAAGATGCACTTTATGCACCCGCAATGCAGTTTCGATCCAGCTCCAAAGTGTAATATATAGACTTTTTTCCTGATATTTTTTCGAAGACAATGCCGAAAACCGCAACTCATCGGTTCATCAGAAAAAAATGTCCGTATTCTGGGTGATTTTGGTCTAACTTGCCTGGACTATAAGGGTAATTTTGTTTAAAGACAATGTTTTGTCTGAGAACGGTATAACCCTTAACATTCGTGATGCTTATACTATTTTTTGCACGATTGCAATAAATGAAAACGAAGTTATACATACATATTTAATTTTTTATGTAATGTCAAAAATGACGTTTTTGAATAAATTTGTGAAGCAGGTTTTTTAAATATATTGATGTTTATTATTGTCACGGCTTACTGTAAATAGAAATATAACTGAAACCGGAATAAAAACATGTATCGTTCCAATTTCTATAAGTAATAATTGTACCAGCTGCATATTTAATTTCGATATTAATAAATAAACTGAATTCCAGAAAACCCATTCCAATTCAATGCGATGTTAAAAATTACTATTTTGATAATTATGTACTTACCATTCTAGAACGGTAAGGAAATTACTTACCGTTTTGTTAGTCTTTGCAACCAGTAAGCGCATCCTACTGTCGTAGAAATACACATGGTAAGTGAAGCTTGATTGTGCAAAAAAGTTATTTTTGTTTGTTTGCTTTCTGTGCAATATAGTCAATTTATTCTGTTTCAATTTAAAAGTATAATCCATTGTTTTCATTGTGGAAAAGTGTTTATTGTAAAAATATCAAATTTGTTTCACTACTTTTATGTTAAACACACAAAAACAGGAATGTAAATAATAAAGCACAATGTGTATTTTCTGGGAATTTAATATTTTTATTTAATATATATACAAAAATATGATTAACGTAAAGAATGTTAATTAAAATTGGGCGCTTACTAAAAGCAATGTTTAAATAATTTGGGGTATTCATTTTCTCGGCAATTTTCTCTTTTGGAAACCAAATTCAAGGGATTATCGCTTCCAGTCTTATTAAAAATATAAAAAATTATTGTAATTAATATTTTAAAAGTTTTACTTTATATAACAAAAACCTAAAATAAATTATTTATGTACTTATAGGGTGATTCAATTAAAGATGCTTACTACGGAAATCTCGGAAATGGTAAGCGGTACAAGATTAGTTAAATTACTAAAAAGTTGTGCAGTGATAAGGGCACTTGAATGACTGCTTTATAACTTTTGTTTTTTTTCGAATAACTCCCATGACTATAAATATATTCCATGATATATAAAATATCTTGGAATAAATTAAATAATTTTGAAAAAGTAAGGGGTAGTACACACTGTTGTGAACATGTTAAGTGAATCACCACAAAACTAAGAAAATCTATAGAAAATTCTTGAGATTATGTAACTAACTGAACAAACTTTAGTCTGTTTGAGAGAAAATAATCTGAAATGAAAAAGAAAACTAATTAATTCAATCTTTTTTATCAACATTAAACCCGTGAGTAACAGAAGATTTGTCAGAGTTACTTTTAGTTACTTTTACATTGCTGTCACTAAAATCACAACTAATACTTTTATTTTTCACACTTCTGCTGTGACCCACAACAGAAGTGCTGGCACCATCTGAATCTAAAGCAGCAGATAAATTTCTAGTCGCATCTTGCAAATCGCTACTGACTCTTGGAACAAATGGAATTCCAACAGAAGCAGCATGCTCTGCTTCATCTACCCTTGTAGTGGTAAATCTTGGAGTTTTTACAGACTTAAAAAAAAGAAAAATCCTTTCAGAAAACAGGTAAATCTTAAAAATAACAAATGCAGAGTGATTGCATGTTTAACGCTACAAGTCTAGCTGATATACCTTAAAAATTGAACCCACAACGTCCATATAATGTACATTTCTCCTATATAAAACTTCCCAGAAAAAGAAAACATTTTTATAGCAATCACCCTGCAATTGTATTGTTTTTCTTTTAATGAAAATAAATTCTCATATTAACTGAAACCAGTAAATAGAAATCGGAGCAGAAATTTTAGAAAAATATAAATTTTTTTTACAATTTTTTAAATAAAGAATTTAAACTTAAGACCTACAAGAAAATTTTGGTGTTATAAGAATTTTTACTCAAACTTATTTAGCTATAGCCTTTGCACCATTTGTACGCATTAATTAATTTTTGGATCAAGGTTTTATCCACAGTTTGAGAGTTCATTATCGACGACTGCTTATGACCAGTGTATCGAAAATAGCACACCAATAACAATAAATTTGCATGATGCTATTGAAATGGTTGCGAAAGCATGGCAACAGGTTACCCAAAAAACAATTGAGAATTGTTTCAAACATGCATTGCCCTCTCTTTGTGAGTTCGACTAGGACAATGCATTACCTCTTAATCAATGGATTATTAAACAAGTTGCTAATGAAGAGGATGTCGATAACTTACCTTTAAGTGTGTGGTTAAATAAATATAATTTTAACTTAAAAGAATTAAATTCAGCTGTGATTGATGCCTTCATTGATGTGGATAAAGAGCTTGTTACAACAAATTTGCCTACAGAGCAGGATGTTGTTGACCAGATTAACGAAGATGAGCAGATTGCTATTGGAGAAGATGAAGAACCGGAAGAAGAAACGCCCTCAACGTTTGATGAGGCAATTAGAGGAATAAAAAAAGTAAAACAATTTTTAGAAAGTAAAATTAATACTGGAGATCGTATTTCAAGCGCATCGCTGGAAATGGAAATGTATTTAGAGGTACAGATCCTTATGAGTCGCAAAAAACAAACTCCTAACAGATTTTTTTGAAAAGTAGTTTTAGATATTTTATTATACACACATACCTATTTTGTGGTGCAAATAAAAAGTGTATTTTTAGTTTCGCTTTTAAGTTTTAAGAACAAAATCCACATATATTGTTATTCTATTGATGCTTTTGTTAAACATATGTATGTTTGTATTTTTGTTAAGAATTAATTAAACTTTTTATAATTTTTGTTAAACGTACTTCTGATATAACGTACCGATTTTTTAAGTCCCCGTCGGTACGTTATAACCAAGCTTTACTGTACATGAATGCATTTGATTTTTTTATCACTCATCAGTTTTTCGATTACAAATTAGCAAATATTAGCTGTAACTGTTCTCATTGCTGAAATATTGTTAAATCTGATTAAAAATATTGTAACAGGTGGGGCAAAAGTCCCGCTACCATTTTGATTGCCTATAACTTTGTTCAAAGAAAAGATAAGTAAGTTTGGTTTTCATAAAAAGTGTATTTGGTCTTTACATTTTTTTCGTTATGATTGGAAAATTATATCGGCTAAATGGTGACCGCGATTCGCTATGCAACTTTCGGCTCTTTTTAAGGCATTTTTCATGACATCCTGCAACATCTCAGGCTGAATTTCTTCAATTTCGTGACGAATATTGTCTTTAAGATGTTGAATCGTTTGGGGCTTATTCACATAAACTTTTGATTTTAAAAAACCCCATAAGAAAAAGTCTGGTGCTGTTAAATCCGGAGATCTGGCTGGCCATGCTAAATTGCCATTTCGCGAAATTAGTCTTTGTGGAAAAATGTCATTCAATAATTGAATTGTTGAACGGGCTGTGTGTGCTGTGGCCCCATCTTGCTGAAACCACATGTCCTCTAGTCCTTGCCCTTCCATTTCAGGCACAAGAAAATTTCGAATCATGTCTTGGTACCCTTCAGCAGTAATAGTAACACCTTGGTCATTTTCAAAAAAATAGGGACCAATGATGTTTCAAGCATGAATACCACACCATACAGTTGTTTTTAGTGGATGCAATGATGTTTCATGAATTAATTGAGGATTCTGTGTTCTACAAAACCGACTGTTTTGTTTATTGACGTGGCCACTGAGAAGAAAATGGGCTTTGTCGCTCATTATCAATTTAGACGAAAAATCTTCAATTTCACCAGACAGCTTTAGGATTGCATTACTGTACTCAACTCGTTGATCAGGATCTCTCGGTAGCAATTTTTGGACTAATTGAATTTTGTATGGGAACATTTTCAAATTAGTTTTCAAAATTCGCCTTAAACTGTGTGCAGAAATGTGTAACTGGGAACCACGTCTCCGAATTGATGTTTCTGGAGATCCTGCAACACTATCGTGCACCAGAGCCACATTTTCAGCGTTACGAGACATCCGTTGTCTTCCAGAACGAGGTCTGTCTGCTGTCATACCGTACTGTCGAAAATTCGCATGTAAACGATAAATTGTGGTTTTGTGAGGCACTGGACGATTAGGATATTTTTGACGCAATTTCTGTTGTGTGGCAATAATGGAACGATTATTTTCAATAAATATTGTTACTATTTTTGCTCGTTCTTGTGGCGTATATTTATCCATTATAAAATTTGGACGTCTACAACACAATGGTTAAAGCTAAACTGAGCTAAACGTCACATAACCAAGATGGCGCGCAATCAAAATGGTAGCGGGACTTTTGCCCCACCCGTTATTACTAGAATTTCATTTAATTCCATTTCAAAAAAATAAATTAATAGAGGCAAATGGTTCAAAAGCAATGAGCAAAATAAGTTTTAGTAAAAATTCATAGGTAATCTTACATAACAACTAACTGCTCATTATCTGATCATCTAGGTCGTCTCCTCTGCTATTGTGAGAATCAATGTGTAAGCAAGACGAGATATGTGGTTATATAACGCAGTACCAGAAAGCTAATCATTTTAGAGCAGTACATGAGAGAATGGTCACTTTAACATTGTCTACCGCCAATAGAGAGATATGTGCCGTTATAAGATTTCATCATGCTTAGAAGTGAACTCCGGCAGATATCCGCCGGCAATTACATGAAGAAAATTGATTAGAAAGTGAAACATCAATTTCATTAAGTTGCCTATTAAGCCCTTTCAGTTAGTTCTGGAGAAATTGGGAAAGGCAAGCCACTATAGACTGCTTGGCCGTCTATGAATTGCTTACATCAAACTAACCGTACTGTCACTTATACAGGGTGTATCATAATTAACAGCGCAAATTGAAACAGTTGTAAGTGCACGATACTAGAAGCAAAAAAGTCTTCATAAACAGGTCGGCAAACAAATCATTTGCGAGACAATTTAGAATTTGTGGTTACCAGCCACTACTGATTTTATTGTGTGTAAATGTCATCATAGTTAGGAAACGGTACCAATAGATTAAAAAAGTTATTAGATATTTTGGTAGAAGTGCAGTTGTTTTTAATGAACAAGAGAACAGTCTTACTTAGTACGTTACAGTTACATGTTACAATGACTGTACAGTGTACTTACTCGCAGTTAAAGGAAGTGTTCAAAGTGTCATCTTTGTATCAGGTGTATTGTTTACTTCGTGTAGTGTGGTCTGTATTAACGCAACTGAATACAGTGAAAATTGGTTATAACGACCTTCAAGGGACCGTTTGTTTATGGTTGTTATAACCGATAGACGTAATAAGCAATTACATATATTTTATTTAAAATTTTTATAGAAAAAATGAGAAATTTACGATACAAGTCTTTAAGTATGTCCATGTATTGCTTTGTGTTCAAAAGATCTCGCGCGCTTCATTTTCAATTAATTGTTTTTGAATAGAAACTTTAGGCTTTTTTTTGCGGCAATATAGGTGAATATCTGAGTTGTAGTTACTATTTCTATCTCTTTTGGTCTTAGTTGTTATATGGTAGTTTACATCTTTTCACTCACTCATACTACACATACCACAACATACAACTTCTCTCGCGAAAAAAAGCCTTTTATTTTATTTCTATCCTTCCAAGTTGTTGAAATCGTAGTGTGACACGTCACATTCTTTTGCTTGCTTGCATTAGTTTCTTCATTTTTTAATCTCTTTATTATGTGTGATTTTTCTTCTTTATTAAACACTTTTGTGTTCGACATCGTGATAGAAAGTGGTAATTAATACATATAATATAACTGTATGCGTAGCAAAGTCGTAATTTGTCCGAAATGTACTAACTGGTGTCAAAAGCGTGGATGCTGGTGGGGTGGACGGAAGAGCGGTGCATTGGTTTTAATTGCACTATTGGTCGTTCTAACCGATAGATTCTAGGGTAAATGTATATAAAAACACATCGCTAAATCCGAAATGTCATTGTAAAGGGTGTTGTAGTAAACGATATTTGGAATATGGTATTTCTATAGGATTTAATCGGGACTTCCAAATTCCGTCGTTATATCCAATATGTCGTATAAAGCAATATCGTAATATCCAATTTTCGTTGCATTTTCGAAACGTGGAATTGTAATAAAACAGAGTGGATACTACAGTACAGTACATAAAAAGCAAACCCTGCTCGAAGACACCCTGAGAGTCATTTACACACAATCAAGTCAATGGTGGCTCGTAACCACAAATTCTAGATTATCTAAGGGCTCCTTTGTGGACCCATGTTTACTAAGACTTTTTTACTTCTAGTATCGTGTACTGACAGCTGTTTCAATTTGCGCTATTAATTATGATACACCCTGAGTACTTTACACATTGCTGATGGATATATGACAGTTTGCTTCTGAATGTGATCTCATGATAGCACATGTCTCTCAGTCAGTGGAAGACAGCATTAGTTACCATCTTCTCATGACATTGTCCTAAAACTTTCCACTGCTACTTCTGCATCAGAATATAGCCACATAGCCCTTGCTTGCATATGCAAATCACATTCGAACTACAAGCATCGCATTAAAACTTATTGTCAGGAAATATGTGAAAGTATTTTGATTTTGAAAAATTAAATTTTTATAGTCATTACCTCAGATAACGATGATTTTCTGGGTTGACTTGACAATTTGGTACTGGTTCCACAAGGCTGTGATAATTGTGACACAAACTGTGGCCTCTTCAATGACGACGATTTCTCTGAATAATTCTTCAGTTTCACGCTACTCTGTCCTTCCTGATTTAAACTGGGATTTGAATTTTTACCAGGTGATGTTACTCCATCACTTGCTCTTCTGGGAATGTTAGTTATGTCTATGGGGATCTTACCAGAGGGGGACTTACCATGAAAACTTTTTGATACCCTCGATATTCTAGGCGGTTCAATGTAACTTTCTCGGACTACAACTGCTCCCGGTTTAGGTTTGATCAATCCACTCTCTTTCTCTACCTTTTTGTCTGTACTAATATTTAAATTTTTTCCAAAATCTATATTATCTGTTTTATTATAGCTTTTGATTTCTAAGAATTTTTCTTTATTCGTTGACCACTTGTCAGAGCCCGGAGAAGATATATTTATATTTAAATTAGGAATATCCTTTTCAAATGATCTATTCGACTTTCTTATAATATCTTTTAAATCTCTTCTATCAAAATCAGCACTTATTCCACTTGAGCATGGCTGAATCCTATCAGTATTTTCAATGTGTTTGAGATTGTAACTACTTGAACTAGGGGAATGTAATACGTTTGTGCAAATATTGACATTAGGGTTCATTGGAGAAATTAGTTTTGGGCTGATACCGACTAGTTGCTGGTTATTATCTGTTAGGCTGGCGCTTGAACTAAATATACTGGAAAGAGCATTTAATCTAGAGCCTGTTAATGTTTCATTGGGGTCTATGGTCTCATCGTCTTCTAAAGTCACAATTGTTTCCATATCTTCTGTAACTGTAACATCGTAGTCAACCGCAGAGGAAGATCCAGCAGTTGCATCATTAGTGTTAAATTCCAACTCAGAACCTCCTGAAACTGGTGTTACATCTCCACTTTCTCCTCCTGAAACAATTTTAGAATTTTTTTTACGTGATAAATGTAAAGACTGGTTTTTCACAATGAAATTATAGTAGAAATTACATTTCAAAACGTCAAGCTTTAATTCTGTGCAGAATGTCAAATAAATGTATCAAATGTATCAACAATAATATTCACCAAAATAAAAGAAAAAGTATATACAGGTTCGGAAAGTCCCCATGGTACATCGGCCGTTACTTGAGAACGAGAAAGTAAGTCACAGAAATAGACAAGGATGGTTACATTGAAGACGTTTCATAATCTGAATAGTCACTCCCACTTCTAACCCGAAACAGGCGGTGACTATTCAGATTATGAAACGTCTTCATTATAGCCATCCTTGTCTATCGCACGGATTTCTTTACTTTACTTTGTCATTCTCATGTAAAGGCAGATGGACCATGTGGATTTTCCAAACCTGTATAAGAAAACATATACCCCATAAAACGCATAATACAGGAGCTACAGCCCCTTGAAGGATAAACTAAAAGCTACATTTTATTTGACCATGGCTGTTACAGGACATTTTTTTAACAAAATTTCTCACCCATGTAAAATTCGATAATGTTGAAATAAAATTCAAGTACAATTTTGTTTTTTTGTGTATTACATCACCCTATTTATTTCAAAATTTGGTTTAAATATTAGAAAATTTTAGATAATTTTCAGTAGAATATGGTTTTGCACCCTTTTGCGTATAAATGAGACTTCTGGATCTGGATTAACTATCAGAGAACCACCACATATTGCGTTAACAAACATTATTAAATACTTCTGAAATTAAATTATTTGAACTAATTTAACTTTTATACTAATATATTTTTTTCTAAATATACAGGGTGATTCACAACTTATCCAAAAAAATTTGGGAATAGATGCAGCATGAGAAATGGAGTCAATATCGTAAAATTTTTTGTAAAATCCTTATAGTTTCCGAGAAAAAAATAATTGAAGTTATTGTACATTCAACTACTACATAGCTGGACAACTGTAGTCTCTAGCGTCATTCGCAATACGTGTGGAGAGCCACGTGGCCTCAGCTTCAAATACTGAAATCCGATTTTGCAATCGTCGGTGCGATAGTGTTTATCTGTGGTGTTTCCAATAATTTTTTGGTAGTTAGTGTCTAAAATGGTTTGCGTGTATAGCAACTCGGAATTGATGGATATCGTTTTAATTTATGGTGAAGCATTTGTGTTATGGTGAAGCAAGACAACATTTGTGTTTACAAGTTGGTGGATAAAATTTTGAACAATTGTTGTTGTAACAACGGGTATGTCAAATGGTTTTATTATTTAAAAACACAAATTAGTTTTATTAATTAATAAAGGCAAAAGCAGTTGAATTTGCCGATATAACATAGGTGCTATAAAATTCTATTTACATATTTCTCTCCTTGCGAGTTTTTTTCTGTTATTATCACACCGCCATGCCGGTCGCATTGTGTTAGGTCAGGTTTTACAGTGGACCAGTTTCCAGTGCCGTGCAGAAGTGTATTTTTAAATCATTTTCCAACTGCCCTTTTTGATTTTTTCTTTACAAAATTGTATTTGTAAGGGTCCCCCGTACATCCAAAATTTTTTTTATGGATAAGTTCTGAATCACCCTGTATGGAGATCAGCTAAGCTTACACCAATTTGAAACGAGGAGCTTTTTTTATTTAAAATTAGTTAAGTTCATGAAATTATCATACAGACTTTTGAAGAATTGGAAAATAAACAAGTTACTAAAACATTTTGTTGACAGCTATGGCAAAATAAAATTTAAAATTTTTATTTATCCTTTAATGTTTGGAGCTGTAACTCCATTGTAAAGCTCCATATTTTGACGAGTATTATCAGTTTAATATGTTTTTTACTATCCAAAATATTTTACCTTGTGTTTTTTGTGCAGAGTTGTAATACTCAGAAAATTCCATAGATCCCGATATGTCTTTATCAAAGGAATCTAGAAGCATCCCAACACTGCCTAGATCTTGATCTAGACCTGGGGCTGTAGGGAATATCTTCGTTAAGTTGTCCACAGTTAATCTAAAAATATTTGTTAGTTAAATAAATACAATTTAATTCATTATGGTCCACGCAAACACACTTAAAATGCACAAAGTAATTCAACCAACACAAAAAGTGAGTAGTTTTTTGTAAATTATTCAAAGTTGAATGGCATGTTTTTCAAATTCTTTTTTTTTAGGTTTTTATGAACAGTTGTAGGAAAGTACAATTTATCAGAAATTACGATGTTTATATTTAAACATAGTTGATAATTTTATAACATGAATGTTTAATTATAACTACATTTTTTTAAATACAGGTCACTTTTGTTAGCTTTGATAGATGTTTTATAAATAACAAGAATGTGGATATAATTGATTTCTCTACTTGCATCAGTTAATTAGTGTACTTCAAATTCGATACATACACTCATAAAAATAAGAAATATGTTTATCTGGAATTTAAAACATAAAGTTAAACGAAACATGCAACTGGTAACATTTAAGTATTCATCTTTTATCATTATTTTAAGCATTTTAGCATTATTTACAGTATTCTGTTCTATTCTACCATCTCTATGTACATCATTGTTTAGTTTTCAATAGCAACAGTTAGTAATAAGAAAAAACAAAACATCTCTCAATAAACATACCTTTTTGTGACAAAAACAAAACCCGTTTCCTAATTTTGGTAATAAGACAATTCTTTTTTTAATTTCAGGCTGATTAAAATATACTCCTATAAGTTAGTGAAGTAGGTACACTATTTTACATTAAAATGTAAAAAACATACATATTTCATTTATATTTTTATTAAGACAACTATTAAAAATAATTTTAAAAAATACATATAAATTAGTAGTATCTAAGGATCTTTGTTCTTAGATAGAACTTTCTTATTCTTATAAATTGTCACTACCAACTCGATTATTCTCCTTCGATTTTAACATATTTTTTAATCCAAATAATTTTAGAAAAAAGTTAATTGAATGCTACCATGAGATAAAAACAGAAAGAACAGAACAGAGGTCTTCTAAATGTTTCGAAATAGTTACTCAATTTTCAATTCAGTGCCGTTCACTTTGACCTAATGGCTTGTCTGTATGACAATATGTACTTAATTCTATATCTCTTGGAATGGAATGGAATCATTTATGCAAAAATGCAAATCTCCTTCCCAATATCATTAAAAAATTAAATGAATAAAACAAAATTTAATAAAACTAAAAACAATATACTAGAAATTGTTGGTCTCTACAAGGTGTTTCAGTTCTAGTGAATCAAACTTTACTCACAAATAGAACTCAATAAATAATTCACAATTGCCTTATAAAGCAAGGGTCTAAGTCTCACCGTTTTCACTATACAGAGGGTCGTATTGGTCGATTGTTAAAATCATATTATTTACAAAAACTTTGGTTTTGCTTATAACAAATTGATTAAAATTTGTTGTGGTGTTAACATTTACTTGTGCATCGTAAAATTTACAAATTTCTGTAGGTCAGTGGCGTAGGAATGGGTAGTAAAGTGGGATTTTTTTACCCCAACTTCTACGCCAATGACCTAAAAATCATTTGAAATTCATTTTTACATTCCATGGACAATTCTACATAAAAAAAGGTATACTTGTTGAAAATCTGTTGAGTGTATTGTTTTACCGAAAATCTCAATTGAATGGGAGATCGTTTTTCTTATAAAAAATTGTTTAATTTTATAATGCATTAACTTGGAATTCAAAACAATATTAAATAAAGTCTTTACATCAGCGTAACGACTGGTAAATATAATTGTATTATATGTGTATTATTTTATTGCATTCATAATGTGGCGAATTCCCCCTCTGAGCTTATTTTTTTGTTAGCTACAGTGTGGTGGACAGCATATTCAATGGCACAAATTGATTCAAATTTGGTGTGGTGTTAACATTTGCACGTGGATAATTTACTGTAAAATTTACAAATTTTTGTAGGCCATTGTCATAGGAATGGGTAGTAACGTGGGATTTTTTTACCCCAATCACCTAATAATCATTTGGGATACATTTTTAGATTCTGTTCACAATTCTACATAAAAAAGGTATACTTGTCGAAAAACTCAGTTGAATGGGGACCGTTCTTCTGATAAGACTTGAATATTCATCCATTTCTTTTACAAATACTAATATTTCAAATCTTAAAAATAAAATGACAGTTCCTGATGACAGATAAGTCTATTATTGCTTAGTTGTTTTTTTCGTGGCAATCATTGTGTAGGGATACTGTAATAGACGCACAGCGAAGATTTAAAATTAATATGTAGTTGTAATTTTTTAAAAGAATTATATCTGTTTGAAACAAACGGACTGTTGAATGAGCAAGGATACCTATAATTGCTTCAGAATAGCACAAATGAAATTTTAGGTGCCATTGAATATGCTGTCCACCGCACTGTAGCTAACAAAAAAATAAACTCAGAGGGGGAATTCGCCACATTATGAATGCAATAAAATAATACACAAGAAATTATATTTACCAGTCGTTACGCTGATGTAAAGACTTTATTTAATATTGTTTTGAATTCCAAGTTAATGCATTATAAAATTAAACAATAATTTTTTATAAGAAAAACGGTCTCCCATTCAATTGAGATTTTCAGTAAAACAATACACTCAATAGATTTTCCACAAGTATACCTTTTTTTATGTAGAATTGTCCATGGAATGTACAAATTAATTTCAAATGATTTTTAGGTCATTGGCGTAGAAGTTGGGGTAAAAAAATCCCACTTTACTACCCATTCCTACGCCACTGACCTACAGAAATTTGTAAATTTTATGATGCACGAGTAAATGTTAACATCACAACAAATTTTAATCAATTTGTTATAAGCAAAACCAAAGATTTCGTAAATAATATGATTTTAAAAATCGACCAATACGGCCCTGTACAGTGAAAACGGTGAAACTTAGACCCTTGCTTTATAAGGCAATTCTGAATTATTTATTGAGTTTTATTTGTGGTTAAAGTTTCATTCACTCGAACTGAAACACCCTGTATAGGTATGGGGCATTTTGGGTTGTGTAAAATAAAGTGTGGATTTTAGATAAAAAATATTGCCAATACAATTTTTCAAAAAGTGCCCCTAAAAAATAGTAGCAGGCATAAGATTTCTAATTTTGAAGTGTTTTCAAATACACACCTTTTTATTTGTTTTTATTATATTAATTATTAATATGATGTAATGGAATGTAATAGAACGTCTTGTCAAAACTGAAAGAGCGAATTTCTCATCTAAATTTAAGGATACTTTGTCATTTAAAAATGTACCCTTGAAGCCATAATTATGAAATTCAGTATTACAGTGAAAACAAAAAAAATCAAATGAAGATATTGATATTAAATTTTGTGTGCACAATACATGCATAAAACGAGTACCGATAAGTGTGCAATGGGATGCCAAAACATTCTAAATTTTTTAAAAAGTATCAACTTTACAAATTGCTAATTTATATAGTTGTTACGATATCAATTGTTACGAGGGGGGCGTGCTGGTCGTCAAAGCAAACCTATATTGGTCCACTTGGTTGTAAATAATTTTTTGCTTGGTATTCTATGATTAATTTGGTGTCGAACGCGATTCACTTGGCTTTGCCAGTGCAGTGGAGAGCATTGCTTGGCGTGGTATATTTATTGTTGGTATAATACATATATTATTAATTATTAGTTAATATTATTATTTGTTCCTATCGTAACCAATAAAGGGTAAGTTTTTAAAATAAATATTATATGTAATTATCTAGTAATGTAGCATGGCTTTCTGGAGACCCTTTGAAATGGAGAATTACAAAATAACCCGGGAAATTCCCCAAATAGTCGAGCCGGGTTTTCCCAAAAGCGTCGAAACTAACTCAGTTTAAAAACAAAGATTTACACATACAAAGCCAACGTATTATTTTAAATATATATGAATGTTTCAAAAGAGAAAATAGTGAACAATATGATAAAGAAACTAGGAAACGGATTAGCAAATTAGCTAAGATATCAAAAACGACAATTTATCGCGTAATTAAGGAAGTAACTTTATTTTCTTTATACATATTATAAATTGTGCGCTGTATTACATTTCTGGTAAAATCGTCAATATTCTTTAATTTTCCGTTTCCTCTTTGTACTGTGATTAATAACGTTATTAATCACGGTACAAAGAGGAAATGGAAAATTAAAGAATATTGACGATTTTACCAGAAATGTAATACAGCGCACAATTTATAATATGTATAAAGAAAATAAAGTTACTTCCTTAATTACGCGATAAATTGTCGTTTTTGATATCTTAGCTAATTTGCNAAAGCGTCGAAACTAACTCAGTTTAAAAACAAAGATTTACACGTACAAAGTCAACATATTATTTTAAATATATATGAATGTTTGAAAAGAGAAAATAGTGAACAATATGATAAAGAAACTAGGAAACGGATTAGCAAATTAGCTAAGATATCAAAAACGACAATTTATCGCGTAATTAAAGAAGGAGACGTTATTAATCACGGTACAAAGAGGAAATGGAAAAATACAAAATTAAAGAATATTGACGATTTTACCAGAGATGTAATACAGCGCACAATTTATAATATGTATGTATAAAGAAAATAAAGTTCCTACTTTAAACATGATTCGAGATAAATTAAGCGATTATCCTGTTTATAATTATAAATCTTTAGATACTTTACGACATGTTTTGTTACAATGCGGTTTTAAACATAAAAAAACTTGACAATCTAATGGTAATGGAAATGTATGGTAATTATGGAATCATGACGTATAGTTGCACTTCTGGAAGATTATTTACAAAAAATTAGAGAATATCGTCAACAAAATAGGAATATAGTATATCTAGACGAGACAGGGCAAAATATTTCTGGATTACTATGGATTCCGTAGAATTTATGGGTTAAATGTTTTTACACGGTTCCAACTGATATCGTAATGACTATACCAAAATAGCAAAAAAATGTTAAGCAATCATTCTTGTTCAAAATAAAATTTCATTTCATTCAGTTCAAAAATTGACAAAAAAACCGTTCATGGACCAATTCCAAAAAATTCGTTGTTATGGAGAAGTGTGCTTAGCTGGCCTTAGCTAAAGTTGACAAGCTAGTGAGGCCTTTAAAATGCAGGTTTTTGGCAAAGCTATCAAATTTTTCCATGAACCATAATAATTTGGCTTCGATTATATAAATTTTTGATTTGGTGTCAGTTTTTAGATGTATATTAATTTATGTCCGCAAACCTTTCATGAGTTCAATTACTTTTCACGTCCACTTTTGTAATTGAGTCTTTGAATTAAACGCAGAGGAAAATTATGGTTTCTAAAAAGTGACGCTTATTGTCCGCATATGAGCTATACAGAAATTTATATTTTTTGACGTGGAACCATTTTTGGGGAAAATATAACCAACGTACCTAATAACTACACGACCAGGTGAAGTAATTTTATTCATGTATTGTACACACATTTCTTTTCAATATCTCATTCATTGAAAAGGTATTTAAATGTTTTTTTTTTAACTTTAGCTTTTCCTTTAAAATGTTTGTTTTAAAAAAATATCTTAGATTTTGTCAAACAGAATTTCATTTCTTACGTTGTTTATCTCGATGTTATATTCCGCCCTGTAATGTAGGTGATATAAATTCATTCATCTTATCGAGAACATATGCATAAGCAAAAGACTTAACAGTGCAACAGATTTAGAAGTGCTCTTCCATCATAGTAAAAGAAAACGTACATGCTTTCAGTGTCAAAGTAAAATGATTAGTTTCCTAAAAGAAGCCGTATTGCAGTAAATTTTTTCGTATTTCTTAAAAATACAAAATTAAAAAAAAATTTATTTATATTTTTTTTAAATTTGTTAATACCATATAGACAAATTCACTATCTAGAAGTTTTTTAGTATGTTTTAGAAATGCTGTTCATTTGACAATTTTTCCAGGTTACAGGAATACTGCATCCAGGGTGGCCAAATGAAAACGAAACAGAGCCATTTTCAGGAACTGCGTCAAGATCGTAGAAAAACACTCAGACCCGTCGATTTTAGATTAAAGGGGGACATTCTTTGCTGATATTTTTGACTCTGTCACTTTCACCAGCAAGCAAGGGTAAGCATCACCCCAAAATATTTAAATGGCATTAGGGGTTGAATAATATTTCTTTTGAAAGCTCTTACAATTCTCTTTACAACCGACTTTAAATTTTATAATTCCGCCCAATACTTATTAAGAATTTTGATTTTAAAGTTGAAACTTATGTACAAACAATTAGTAACGGTAAAAATGTCAGTCATTCGAGTTAAGTACGCCAATGGTATAAATTTAGTATTTCTTGCGTTACATTGGTTTTTGGCGATTTGTTATCACTTTCGTAAAAAAAAACAAAATTGTAAAAAACAGAAATGAATGCTATACACACACAATGAACGTAAAATTAGTGGATTCCAAATTATTTTCTAGTATTATTTGGAAGCGTTGGTTGGTAGTTTATTTAATTGTGTTTTTGAAAATTAAACACTATGGTTTATTCCATTGCGGAAAGGGTAGATATCATTTCGCTTTACTTTATGAACAATAAATGTGCGAATAGAACAGCTCAGCTATTTAATGAACAACATCAAGATCGACATGTCAGGAGGAAGTATGTTCTAGAGTTAGTAAAAAAATTTCAAGAGACAGGGAACGTAGCCAATAAAAAACGAGAAATTGAAAAACCTATAGTTAATGAAGCTAGTGAAGTTGCAGTTTTGGGACAAGTTCATCTTGATCCTACATTAAGTACGAGGCAGCTGGCATCTGTGTCTGGGATCAATCGAACTAGCATACAAACCATTTTGAAGAAGAATAAATTCCATCCATACAAAATACATTTAGTCCAGGAACTTCATGAGGATGATTATGACCGCCGTTTGCAATTTTGCGAAATAATGAGTGAGCGAGCAGGGAACGATCCACAGTTCCTTTTTAACATCTGTTTTTCTGATGAATGCAGTTTTTTCTTGAACGGGACGGTAAATCGTCACAATTGCCGCTATTGGTCCGATTCAAACCCAAGAGTTTTTCACGAGGTGCATACACAGCAACCGGAAAAATTAAATGTATGGGCTGGAATTTTCGGTGACCGGCTGGTGGGTCCTTTTTTTCTACCTGGTAATTTGACTGGCCAAATGTATTTGCAATTACTGGAAGACGCTATTGACCCTGCCTTGACTGATATTATTGAAAATGTTCCAGAGTATGATGAAGATCATTTGATTTTTCAACAGGACGGTGCTCCTCCGCATTATGCGTTAATTGTCCGTCAGTATTTGGACCAACGTTTTCTACGGAATTGGATTGGGAGAAGAGGCAGCATTGAGTGGCCTCCACGATCACCGGATTTATCGCCCCTTGATTTCTTTTTGTGGGGATACCTAAAAAGTAAAATCTATAAAACACAGCCAGCGTCGCTGGAAGATTTGCGTCAAAGAATCGTCGACGAATGCCGTCGAATCACTCCGGAAATGCTTCGGAATGTGCGCGAACGTTTCGAACAAAATCTTTATTCTTGTATGGAAGCGGGCGGTCATCAGTTTGAACATTTAATCAACTAAGTAGTAAGTAAGCAACTAAACATAATTTAAATTTTAAAATGTAAATTTTTTTCAAAGTATTGGGCGGAATTATAAAATTTAAAGTCTGTTGTAAAGAGAATTGTAAGAGCTTTCAAAAGAAATATTACTCAACCCCCAATGCCATTTAAATATTTTGGGGTGATGCTTACCCTTGCTTGGTGGTGAAAGTGTGGAATCAAAAATACCAGCAAAGAATATCCCCCTTTAATCTAAAATCGACGGGTCTGAGCGTTTTTTTACAATCTTGACGCAGTTCCTGAAAATGGCTCTGTTTCGTTTTCATTTGGCCACCCTGTATTTAAATTTCCCTTAGAAATAAGAAACAAAATAATTATGATTTCAATGAGATGTTTTATTCCATATTAGTGTACGTAAAAGTTATAGATTTTCTAGGATATGAATCAATAATTTCGGGTAGAAAAAAGAATACTTCTACAAAAGAAAAGCTCATAAGTCAAAGCCAAGTCCATGAAAATGACAAGAACATGAAAATGAAATAATACTATTCACAAATATGGAGCAGAATTAACAAAACAATTTAATAAATATCTACAGCATAACACTGCAAAACACAAAAATACAACATAAAACACATTGAAACAAAAAATACAAATAGAATACATTTATTTTCTTGTCCATAATAAAAACAAAACATTTGCATTCGTACCTTCTCACTCAGGAATTTATATTTTAATTCAAGAGAAGATACATATTTGTAATGATAAACGAGGGCATGCTTAGCTTAAAATAAAATAAATAAATTTACTAAAAGATAATAGTGACAAGTGAAACGACTAAAGCACATTAAGTAAACATAAATAGAAACTACCCATCGCCACTAATGATGCTTGAAGACATCTCACTACTGCTTCCTTTTGAATTTTCTGAATATCCTGGCGAGGAAGGACCACTACTTGACATTAAACTTGAAGAACCACTCCATCCAACACCTGAAATTTTTTATTGCACAATCATACTTCACAATTCTATTCAAAGTAATGTGACGTAATAATTTAGCAATAAATAATAACATTTTAAAGACTAAAGGCCGTTGCGCAATTAACCGGCAACGAGAATGAGAATGAAAGTGAGAACCAGAAAGGAAATAGTAAGCTGAAGAAAATGTATAATTAACAGCTATGTTTCCAGGGTATATTACTCCAGTTGAATTAGAGTTTGAATGTGAATAAATAATTAGTAAACATTTTATTGCACTTTATGACGGGGAAGGGTATACAAAATGACATCAAAAAAGTAACTAACACTAAGTTGGCAAATTGTAAATAAGTGGCAAAATTTCGTGACTTTTCACTTTTTTTACGGCCCACGATAATCTAGACGAACTATCAGAAAATTAGTCATTTTATGTTGTAGGTAATTAAATTACCTACACTTTAAGGTATCTAAAATTATATTTCACCAATTTTTTAACTGTAAAATAAAGGATGAACGCGGAAAAATCATTTTCGAAAATTGATGGATGTCGATAAAATTTATGAAAAAGACGGTCAATCCAAAGACCAACATGCAACCAAAGGTCGATTCGATTAACCGTGAAATTGTTGCTCCCGGTATTTGTTAATTTCGTTTGTTTTTTGCAACTAATTGTTTAATTACTAAATGTTAATTTTAGAAGTTAATATCGTAGATATAAGTTCTAATTATTGATCCAAAGAAACGTATCGAAAAGAAAAATTCAAAAAGTTGAAATTAAGTTGCTCTCTACAACTAACAAAGTAAGACGTGTAAAATAGCATTATAAACAAATTGTCGCCTCTTTGTTCTCAAAATAACTTTTTTTTCATAACGTTAATTTTAATTAATGTATTGGACCCAGATTTTAGAGGCATTTATTTATTTAAAGAACATTAATATACATTTAAAGAAAGGATTAAACTTTTATTTTCAGAAAGTTTTACATTTATAGTTCATATTATAAAACACACTTGCAGCAATAAAAGTTAACGTTAATGTGACACGCGAGATTTTTGTCCTGAACGTTTCAAAGTTGGTTAAAAAATCTCATTTGCGACCGTAGTGGGCGGGCNATAAAAGTTGTCTTGGGAACAAAGAGGCGTAGCTGATTATTTTTTTTTTAAATAGCCATAAAAATAAGCTCTACTTCATGCAAAAAGAGCGAGCTTTTGCCTGACCCTGGGACAATTTGTTTATATGCTGTTTTGCACGTCTTACTTTGTTAGTTGTAAAGAGCAACTTAATTTCAACTTTTTGAAATTTTTCTTTTTCGATACGTTTCTTTGGATCAATTAGAACATATATCTAAGATATTAACTTCTGAATTTAATTAATTAACAAATAGCTGGAGCAACAATTTCACGGTCAATCGAATCGGCCTTTGGCACACATATTGATTTTTTGATTTACCATCTTTTCCATAAATTTTATCAACATCCATAGCTTTTTGTAATAATAATGCGTAATTTTCGAAAACTGATATTTTCGCATTTCACCTTTATTTTGCAGTTAACATATTACTGAAAAATGACTCTAGGTACCTTAAATTGAAGTTAATTTAATTGCATACGACGCAAAATAACTAATATTCCGATGTGTCGTCTAGATTTTCGTGGGCAGTAAAAAAAGTGAAAAAACACATAAATTTGTGACTTATTTGCAATTTGCCAACTTAACGTCACTTCTTTTGAGTTACTTTTTTGATATTATCATTCTAAATACCCTTCCCCATCATAATGTGTATTAAAATGTCTACTTATAATTTTTTCAAGTTTTCAGGTTGTATGTAATTCGACTGAAGTATATAGCGACATTTTTTATAGATTTGGTAATATCTTCATTGTCGCTAACATTTTGAACATAAAATTTCCATTTATTTTCTGTTGAAGGGAACTACGTCATTGTGCAACGGCCGTATGTTTGGCTTTGTTTTTCATTCATTTTGAAAACTTACTATTACTTGGAGATTGCAACTTAAAGGACTGAGATTTTGTTGAAGCTAAACCGCCTGCCGGTAAACTTGAACCATTTGTCGGCAGTGGAGTTGACGGATGTTTTGGAGGAGTTGAAGAGGGAGTTCTGAATAAAGGAGCTGCAGTCATTCCATCCAAAAACGTGTCAATTTGCTTCAGAGACAAGGCATTGTGCAGAGTTTCCAAAGGCCTTATGGGAGGAACTCCTCCAAAACCTTCAATAGCTGAAACATATTTACAATTTGAAAAGCTTAAATTATAATTAAGTTGCAATTTATTTCGTTTTTAAACATTAAAATGATCATGACAAGGCATATTAAACTCGAAAATGGAAAATTTATATTTCATCTGTATCTAAAATAAAAATGAGTTACAATATAAAATACAGGGTTACTATACAGAGGGAAGAAACAGTTTCAATTTTTTTCTAGGGTCATTTTTTATAAAAGGTTTTGATAATAAGATAATAAATATATTAAGATTTTGAAGAGCTTGATTATGGTCATATTCGTACATTTGTTTTTCCGTCCTTCCCAACTTATCAAAAAAATAATAGTTAATGAAAATAAATTAACCTGACTTTGACATGATCTTGAGGGTCATTGTCAAAGTCGTAGTCAAGGTCGTACTTGAAGGATAAATTTCAGTTCTTTCCAAATCCATAATAAAAAATAGGGGTTTCCAATGAAACAACAACTTTGACCTTGGAATGACCTTAAAGGTCATCGTCAGTCATGGTTAAAACCATCATTGGACGTAAAATTTCCTGCTCTTTCCAAATCCGCAATAAAAAATTGGGGTTTCATTTAAAAAACTTAACTTGACCTTCAAATGACCTTGAAGGTCAAAGTCAAGGTCAAGTCCAAGGTCAGCATCAGATAGCCAGGAAAAAATCCGTACACTTTTGTCTGAAACATTTTTTCCTAAAGTGCTTTATTCGAAAGTTTTTCTGCTGTACCGGGACTTTTGGAAAACCTTGTATATATAGGATGTTCAAAAAATATGAATATGATTTTACAAGAAATTTCAAGTTCAGGTAGCAAGAGTGTGGATAAGATATAACCCACAAGCATCTTAATTATCACTGCTCCTCATTGCCTACTCACACAAAGCATTGGGCGCGTTCAGCAGACAGAACAGTTGGGTAACAGTTTGCGACTTTTCTGCTGGCGCGTACGCTACCACGAAATGTGTTGTGGAGCGGTCGCCATTTTTTGTAGCATATAAAAGAGACGCTCGCTAGATGTAACGGCTGTGCAAAAATTTCGAGAATTTTGAAATAAAATATCGATACAAACATATTTTTTATGACGTTGATGCAATAGGTGTTCACTCACTATTAAAAAATGGTAAGAAAAATATGTACCGTTCTAGGATTAGAACACAGTCAATTTATCAATTGGGAGGTACAAACCTTTATCATTATCAAATCTTTGTATATATAGGTTGTGCTAGATCGTTAACAATTTCTCCTAATAGATCAAAATCTATTAATAACAAATGCATTTGTTTTCGTGATGATGACTATAGTCTACGGTTTGACAACTGTCTTCTGTCTGTCTTCTTTCACCAACACTGTCAAATGTGAAAAATGTATTGATATGTTCAGCAGATTTTTGTTACCGTTTAGTAACTTTACCGGTAACTGTCTTCTCTGCTGAACGTGGCCAATGTTTTGTACTTGCTAACGAGACTACTCTTTGTGCCACAATAGGCGAAATGATTTTAGCTAATGATTTTGTGGGAAGTAACTGCTCTACAGACTAAAGGCATGTTCCTCTTAGCTGCCTGCGAGTGTAATTCAATGATGAACAAGGCATTAAGTTCCAGAGTAGTTGTCTATCACAATTTCATTAGTTAAAAACGTCCATCGTAAAAATAGTCCATACCACCGATGGCACTTTGTCAAATATTTTTTTAATATATTTTGATTTAATTTTTTTTTTTTTAAATAAAGCCTCTTCACTCCTCAACTATTATCTTACTGTCAGAACATCCTGCAACCACATCATCATTATCTCCTGACACTCCTGACAGTAACCCATAGATACATTGTATACAGGGTGGTGTAATATATTTGGTGATCTTTTAAAACACCTTGGAGTAACATTATTTTTATTTTAAACTTAGAGCATCTGAGTACTAACTTACACATTACTATCTACATCCCACATGTGGTCTCAAGAGTAGTTTTAAGGGGTGACAGTTTCATTCCTGTTTTTACTTTTATCCCTTTTAAAAACGCTATTTGAAAATGTTTTATTTTAATAAATTTAACCATTTAAATATGCAAGTTTACATAACAAAGAAGAAAACAGATGGATTTTCAGAACATTAACTTTTTAAAATGTATGATATAAATCATGTTTTTTGTATTTTATAATTGTCTGCTATTTTCAGTGTGATATTTTTGGTTAGGCAAAACTAATTTCACAAAAATAACACTATTCTATTCTAATAATTCATGCCTATATAGAAAAATATTTCAAAACAATTGCCATCAATTAAATTTTCTGATGCTCCCTCACACGTAAACCCTAGTTTATTGGAAATAGATCAATAATTCAACATTTTTCCCCTATAAAATGACATTACTATCCCTCCCCCTCATTATAATCTCGAGGGTTAGCCCAGACTTACCTAAAACTATCCCTTAGGCAACATGTGGAGTTTGAGTAATGTTCAGTCTAAGATTAAAATATGAGTAAGATATCTCAAAGGAGTTTTGACATAAAAAACATTACAGGTACTATTCACCTTTGAAAGGCTATAAAAAAGGCACCCTTATTTTTCATGTACTACTTGCCCTGATATTATCAAGACATCAAGAGACCATATAAGACCAGTCTTTATGAAATAAGACATTTTTCTCAAAATGAGACTGTTTAATGGGAGAAAATGAAGATAATTTACAACCATACCTTAATAATAATTTTTGTTAAGTAAAACATTTTTTGTAAGCAAATTTTCTAAAAATCTACTTTTACAGCAACTGCTGACTACAACACAGTCATTTTTTGTAGTTATATCTACGTCAACGCAAAATTTGAAAACAAACCATATAACTTACCTGTAGCACTGCTGGTATTCGAAATCATGTCTCTAAGATTAGGAGCACTTGAGCTGCCAGAAATAACAGCGGTGGAAAAGAGGGAATTGGTGCTGCCTCCGACCAGCTTCTTAAAACCTATGGGTCCTCCGCAACCGAACCCTAGCATCTTGAAATAGCTCATCTGTCCGGCAATACTGTGTCGATGGCGCTTGACGGTCTGGCCGCACTCTGAATTGGACATGCAAGGGGTCACACTTGGAGCAGGGTGAGAAAGATAGCGAGACGTATTAAGTCTCCTTGGAGGGGAAGTAAAGAAAGACAGCAGAGTGGAGGGTGTGCGCGGTGTGCAAAGCAGACAAGTAGCCTCGGGTGCATGCTCGGGATAGAAGCTATAAGGGAGACAGGGTGATCCTATCGGGGGCGAAAGGTTATTAGAATTGTTAAGGAAATTCTCGCGAGCTAAACTCTCATTATACTTTTCCAGTAAAAAGTATTTTTCTGAATGATTGACCCATTCACTATCTAATATATTAGGATCAGAAAATGACCTGTGCCTTTTTTCACTTAAAAATTTAGGTTTCTCGTCAATTTCTTTTATGTCTGTATCCCAGTTAACCTCCAGAGAAGTATCATCATTTTGACTATCTAAGGTGTTTTGCTTCGATAATTTACAAGACTGGCTGATAAACTTAATATCAGATAAAGGCAACTCATTTGTACTCATCTTGCAAGAGCTTTTGGTTTCTAATTCAGATGTAAATAAAGCTAGATTAAGCTCCGTCAGTGGCAATTCATTTGTAGAACTTTTTGGTTGTGATTTATTGTTATCTACTTCAACCTCACCCTCTGACAACTTTTTAAAAGGTTTACTATTACCGATAGTTAAAGGAGAATCTACATCGCTCGTAAAATCAAAATCGAAAGATCCAGAAATAGGACTAAGTTCCGATTTTTCTACATTACTTATTGGAGTGAAGTCATACTTTTTTACATCCAAAATGTGGAAATCATCTTGGTTAATCATTCGCACAGGTACTTCTGTAGGTGGAGTTGTAGGAGTGTTTATAGGAGTAACGGATAGATCTGTACTGTTAGGTGGATCTATGTCTAAATTAATTAAAATGTGTTTGTGTATGAGCAGAAGCAAAACAATATTAATAAACAGTCACAAAAAGGAGAGCCAAGCACAAGGATACAGGAAAAGAAACAAAAGATACAAGTCAATAAATATACTACCATAGCCTTGAAATAAATAAAACAAATAATGTTCCACTTAGTTTTTTTTATCACCTTCAGTATGGAAATAATAATGTTCTTACTTGTAATCTTAATTCATAATTTAATATTTTTTTTATATTAAATGCAAATATTCTAGATTTTAAATATTTACTAAGATAAAATAATAAATTTAACATCAAAATAAATTTGCACGGATAAAGAGATTGAGAATGAATTAATGTTATAATTTAAATTTGGCAAAAGTAATTTAACAAAAAAAAAAGTTTTTTTTATAAATAATATGGTTTTGATTATTTCAACTCCTAGGTAGGCATATGTTTTGAGAATTGAGGTTTCCTGCTCATGAAAATATAATAGTTTTTTTCAAAGAAGTTAATTCCATTGTTTTTAGTGAAAATGAAATTATTTACTATCATATGATACCTCAAAAAGACACAAGAAAGCAAATTAAAATAATTAAATTAAAAATTGTTTTCATTGATTTCAAAATAAGTAATAATAATTTAAAAATAATATTGCAAATCGAATTTTGCCTATTTTAAATCGAATTCAGTACTTATCAAATCAAATTTAACTTTTTGCAGATCTAATTCATTTTTTAGGACTAGAACTTGTGTTGTAAGAAATATATACTTATAAAAAAACATTTTATATCATTTATTCTAATGGGCTTTTTTGAACAAGCTTACCAAAAGTTTGAGTATGCATGTCTTAATTTTTCTAAAGCAGCCAAATAAATAAAAATTCAAAATAACCTTTAATTGCCAAATGGAAGAATTTGATTTTCATAAAAAAATTGACTAAAGTGCAAAATTTGATAATTAAAAATTTCATATTCCAAATCTTTTTTTTTTCTCAACCTCTCTTATCGAGAACAGTTTTTTTTTTATATAGAACCAAAAATAAGAAACAAACAACACAACCTAAGAATAATTTAAATACATGCCACATTCAACACAAGAGACATATTATCAGCTGATAGAAATCTAAAAACATACATAGTGAAAGCAAAACATCTTGCCACAAGCAATAATGATGAGGTGCAAAAGATAAGAATATAAAAAAGGATAAAGAGAATTACGAATCCTGGAGATGTACCAAACACTAACCATTCTTTCAGTAATAGAAAAAACAAGTGTAAGATGCATCTCCGATTACTGGTCACACCAATCGCACGGGGTTACCAGACAGACGAGTATATATCAATACCATATCAACTTGACTTTGCCCATGCCAAGCCAAACCCAAAGTTTCTACACATCCCTTCTTATATAAAACATGGTAAACTTTAAATGCGAGTAGTACTATTATTCTTAAATATTTTTTTTCTTAAACTATTTTAACATTCTTTTATTGTTGCTATTATTACAAAAATATACTGGCAAGTGATATTGACTATAATTTGGATTAATATGATTTATAAATGAAATTTAAACTTTATAAAGGACCCCGCACAAAATGAATGAAAATTGGGTCCCGCTAGATTTGGCTAAAATTGTAATATGTTATAGTTCTCGACATTCTGATCAAAAGTTGTCACGGGCACAAAGTCATCCTATGGATAGTTTCAGAGATATAGAGGGGGGAAGTGTGTGATTTTGGCTGTAGGACTGAGTAAGCTTCGCGAAGTTTCAAGTTGATGGATTCAAAAACTGAGGCATGTAATGAATTTTGGCTAGTAGGTACAATGCTTTTGGGATCACTGAACCTGAATTCTTGGATAGCTTAGCTATCTAAGGTCACCTGGTCAAGGTCAAACTGAAGAAAAGACTTGTATTGAATTTTGACCAGTGAGTGTATAGGTTTTTGGGCTCGCAGAATCTGAATCTGGAGATAGCGTAACCTTAAAAGTCACCTTCAAGTTAATTCAAGGTCATTTCAAAATGAAACTAAAGAAAAGGCTTGTATTGAATTTCAACCAGTGCATATGTAAGTTTTTTTGGGGGGGAACTGAATTTGGGGATAGCTTAGCCCTACAAGGTCACATTTAAGTCAAGTCAAGATCATTTCAAGGTCAAAGTAAAGAAAAGGCCTTTCACGAATGTTAACCTGTAAGATGTATGTATGCTTTTGAGGTCGCTGAAACTGAATTCAAGGATAGCTTAGCTCTATAAGGTCACCTGTGGAGCTTGAATTGAGATTAAGTCAAATGAAATGATCTTGACTTGATTTCCAGGTGACCTTATAGGGCTAAGCTATCCATGAATTCAGGTTTAGCGACCTCAAAAGCATACATACTTACAGGTTAACATTTGTGAAAGGCTTTTTCTTTACTTTGACCTTGAAATGATCTTGTAAAAGTGACCTTGTAGGGCTAAGTTATCCCCAAATTCAGTCCTCGCCCCCCCCCATAAAAAACTTATATAAGCACTGGTTGAAATTCAATACAAGCCTTTTCTTTAGTTTCATTTTAAAATGACCTTGAACTGACTTGAATGTGACCTTTAGGGTTACGCTATCTCCAGATTCAGATTCTGTGAGCCCACACTCGCTGGTTAAAATTCAATACAAGTCTTTTCTTCAGTTTGACCTTGACCAGGTGACCTTAGATAGCTAAGCTATCCAAGAATTCAGGTTCAGCGATTCCAAAATGATTGTACCTACTGGTCAAAATTCATGCCTCAGTTTTTGAATCTATCAACTTGAAACTTCGTGAAGTTTATTCAGTCCCACAACTAAAATCACACACTTCCCCCTCTATATCTCTGAAACTATCCATAGGATCACTTTCGGCCCGTGACAACTTTTCATCAGAATGTCAAGAACTATAACATATCACAATTCCAGCCAAATCTAGCGGGACCCAATTTCCATTTATTTTGTGCGGGGTCCTTTAACTATATCATTATTTCAGAAAAATATTTTAGCAAAAAAATATTTGCATATTTTATTTCAATAGACCTATTTTAAACTTTTGATGTAGAAACCTGGTCACATCTAGCTTTAGCAGAAAAATGTTCGGTTTACTATAAAATACATATTTTCCATATATCTAAATGGAGTTTTCTTTGACAAACTTTCAGAACTTATTCCTCTCAGTTTTTCATAAAATGATTATTAATGACTGTACGATCCTTCATCAGTTGGACATGTAACACAGTTTTTTATCAATTACTCAAAAACCATTGAAGAAATTGATTTCAAATTTGGTTTCTTATAATAGCTAGCTCATGTAAAATTCAGACAAAATCTATTTCATGGCAATGGGATTAATATGTGTTAGAGGAATTTCAACTGTCAACAGAAATTATTTAACGTTAAAAATAATTTTTTTTTACAGATTTCGAAGTACCATCTGCACTCAAAATTTTTATGTCTATAAATCACCTCTAAAAGTCATATAGAATATATGGCGAAAAGGATTTTTTGAAATTCGATCTCGTTATAAAGTTACAGGTGTAGAGCAGAGTATATGTTCGGAACATTCTGACAGCCGAAACCACCTTGTGGTTCTCCCAGCTACCACGCAGATATCAATATTTTGTTATTTGGGCATATACTTGAGCTTTCTATTATTCATGCCAAATAATCGTGAGTACATGAAAATATCGTGAATATGTTTTGGAACTTTCAAATGCATTTTGCTGTAATTCCTCACACATCTTCTGTACATGTCTAGTTTCCGTTTGAACTAGAATAATTAAGATATCTTATATAGTTCTTTTTTAATTTGAAGTATGGAAAAAAATTACGAAAAAGGCAAATTTCAATATTTTCATTAGTTTCTAGTTCACACGATAGCCACAAATCTTCAGATTAAAATGCTACTTGCTTTTTTTATTTCAGATGAATTGGAAATTTGGAATCTTGGGTACCGTCAGACAACTTTTTTGTACATGGATGTTATTGGAGCGCTGTACTTTGTACTTATTTACCTTATAAATTCTTTTGAACAATATTTCAATATTGATAAATATAATATTAAAGTTTCAACATAGTGTGTTCCAGTTACATGAAAAAATTACTTAAAAACATCCAAAAAAAAACAGCCTTCAAAGTAAAAGACCCTCTTAATCGGTTCTATCGCAATATTGATACATTCATTCACAAACTACCTAAATTTGGAGATATAATGTTCGAAAATTAATCCCAATGATTTACATATCTCGTGTTGTGATCTTATTATCACTGCGACTGAGAAGAGTATACCTTTTATGTCTGTTTTTTATTTGAGTTGTGCTATGAGTTGAGAAAACATGCATTAATCGAATGCGTCTTCTCTGTTTTGCAGTGTAATTACTTGCAGCTCTTATGAATTTAGTGACCAAATATTTCAGTATGGTTTCTTCACAATAACTTTTAATTTAGTCTTCTCTGTTTATTAAACACAAGGCTTCTATCTGTTTACCTTTTCAGGAAATAATCACTAATTTTATGTTTTCTGTTTGCATTGATGAGGAGAATGAGCCTTGAAAGCTTGTCACAAATATTGTTATATTATCATGAACTCTAGTCAATCAAGTATATAACATTTTTAGTCTATTTATAATTAAGTTTTTTCTTTCCCAAATATAGAAAACAATGTGAATTTTCTTGAGGTAGCAGAATATTTTAGAAAAATAAATAAAACAGAAGACCTAAAATCTACTAGAAAATGTATTCCAGTTACCGAACAAAGTTCTACACGCTACTTAAATATAGAGCAAGCAGAGATGTGAAAAATTCTATACTACTAAATGTATAAAACAAAATCAAGTTGAAGTTAAATAGCTAAGTGTTAAAATTAAATCCTGAAACCTCAAACATAAATTATATAGTAAAACAGAATGTATTTTCTGTATAGAAAATAATATAACGTAAAAAATATTTTTGTATAATTTGGGATAAATAAGTTTTTGAAATATATTCTAATATATGTAATAGTATGGTATGGTTACAAATGATTCTTAAAAAGTAATTATTTCTTAAAATTTCGTAATAGATCTGTCTATCTGTATGTTGTAGATATTCCTTAAAAACGGTAGAACTAAATAAAATTACAACATACATATAGTAGCCAAATCAGAGTAAACATATACCACCGCAGAAATACCAAAATAAAAGACTGAAAAAGTTTATGTCAAACTAATATTTATATAAATTTTAAAAAAGTCATAGGAATAATTTTTTTTTTTGACTGATGATTATTAAATATCCTTTTTAATGTTTATTTAGGATTATCAGTTTTTGAAGCAGTTCTAAATATTTATTATAATGGTAATAAAGTTTTTTTCATTCTGTGATTTTTTTTAATGCAATGTAAATATTGTGGTATTTTAAAGGTGAATAACTTCTTTAAATATAAATAAAGTTTACACAGGGTGTGGCATGTATAATCTATAAAAATTAAACTACAGCTTCCTAACGATATTTGTAATAGAAAGTTTTTTTCGGAAAAGTTTTTTATTTGTTTTTTTTCGTAAATTAAAGTTCAATTATGGATCAAAATATGTTCTCTGGAACGGTCCTGTCCGTGTGCTGTACGATAAGTTACATGCTGTAAACAAACCACGTAAAGACATCGTTGTTGAAAGATAGAAAGATATTTCTCAATTTTTGTGAAATTTTTCAATGCAAAAGTACAAACTAAGAAAAATAGATATTTAAAAAAACTGATATTTTCTTATTATAATAACTAATAGTAATTACTATCTTAAATGCATTGTTGTTACCGCAAGAGTTCACAAACAAAACCACATCCGTAAGCATCTGTAGTTGCCAACTGCGTGTACTCGTGTACTAAACAAACTCCATTAAAATGTGGAATAAAATGAAATAAAACTTATCATTTCTAGAGAAAATGTTGAAATTGATGCCCAATAGCGTGGATACGGGCATGGCACCGACGCACACAATTTTGGCAAATATTTTTCCAAATTTCAGGTATTCTCCTAATTGTGTCAGCAGCTTCAAGTATACAGTTTTGCAATTCTTCCACCATAGGTAACAATTGGAGTACTGTCAACCAATGACTTCAAGTGACTCCAAAGATAGTAGTCCATTGGTGTTAGATTGGGTGACCGAGGTGGCCACGGCACAGGACAAAGCGTCCAATCCATCGCATCATTCAAAACTGTTGTTACTTCTCGAGTACTGTGTCCCATCTTGCAGATAAAATATGCGTGCCCAAACTTGTAATGCCACATCATCCAATAATTTAGGCAACCGATTCTCCAAAAAGTCAGTATATGTTGGTCCATTTAGTCGTCCTTCAAAGAAATAGGGACACACAAGTACATCGCCTATTATGCCAGCCCAAACATTTACCGAGAACCGATGTTGAAAATGAGTTTCCCTAATCGCGTGAGTATTTTTATCGGCCCATATTGCATATTATGGAAATTCACTTTATCGCGGGTAAATGTCACCTCATCTGTTCCACAAACATAAACAGAAAAGTCTATTTGATTGGCACAATGCCGTAAAAACCATCTGCAAAAAATTGATTATAATCCGGGGGTAAAATCTGTTGAACTGGTTGTAGATGATAGGGGTGCAACAGCTGGCCCCTTAAGATACGATGTACGGTACGAGATGAGGTTCCTACCTGCTGTGCGAGTCGTCGAGTACTAATTGTGGGGTCTTCGTCAAGATTTTCCAACACTGCATCTTCAACATTAAGGTTCACTTGCTGACCACGTCCTTCGAGGAATAACACTTCCTGTATCTCGCAGCCGCTTAATGCACTATAGGATTGTAATTGCACATGGGGGGTGACATTGTGGCCATCGTTCCTGGTACAACCTAGTCGCCGCGAGAGCATTTTCTCCGGCTGCACCATACACTAACACCATATTGACATGTTCGGAAATAGTAAATGCATTGTTTTCTCGGTTCATTGTAAAACTAGTTTGTGCACAAACTAAAAAATTAAGCAAAGTACGAAATAAGAGTCTTGTTTCTAATGTAATCAGCACGCTGTTCTTATTTTTTAGTTCTTTATTAAAATTACACTGTGACTATCGTGGACTTACAAAATAAAAACTTTTGTCTGGAACTTTCACTTTTTAACACTGATGGGTCGATGGACGATGCTTAATATTTAATAATTAAGTGAATAATGTATTCAATACTCAATACTAATACAAAATCAGTTGACTGCACAAATTTTTTGACAATGTAACCTAACCTTCTGTTAGTATTACCAGTATTAGATTATACTGACTTAAATTATAAGGTTGCATCTCGGGTCACATAAAAACATTTAGTTTTTAATAAATAACACAGGGTCGGCCTTCATTTTCATTGAATAAATGAACTTTAATTTACAAAAAAAAACCGCGAAGATAGAACTTTTTCGCATAAGACTTTTCTATTCCAAATATCATCAGGAAGCTGTAGTTTAATTTTTATAGATTATACACATCGCACCCTGTATAGTTGTATTGCTGTAAAATTCAATAAAAACCTACTGAATTTAAATAGATATCTGTGAAAAGTTTAGGTGCATTTGTACCATGACTATATAATGTAAGTATAAATTTAATGTTTTAAATATGCAAAATGATAAACGGTTTTAAAGTAGGACAACATATAACATTAAAAATTTAGCCTATTAGATGAAGAACTGAGATAAACAAGTTTGGATTATGATCCATATTAATCCTTTTTATAAAATGTAGGTATTTATGGTGACTAAATTATTTTTAAATTTTTAAAGAGAGGAAAGGACCAAATATAAACCATTCTTATCTACAAAAATTGACATAATACCGTACAAAGAATATTAGTTTTTTTTTTGCATTTTTTTAGTTCTCACTATTGCGATACTCAAAATTAGTTTTGTACTATAACCACATTATTACATAATATCGGGAAGGGTGTAAAAGGGGATTTAGCTAAACATTTAAGGTAAGGCGTACCTTGGCTGTTAACAGCGTCCAGACTTTGATGCAATTTTTCAGCTGCCCAAAATAAATTAGTAAATTAAAACACGAGTTCATGCAAAATTTTAATAAAATTCTAACAAAAATCACACAAATCAGATTTGAATGTCTCTAAAAGACATAATTATGTATTTTGCGTACAGCTTTTAATTTAATATTTTATTATATAATTTTTATTATTATATTATAATAATAATCATATATTTAAAATGATATTGTTAATTTTGTTAATTTATAATTTGTGTCACAAAAGGTGTTTCACATTATGATAAAAATATGTACCTTATAAAAATCAACAGATGTGAATGATTAATTATCTGTCCTTTATTCAATTTTTGCACAGCTTTCATGAAAATTAGTGCCGTTCCTATTTTCTATTGTCACAATTACTAAAAAAATAGTAAATTCTAAAACATAACAACTTTAAAAATATTTAATTTTTATTTCTAAATAACACTTTACATTAACAAGTTATCTGCTGCTAAATACTACATCTATGAAGTTATGTACACCCGTTTTCAAAATAATTAAAATAGCCATTTTTTTTCAAAAGATTTTATCCCAACTTGCATTGAAAGTATCTTCTTGTACTTGACGTAATAGGTCTTTATTATTATATCTAAAATAGAATACACTACTTAAAATCAATATTCCATAAATTATTAATCTATCTACTTCTAGGTGCTATTGTAGTGTTTACCATTAGCTCAAGATTCTACCGCAAGTCGGAGTTTAATAAAAAATGAAAAATTTTGTACAGCACCTATGTTTTAAAAGCAATACATAAGCCAATACAGATTTAAGTATACAGGGTGTTAGGAATTTGACTGCCTAAATTTTAAGACGATAGAATACATTAAAATAAACAAAAAAACCTTATATGACATGGGTATTAAACCCAACCATTTCCGAGAAAAAAATTATCAAAATCTCCAACTTGATGTACAAAAGTTTCATTAATTAAGGAATATTGACATAACTGCGTCCATAGAATGCCATAAAATACAATGTTTATCACTTACTTGCACTTCTTTATGTTTAATTCTAAAATATAATTAGTGTTGCAATAAATTTAAAATTCGATAAAATTCATATCGAGCAATGTGACAACGGCGTGGCGGATAACACGAGGTACTAAACTGCAGCAATATGCAATTCAGTTGGTATCTGGAATTGGACCGTGTCTAAGTGTTCTTTGCGTATCACTATTTCCTTTTCTTGAGGTGTGTGTGCATCGAAAATGGCGGTGGATATTTTGAGCATTTGTTGTAGTTTGTTTTGAACTTGTGCGTTTAAAAATTACTGAATTTTGCTTTTTAGTAAGTACCTAAATTATTTTTAATATGTATGATTATTTGGAGGACGTGAATCTTTGGATACTTTAATTACACATTTTTCAAATTTATAATTTGATTAAAAGTTAAGTTCCTGTTTTAAGAGATTCATAATTACTAAAAATCTAGCTAAAATTTAAGCACAACACTATCACCGTACTACAAAATTGATACATTTTATTTTATTATTTAAAAACTGGAAAACTGTCTTGAAATTTACTAAGTGTTTCACAATAATAGTTGTTTACATTTTTTCCAAAGGACAAGTCTGCCGCATGCACACGTGGTGTGCATCAGCTGTGTAACGTTAAATTAAGCGCTGTTGTCACATTGTGATGAAACTCCCCAATATTAATACTTGCAGTATTTTGAAAACTGTTAATCTTACGCCCTTGTAATATACAACTTTTTTGTTCATTTATGATTACTCTATCTCATGCTGAAGTAATGGCAGTCAAACTTCTTACACCCTGTATTTTTCTTGGTTAAAAATAATAAACTATTGAAAAAAACATATGTGAATAAAATGAATAACAGGTGTTTGCTTAGAAATTAAAAGATGTTTTAAATCGGTACTAACCATAGGCCGAAAACAGTATAAGTTCAACATGACAAAAATATTTTTTTTAATTTCAGACTTGTAGATAGCGTTGTTGTGCAAACAAATTTTTCAGATTGCAGGAACAAAAATATTGAGTGCGTCAAACAGAAATTTAATTTTGGATGATTTTTTTCCGTCACTTACTCCATAAATCGGCTGTTCCTCAGATATTTATAATGTTTTCCTGACAAGACAAATGCTGTATAATTTTTTAATGTAAGACTTTGATAGATTTTTTTAACACCAGTCAACGAGTCTAAATACTTTTTTCCTAATGATATTGTGGAAAACAACTATTCACTGACTCTGTGGACTACAGACCCTGTCCAGCAATGAATTACACCCACAATATCTAGTAAACAGTTAAAATCATTTGTCAGCAGGTTCACCATCATACAGCACTTTCGAACTTATTAATTCTCATCAGTATGTCCATAGATGAGACGACTATCGACTCATATCCAGTGTGCTTGATGGACGATTCCATTATGCTGTGTGCTGTACAAAACTACTGCTTACATTCGCAGCGCCTATGTACAGCGTTTTGCTTGCGTATATGCATAGTATAAGGTTTAAAAGAATATAAATTTCTACACCCAGGAATTGATAACTCTTTGTACATTAACAAGATACTGACCCGTTAGGTGATCATCTGAATATCCCTCTAGACGTTTACAGTGAAAACAACTGATTGTCAACCTTCCGTGGCAGTCGTTAAAAGTTGAATAAATCTGGACTGGTTGCCTTGTCATTGGTTTACACTTCCTGTTTTAAGAGACATATCGCTCTCTCCTTCAGAAACTGACACACTGGAGATTAAATTTAGTTTTGGTTCACGGCTTGTAATTCCATTCCTTGATTTTTAAGAATGAGTCATTTTGAGTTTTTCAGAGGTCAGTTTGAGATTTTTTCATGAGTCCAAATTTCAGATAGTTCCAACCATTCGTCTCGATTGAAATTTTCACAACTTCTGGATTTTTATTAACTCCCTGTAAAGTCTTGGATAGTATTCTTTCTCTCACCAGAATTCTAATGATTTGTTTACGCTGTCACTCTTCAAGTAACACTTGGCTCCTTTCACCTCATGTTAATGTGTCGTCTCATTTACACAACATATACCTTTCCACATGTAAATGGGATACTATATACATCGACACCTTGGAATAGATTACACAGCCCCACAAAAAAAAAGATTGGATCTGGTATTCAGACCCATGTATTTCCAAGTATTTTTACCGCTGAATCCGAATCTACCTTCAGACTTGGCCCAACGGGTCTGAGTTTTCGGGAAAATTCAAAAAACAGGTCAAAATTCACAAAAAACGTCATTTACGATCGACGAAAGTTATAAAAAATCTAATTATTGTACCAGCTCACTAGACGTGTGATTTTTCACTCGTTTAATTCCAATTTATCATTATAGAGTCAGACAAGCTGGTCCAATTTCATTCCAAAACACCATTTTCATGGCATAATTAGTGTTGCAGAGTTCTGGATCTATCTTTTTATCCACTCACCCATTTATGAATTCATACATCTCTCTATCCAGTCGTTCACGCATGAATACGAATATTTATTAATCCACCTGTACCACCTATAAAACCTACACATCCACCCATCTGTCCATCTACTTTTTGTACTGAGAGATGAGATAAAGCCTAGAAGATTGAGAATGCAATAAAACTTGTAGAATACTCTACTTTCTAATGAATGAAGGAAGTGCAACTTGTAGTTCATCAAACATCTCAGATCTTGGAAGTCTATTATCATTTTTGATACAATTTCTATTTAGGACTCTTGTTGTTTCCTAAAAAATTTGTTGCTACAACTTTGAAACTAATCCAAACACTCTTCCCAACGCTACTCATTGTAGTGATGAATGTTGCATCCTTGAACAATGTCCGAATCTGAGGTCCATCGAATACACCTTTCAATTTCACTTTTCACAACTTTTTTTAATTTTCCTGTAAACTCAGACCCGTTGGGCCAAATCTGAAGGCAGATTCTGATTCAGCGGAAAAAAATACATGGAAATACATGGGTCTGAATACCAAATCCAATCCTTTTTTTTTTTGTAGGGCTGTGTTCAAATATCTACGCATATGGGTCAGCTTTCTGTAAATGATGTGGTCTAGGGTGCCGTCTAGTTCTCTCGTGACAAGAACATCTAAGGAATGGAAGAAAATTGTACCTTATTTTCTTCCGTCCCCCTGGTGAAATTGATATCTGGATGTATTCCGTTGGCACAGTTCAGAAATCCTAACTTAAACATATATTTCCTACACTTAATACGAAAAGAAAAATATATTAAAAAATAAATAAACCATCTCTTGTAAAAAACAAATAAAAAATTATAAAAACAAAGGTCATACTTATTGACATTTGCATGAAATAAACATTTTTGGCATTTCATACTCTTGTTAGTGCATTTAATGTATTATTTTAAAAAGATAATAATGTGTAGAGTATTTTATTTAAAGTCACATTTACTTTCGGTTAGACCAGAAAGTGCACAACAATTTGGTTATAATTATTCATGGTGATTATTTAAATAACCTGTATCGAAAACTTTTATTAAGAAACTTATAGGATATTATTGTCATCAAATAATAAGCAGAATTCTCAATACCTGATAAATGATTGAGTTTGCAGAATTAGCAATTAGGGAAAAAAATTGTCCAAAATTTAATTCTCTATCAGATACACCAAATTTTTTTGGCATGAGATCGAAAAATGTGTTTGTGTAACAATGCTACATAGTAATATAAAAAAAATATTTTCATGTCAAGTTGAATCCTTTACTACTTTCTATGTACCAACGGCTAGTACCGGTTGCCTTTTAATTTCCAAGGAAACACCTGTAGGAAGTTAAGTAGTACATATTGGATATATGGGATACTGATTTAATTCATAAATATGTTATTTTAAAAAAAATTTAACAATAAATATATAATTCAAGGAAATCTACACAAAATTTTCACAAAACTTATATTGCCTTATATGTATCTTACATCTATTAAAGATGGCGGGGAAATATTTACTTTATCGTCATGAGAAGGAACAATAGAATAAATGAACACCTTTTGTAACATCGTTACATAATTAGTAATATTATATAGTATTAAATTTTAATTTATATTCAATAGGTATTATAATAAAATCGCTCAAAAAGCTTCCTGAACTAGCGTATTTATTTCTCTATAAATACATTACAATAGAAAAAATTAATAAGCTGTAATCGAATACTTGTGATTTTAGTTATAAATTTTATTTCTGACAATTCTAAACAAAAATCGAAAAAGAAGAGATGCTTACCTTTGCTTTTCTGAGGACTCTTATGGTCGTAACTCCTTGAACGTGGTTCGGGCTCTGGACTAGTGGATCGATTAATTCTGAAACTCCTACCACCTTGCTGTGCTGCCTGATTCGCTAATTCTTCATTCAATCGTTTCGCCAAATGCATGGCTTCGTGACCACTTACTGTATGTGAACTCATGCGAAAAGGAAAAAATTATTTTCAAATTATGAAACTTACTATAGAAAGATTGAAAGAAATCAATTGCAAAACAATTATCTCAAAAGTAGTGAAAGTTGCCTAAAAATGACAAAAAAAATGTATAATTCAAGTAGTATCGAGATATTTAAATCTAGACGAGTGACACTGTTTGTCGCCAACTGATACTATTTAGCCTAATATCTGTTCAGACTGATTATTTTTTTATCCCTTTCTTGAATATTAGGGATTATTTTATGCACTCGCAGTGGTTGTACTCCGTGGAAAAAATTACATATTGGTGCATGGGGTAGACAAAGATTTACAGGTTAGGAAAGTACCAATGGTCCATCTGCTCTTACGTGGGAGTGATAAAGTAAGACATAGAAATCCATGCGATAGAGAAGGATGGCTATAATGAAGGGGTCTCATAGTCACCGCCTGTTTCGCCCTTCCACAAATAAGATCCACTTCTTATTTGTGGAAGGGCGAAATGGGCGGTGACTTTTAGACGCTTTCATTATAGCCATCTTTCTCTATCGCATGGATTTCTATGACTTACTTTATCGCTCTCACGTAACGGCAGATGGACTATTGGTACTTTCCGATCCTGTATATGCTTGCAAAACAAACGGTTTAGTGCCAAAAGTGTAAACAGGGGAGGCGAAAGAAAAAAAATTGATTATTGGTCTGAATATATATTTTTTTATTTTGACGGCACATCTACTGCTTGCATAAAAATGAGTTATTTCTTAACTGTCATCCTTGTAGATCTGTAGAAAAAAACTTACCCTTTTTTTATTTGTGTATGAAATCATTATTTCATTGGAAGTTTAAAAAATGAAAAACTTAAATTGTGGCAGACAGATGTGACGGGCTAAAATATGACGATTGCGCCATTTATTAATAAGAAAAGAAGTTCAACTAAAATCTTATATCACTGTCCTCCTTTTATTTATTGACATGGTACAGAGAGGAGTTACTCAAATAAGAAGTTGTCTATAATAACAACGTCCATAGTCTAACATGTCACAGTTGACAAAAATTTTTAAATTACATTTTAAATTATATAAGAAATTTTCAGCAAAATTGCTTAAACACCCCTTTTCTCAATAATGTACAAAACTTCTCTGCTACAATTTTATTCTCAGATGAACCAATTTTTTCCCGCAGCAAGTTTTCAATTTCTACAATATGCACCTATTGAAAATCTCTATACAGGGTGTCCCACCACAAACTCCATCGATGCATGGATATCTGGAAAACCGCTCGAAGGATTTTTTTGAAATTATGATGGTGTGATATGGACTGTGGGGCCTACCAAGCTAAAATATTTTCAAGGTCATCGTACTTCCGGTTATACCGGAAGTCGATACTTTCTTATTTTAAATCGAACCCCCTGTATATCATTGCATTTTTGGAAAGAGCATCTATTTTTAAGTTGAAAACATACAGCACACTCCATACATACTTAGGATTGACCGTTTCCGAGATATTTTGATTTTTAAGCAAAAATTGACAGATGCAGATTGTCAGCAAAATTTAGTTTTCCCGGAAACGTAGGTTTATTTTTTTGTGCAATTTGGACATTTTGTAGAGGAAGACCTAATTTATCAAATTTGACATGAAAATTTTCCAGTTTTTATACAGGGTGGTCCAAAAAGATTATCGAATATGAAGTTCAGAAAATGTGGAAAAGTCGAAATTTTTAAATGGAAACCCCTAATTTTTTTAACGTATTCGCATTCTGCACTAAAATTAAGTGTAACTTTGTTAAAGTTTCCCTATACCTAAACCCAGTGGTTTTCATTTTATTTACCAATAAACATTTCCTTTTTCTTAAAATGATGTTTCCATTTGTTTCGCACATTTTAGGTTGGCCGTGACAGGTAAGTAACAATCAACAGGACAACTGTCACAGGTTTTTAATTGTCAAATTTATATAGTTCCTTGTGGGTCGCTGCTCTAATAGAATCCGGTGATAGATGCTATTTTATTTGAGACATTAAAAATAGTGTGTATAGTACTCCAGTAACAACAAAGGAAAATTGTATGCATGGAGTAAGGCAAGCATTTGAGCATCTATCACCGAATTCTATTAGAGCAGCGACCCACAAGGAACTAATCCGAAGGTGTGAAAAATGTTTGGAAGTTGAGGGAAGACATTTTGAACATTTATTAAAATAAATTTGACAATTAAAAACTTGTGACAGTTGTCCTGTTGATTGTTACTTACCTGTCACGGCTAACCTAAAATGTGCGAAACAAATGGAAACATCATTTTAAGAAAAGGGAAATGTTTATTCGTAAATAAAATGAAAACCACTGGGTTTAAGTATAGGGAAACTTTAACAAAGTTGCACATAATTTTAGTGCGGAATGCGAATACGTTAAAAGAATTAGGGGTTTCCATTTAAAAATTTCGACATTATGAACAATTTTCATGAGAGAATATGACATGTCATTTCACTTAATTTCAACAGTTTTCAACATGTTTGCAATTTGTTAAGTGAGGTCAGGATTTCTTTTTTTAATGTAATTTGCAAGTTTGTAAACACCCTATTCATTATTAAAAATGGGTTAATACCACTATAAAATAAATTTCATACTTACCCAATGGGAATTGGATCACTGGTTTTAAGATAATGTCGGTAGGTTGTATCAGGCGAATCTGGTGGGGTAAAACCATTATTACTAGGTGGTGATTCGAGTACTCTTGGTGGATCTAAAATCAACCTTTCTTCTTCTACAGCAATTTCTCCTTCTTCGTCGATTCTAGGAGAACACTGGCTCTTGGTCTCTTCAGGAGTTGCTGTTGCGGATGTGTTTAAACTCTAAAACAAAGCAGTTAATTTTTTGCTTGCACAGTGATTTGATAACTTATACAGAATTTTTACTAGCAGCTGATTCATTTCTAGAATGAGGACGGAAACCGGGGCCGGGTGGAAGATTTTTTTGTACACAGCAATTTACACCTGGACTGAAATGTAACTCTATGTGAAACCTTTCTTCACTGCATGGGTCTTTGGTAGGATCTTCATACAGCATGATGACAATTTGTGACATGTAATTCAATTCTGATACCATAGACACATACTCCATGGCTCGCCGCCACTGTTCATCTTTTCTGACCTGAAGGAATTAGTTTTATAATTATGTACTATATGTTTAAAGTATACTGGCTGCCCACTGGTCGAAATGATTCAGAATTATAACGACTGATAATGTGGACCTTTCTCATGTGCTGTAATTTTTTTCAAAAAGAAACATCATATGGTTATTGCTTTATGGAAAAAAAGTGATGTGATTATTAATAATGGAATCATTTTTTGGAAAATATTCAAAATACTATCAGAAATATGTATAGTAGTCATTGAAGCTGAAAATCAGCTGTAACCTCCGAATTCTTTGCAACTGCATGGATTTGCATGAAAATTTAGAATAAGGCTTATCTTAGGCTCAAGTTCAAAAGTGACATAAGCCCGATTGACGCTTTTTGTTTTTTAGGGGTAAAAACTACCCCTAAGTGAAAAAAATTGAAACAATTAAGTTTTAAGCATTTTATTGATAAAAATCTTGTTCAAGCACAAAGATTAAATAATGTTCCATGTTCTCGAACATGTTTTATGATATATTTGATCTTTTCGACTCTATTTAACCCTTAAAAACCCTATTCAAAAAATAATGATAAAAAATTACTTTTTAATGATTTGGAATGATTAAAACGTGCAATTATATAAAATAAAAGTTACGTTATAGCTAATAAAAGAATATTTCCCTTTCAACCCCTAAAAACCACCCCTGTATTGACAAAAACTATAAAAAATTACTTTTTAAAAGCTTGGAATGCTTTAACGGTGCAATTATTTAAAATAAAAATTCCCTCATTGCTTATGAAAGAATTTGTATCTCATAACACTTTTCAACCCTTATAAATCACCCCTGTGCTAAAAAAAT